GGATCATCCACAGGTACCTATACTGTAGATAGGTCTTAGTCATCAGGTCTACTCCACTTCCTTGTTGCCTGCTTAGACTCTTGGCACTCTTAGGTGAGCAGACTTAGTCAGCCTGTGTTGCCCTAACAGCGGCATCCTCAACTGGTCCAGCCAAGCACAACCTGTACTGAATCTCTTTGTGGATGAGCATCTGTGAAGTTGATAATGGATCTCTTTAATGAGGTGAGCAAGTAGCAGACAGATGTGTGAGGGAATTCCTCTGGTGCCCCCTCCCCAGAGATATTGCTCCCACAATGCCCCTCTGGAGGCAAATGCACAGAATGCCCTCTCCTTCACATGCTCACAGAGTGTGCAACCTTTCTTGCATGTCAAGAGAGCAAGAAGGGTAAGCTTGGGGTCCTGTCTTCCTGAAGGGGCCAAACATATCTTGAAGACAGCAAAAAGGGGTTAGAGAAGTTGAGAGAAACTAGCAGAGATTATCAAATTATGTTCTGTTTTCATTTTCTCCATAATATTAATACATTGTAGCTTACTTTCTATTAACTGTGCAGAAACAAAAACCAGGACCCCTGTAGCATCAGACTATTCCTGCCCCCCAGGTGAAAAGGGTGCGCATGGTGTGAGCACGTGAAGGAGAGGGCATTCTGTGCATTTGCTTCCGGAGGGGCATTGTGGGAGCAATATCTCCGGGGAGGGGGCACCGGAGGAATTCCCTCCAGATGTGTCCAAGTTCAGGTGGCGTCCTCTAGACTCAACAAGAATATTGTTTCCGCCCATTGACGAACATCTCTTTCATACCTTTGACAGACTGTTCCCTTTCATTCCATCATCGCTTCTCATGCTGTACGGCTCGCTATATTTAGGTACGAAATTGTAATCGCTTTGACAACCAAGGACGACACGGACTAATCAATATCAAGGATCCACTTCCTGCATAAGCCTCATCCTAACGCCCACTTCCACTCCGAAGTAAGTTATAAACTGAGCGCATTCTTCAAGGGAGCCAGTGTGGTACTCGAGGGAGAGAGAGAGATAAAATTGGCTGTACGGAAAAGAAGATGTTTCACCTCTCTCCCCAGCGGGGCGCTCGCCCTTCACGGCGGCCACCAGCTACATAAATATTGATATTAGCAAGGAGTATAACTCGGCGTCTACTGTAACTTACCAGTGTCGCAATATAAGCCAACTGAGTGAACAATGTCTCAATGTCTATATTTGAGAAGACCTCGATTGCGTCCTTTGGATCGAAGATAAGCGCATACAACTGCAATGTAACATGGTGACGGTGAGACATGGACAAATTCAGGCAGTAAGATGCCTACAGATATGATAAGAGGATGCAGCAACATCCCAGAAAATGGCAATTCGGGTCGAGGATGACATCTTGAATATAGGAAACGAGGTCGAATAGAACCGGTAGGCTCTTCCGACACAACGCTACCTTTTGTCAAATCCATCCTGAAAGAGGGGAATCTGGGACACACCGGTCATCCTGCGCATCTCCAATCATTGGCAGAAGACATTCCGGGCCATAGAGCATCCCTTCGCCACAAGAGCAGGGGATCTTGATGCATACGTGTATGGAAGGGAGCAAGAAAGAAATATAAGCGTAGTCGTCGTCCAGCGTCTTGTCAAAGCCCCTCATCACCTGAGATTTCGAAATGTAAACATGCCAGCACGAGCCAAGCGAGACGCTAACTTACCTCTCGATGGATCGCACAGTATGCGTTATTCCCCCCGTCGACGAGCGTATCAATGAGGTCGTCCAGCTGCTTCAAGGGAGTCCATGCAATCTCGAATGCGACGGAATGGAGGACAGGCACCAGCTCGGCGTCGGCATTGCTGAGTTCTAACAGTTGAATGGCTGATTTCTGTGCCTTAGCGGCGTATCGGTAGATCAACAAAGCGGACAGATGTCCGAACATCTCACAACTGCGGCGATAGTCTGCTCCCATACGCCAAACCTCATTCGACAGGCTCTTCTGCCTGTTGAATCTGCAATCAGTATACTGTACATTGTTGCACTTATGAGAAGCACATACTGATCATCCTCTTCATTCATCATTTTCAGTTCAATCTAATGCAAGATGGGCGGAGCTCGAAGAAAGAAATGCATTGTGTTTGCTTGCTTGCAGCTGGATATCTGAACGGTGTTTGCTTTACCCTTCCTGCTGATTGATTGGGCGTCACCGTTACACATATCCCTGCACATCCCTGCACATCCCTGCACATCCCTGTATATCCTCCGCTGAACTATTGCTATCCCTCCGTATCCCTCCGTATCCCTCTATATCCGCTACATCCCTCCCTATCCTCCTCGTCTATCCCCTCGATAGCCTTCAATAGATCATCACACTAACTCTCTGCTCGACGGTTACACAATGAACAACGCGTATCTCCATTGTGTAAAGTAAAGTATTCCCTATGACGATACAAGACAGTCGTACCTCCAAACTGTGAACTGGTATCATCGACAAAGGCAAGCAGCTTTATCGAGTGTGCAGAATCAAGGATGCACTGCTGGTTAATCGATACCCCCAATTCACCTCACTATGTTCTTCATTCGCCCGACATGGCTGTACTCGCTATACCACATCCCTTATCTCTCAGCATCTCCGTTCTCCTTGCGGCGCTTATTGTTCAGCCGCTGAACCTGGTTCTTGGTTAATGGTCGTCCAAGAGTCCGACCTTGTATTTTGCTCAGTCGGTCCCAAAGCTGGGACATCGAAGGACATCTACCCTCGTCCCACGTTGTCATAGGCTTCATGTACTCCTCCCCTGAAACTGATGCACAAATTGTTAACATCAAGATCTCTCCCTGAATTGCGGTTGACCGAACGCACTGTTCTTCAGCCCTTCATTACACCACATACAAGGTCTTCCTCTCGTCGAGCAACCATAGCAATACTGGCCGGGAACGGTCACACAGATCTCGCTGATTCGAGGTCATACGCTACCAGATGTCCCGGGCTGCGGCATGGGATTACGCTTAACGACCAGCGCAGGGTGAGCTTCACAAGCTGCTGGATCGAACAAATTGGTGTCTGGACTGGGCTCCTCGTCTTCCAATTTGAGTTCTTGAACAGCGGTGGCTTGACATGCTTGACAGCGATATATACCATGGGAGAACTAAGGAGAAATGTCAACGTAGCACGCGACGCACAGACATCGTTACTCACTACTACGCTCGCTTCTCCTTCCCAACGCGTCACTATCCAACCATGCTGTCTGATCAGCTGAGCCGTAACCTCTGAATGGCGGTAGAAAACGGGGTCGGATGGTCGCCTGGCAGCTAGCGTCGGTCTTCCGTCGTGTTTCTTCACCTTCTGCTTGAGGAATACTGTTCTCAAACTAATCGATATGGGTATCTCGTACGTTGGGACGCGGTGATACCACTTCATCAACTCTCGATATCTCTCTATGCAATGTGCTTGGGCAGGACCTGGGTGTCTTCCTTTGGGTGCGTTAATTGTTGAGGAGACTTGCCCTCCGTGCCGACTTCCTTCGGAATGAGCAGGGGCGCGTGACGAAGGTGTTTGCTCTCGACGTGGGCGCTTTGCTGGACGGGTGTTGTCCTCGAGATCGCTGGCAGGCATTAATGACTTGCTGCTTGTACCTAAAGGATGATTATGAGGTCGGACGGAATCTCGCTGAGCTCGTGGTTTGGAGGGACGCAGCGTCGTTGCTGTTGGTAGACGGCGATCCTCAGACAGTGTTATGTCGATATCTGCGCCATCTACAGTACAAAGGGATTTCGTGTTGCGAGGATCTGAAACTGTTGAAGGCGCCTGCTGGGCGACATTAGTTTCTTTTTCTTCAGTTGAAACTTGGAGGTTAGACTGAGAGGTACGCCTTAGATCTCGTTGCGTCGAGGAAGGAGGCGGCAGTGCTAGCACCAAGGGAACCTCATCAACGATAGAGGCCGCATGGTTGTTGGAGTGGAGATCATGGGAAACCTGAGCAGGTTCGTTCGACGCCGTATTCGCCTCGTTTATCGTCATTGGTGCAGACTGTGCACCAAGTCTTGCAATCGAGCGTTGTCCACGCTCCTGCTCTGCAATGAGTCGTTGGATAGTTTCGGCGTTTGCGGATTTATCCCATGCCACAACAACGGTCGCACGCATTTTACGAATGTGAAGGCGAAAGTCTTCCTCGAGCTGTTGGACTTGATATCCATATTGGGTGGAGCAGCTTTGGCGGATGCGGCCGGGAATCGTACTCGGGTCAATGGTGTATCGGTCGTTTCGGCGCTCACCTGGCAGTGATTGGAGTAATTGATAGGCGGTGCGCAAGTCATGCTGAGCTTTGGCATGTGTGTTGATATCCATATCGTCATAATCTGCTTCATTGTATGCGCTATAGAACGCACCCCAGTGAAGATCAGCAAGCGCTAACACTGACAGTTGCGAATTAAACTTACCACTCGGCCGAAGACAGTCAACATCCACATGCGACGAGAATTTGCATTGGAATCGAAGTCTTGGGGTTTGACGCTCTTGCAGAGTTGGTCGTTCCACCGCTGAAGCGCTACTTGAGCTCCGGGGGGCAGTCTACCAAGCCCGTTTACCATTGGACATCGTGACGCTGTCGAGAGGGGGACAACGTCCAACGGTAACAAGTTCAGAGGAATTGGGATGAACAACCCCGGATGCTTGACCAGCAGCTCGTTTAGATCATTCAATAGGCCGACAATTTCGTCCGTGAATGGGGATTTTGGAGTTATGCCGGCCATTTGACAATGTAGTAAGTAGGAAGTCTGATGAGTTCGTATCAACGTCTCTCCCAGATTGAACACCCATTGCAGTACTTACCACAGGATCAGTGACGTAGTACAGATACAGCTCAACACTGTCCGTCAAAGATGCGTCCGAATACCATGTTGGTCTGTACCACTTTCTTTGCAGGATGAGTGCACCGTACGTCGAGTCCAGGAGCGCCTGGCACTGTGCTCGTACGGAAGCCCCAATGATATCTCCCTTCCACCAGCGGACAGGATCAATGCGGGGCTGATGCTGGGGAGGGAGAGAAAACAGAATGTCTGGGATCCAACCAAGAGCGTAATTCCGGAAGACAGGAGGGGTCCACTGCTGATTGAGGATAGAATGATAGAATGGGATGTCGAAGAGGGCACAAGCCATCTTGCTCCACTGAGCGTCCTGAACAAAACGAAGTTGAAGAGGAGCTGACCACGGGCCAAGTCTCATGGATTTACCGGTTTCAATAACCAATTGCTGTAAAACGGTCAGGACGGGTAGGTGTGAGACGAGGATAGCGTACCCAAGCAGAAGTCATAGAGGAAATCTTTCTCACCACTTTCCCTTTCTGTGGAAGGGGCTGTACAGACAAATCGGGCATATCGCCTAGTTGGCTCAAGTTCGCTATCGCAAGCTGCGCATACAATATGCGGAGGGCATCCGTCCACGAAACAGCCGCTTGTTGAATATTCTTCTCCAGCACTGCCCAAACAAATATACTGCCGTCGTTCTGAAGAATAGGATGTCCTTTCACTATCGTGTCTCCGGCGCCCTCTGGCAAGCCGAGAGTTGTCCAATGTTTACGCGGTAGTTTATCCAGTTCCAGGGCCAGTTCGGGACAAAAGTCGGTTGTCCTTTGTATGCGCAAGAACTCAGTGAAGCATTTGTCAATTGAATCGGATAGAGTGGGTGGGTGATTGTCTGCCATGCCGAGAAAATAGTAAAATCGGATGAAAGGGCGCTGTTACAAAGGGCATCAGGGCCAAGGAACAGTTGCTGCATATACGGACGATGGACTGACAACAATCTTCCAATGCCGCTGAACAGCTACAACGCTTTCCTCCGCAGACCTGTCCCGTTCAGGCGATCTGGTCTTAACCAGTTTGGACAGCAGGGGGATGATCTTGGCGACATAATCGGGCAACACGGCGCGAACTAGTTGTCGAACACCAGCCGCGCTTCGAGGGATCTTTGGGTCGACAGAGAAACGTACACGAGGATCTGGAAGTTCTTTTTTATTCATAGCAAGGGAGGAAATACAATGAAGGATTCAGCGGTCAATGCGCTGAGGTGATATTAATATGGTCGACTCGTGGTAGGTAGTAGTAATAAGTCGAAGCATAGTGCTATTATCATTATTGTGGACGCCACCCGGAGGCAGTTGTGCCCTTATTCGATCGACCATACTACTAGGTGCCTGTTGAAGTACCAAACGGACATGCTTATCGACGACTCTCTCTTTGAACTCAATGCTGAATCTATCTCGAATGTCTACGGTACAATTTCTTCTCAAGCCAAGCTTGAAGGAAAACTGGCTGAACAGAATCGTGCAGGAAGGATGCCGCTGCAGTTGTCAGACGTCAAGCCGGTGACGGCCTTCCCTCTGCCAGACCGCCCGATATCCTTTAATGACGCTAAGGAACTGTTCATTACCTCTGCTAGGCCTGCTCGCTCCAATAACGATGAGCTCTCTTCTGAACTACTACCCGTCTCCTGTTCTGAGCAAGAACTCGGTGCAGAAGGTGGGCCCGAAGAAGCCACCGCCGCCGTCCCTAGAGTCGACCGCAGGAAAGATGGAAATGTCGGGGTTGGGGTATCTACGCGTTCGGAGCAGAGAGCCGTAGTGACAACCGGGAAGATCCAACCTACGCGTCAGACCGTGAATGTGCTGCCTGTGCATCTCACAGTGCCTCTTTCCCCCGTCCCTCGCACAGTCCGATGGTAGCTCCCCGGTCTATCCTTCCCACGGTGTCTCTTCCGCCCGTCCCACCCATGGTGCCTGCCCAGCCCGTCCCTCCTACGGTGCCTCTCCTCCCCGTCCCTCCTACGGTGCCTCTCCTCCCCGTCCTCCCAACGGCGCCTCTCCCGCCCTTCCCTCCCACGGTAGCTCCGGTGACAGTGTGCCAACGAGATGCTAGCTTGCGACCACAAACCGAGCTGCGGGGGAGGATCATAGAAGACGATATAGAAGAGTTTCGCAGTCAGATTTCCATGGAACCATATATTAGACCGCCTCCGACTCAAACGCCGGCTGACGGTCCTCAAGACGTGACTGAACTCAATGCTGAACAGAGACGTGTTATCATCCAATTGGAGGGAGGAAATAACGTCTTTTTGACCGGACCAGCAGGTCTGTCTTCGACACATGTGGTGTTTAAATTGGACGGTCAGAGTTTTTTGACACTAGCTTGACACACAGGAAGTGGCAAGTCTGCAGTGCTTCGATTTATAATTCATGCCATCCGTCAAGGAACCCTCCAGCATCTCGGCCCAGTCGCGGTGACAGCAACGACGAACTTAGCTGCTCTACTTATAGGAGGAGAAACTATACACAAGTGGTCAGTCATTGGGAGAGGAGAAGACAGCATAGACACGGTCGTGAAGCGAACTATGAGAGACCAGAACTCACTCGCTCGCTGGTACTCTGTCCGGCTCTTGATCCTAGATGAGAGTCAGTATCCTTGAGCATATTGATGACCTGATGGGGTATACTGAACATATCGTCCAGTTTCAATGCTGAATGCCGGGTTATTCGATTACCTGGAAACCCTCGCTTGTCGTCTCCGCGGATATGGCCATCCATTCGGCGGAATTCAAGTGAGTCTGGTGCTCAATCCTAGGGTGGGTGTGCCTGATATCGGACATAGCTGTTGTTCTGTGGGGATTTTTTTCAGTTACCGCCGGTCGACGATGATGGCTGCCAAACTGGGGCTTACGCCTTCCCGGCCAGGAAATGGCATTCGTGCTTCCCGGCCGTGGTACCATTGACACAGATATATCGACAAACAGAGACAGGTGCGCATATATAGTACCATACCTCGGGTACAGCCCAAATGCTGATTTGATCACCAGAACTTCTTGACTTCCTGAATGACATACGGATGGGGACCCTCAACGAGAAATCAAGCAACCTGATGTGTCGCCTAGAGAGACGTGTTATTTATCCAAATGGAATGCGACCGGTGGAAATGTGGGCTGCTCAAGCTAATATAAATGTGATGTACTGATGGGAAACTTATTACCAGACATTGCCATCGAAGCAATGTAAACTGGACAAATCAAAACTGTATCTCTGACTTGCCTGGGATGCCCGTGACCTATGCAGCTATAGACACAAAGGAGCGGCGAGAAACAAGAAAAGGAAGACAAGCTATCGATCGAATGTTCGACAAGGAACGAGCACCAGTCACATTAACGCTCAAAGTGAATGCTCCCGTCATCCTCCTGAGAAACATGCCAGAGCACGTAGAGCTTGTGAAAGGGCGCTTCGGCACTGTTCTAGGCTTTGTCACACACACTGATTGGGAATCAAGAGGAGAAGACATTTCCTTGTTCACGGACATGGAGCTGTATCCGACAAAGGCAACTGTTTTCAAAGATTTGATTGACTCCTCGACGAGGTATCCAATTGTGAGATTTAAAGAGATCGCCCATCTCAGGGCGATCACGGTGCTGGTGTGTCCCCAGGACTGGGAGGTCATGCGAACGTGGGGGGAAGGCCAGACCAGATCGTTCGGAGGATACCGTCGCCAGGTGAGCCAGTGCTGGAGAATTTGTGATTTCCACATTTAACTACGGATGGACAGTTGCCCATTAATGCTGCCTATGCACTAAATGCACAGGAAGCTCAAGGACAACGATTTCCAAGGGTTCGTGTGAATGTCACTCAAGCATGGGAAGCAGGTAGAAGAGAAGAATGTGAGAATATCCTCAGTTGACAATGACGGTTTCCAGGGCATGCGTATACAGCATTATCACGAGCAACTTGTCTGTCGGGGTTGGAAATAGTCCCATTCGGACGAAGCAAGGTGATCTTGCTCGATGATTGTCAAAGTGCCTGGCTGAACAACTTCTCAAGATTATTGCCGACAAGGAGGTATTGAAGTGGTGGCATTCAGTGGTGGAGCAGAATGGCGGAGTGTTAAATTGCAACACACCGTGAAGGGGCCTGTATGGAACAGACTTGGGCTTCCTTTTTGTACTGGGAATAATTTTCAAGGATACGGCTCCTTCGTAATACTCATATTTCCTTGCCCTTCGATAAACTTTTGTGCTCTATATATGTTAGGAGATCAGGGCGATATGGCAGTGCCCGTAGCTTCCAACATCTCCCGGCTCGCAGCTCGCTTCCCAGGCCTTCGAATAACGAATCACTGGAAGTGGCTGTGTTTGTTTGCTCCATTCAAGGAACACGTTCGAATACATCCGCTCTCGTGACGCGGCTGATCAACAACCGGTCTGCAAGACAGGAGGCTCGATGGGACCCAACTCTACCTCAATCTGTCACTTTGCCAGGTCGCAACCTTGTGATCCTGGAGAACATGTTGTCTTCTGGGGCAAGCAGCTCCTCATCCGGCGGGTTGAGCACGACGCAGTCGATCGTGTTGGCGTCATCAATACTGGCCCATGCTCAACAAGCTGTGAGGAAGCCGCGTCAAGGCCCGAATATCTTGTCATTTGAGGCAGAGCCGAAGGCGTCGAGCACGACGAAAGACTACTTGCAACTTCTGTATCCTTGTGCTCGTCTGTATCAAGCCTGTGAAGACGATGGAAGAGATGACGTTATAGTCGGAACTACTGCACGTATGGAAGTGAACGAAAGATCAACCGTGTTCGCGGTGGACATGATTTTCTGCCGCAATACGGCGAGTTTGACTGCCTTAAACCGTGCCAAGTGGATAAATCCAAGTGAGTGATTCCCAAGTGGTTACTTTTTGGACCGTTGTTGACCGTGGGAGAAGGCACGGATCACAAGGTATCAACAAACCCCGTCGAGCCGTGAGTGAACTGGAAGGTGGTCCACGTCAGGCCTAGCCGGGGCGGGCATGTGGGCTTGGGAGATGAAACGCAAGCAAGGTCAGCCTCTCGAGATAAATGGTCGGATAGATGCTGATGTTGTGCAGTGGAGGGGAGGGAAATGACAATCGCTACAGACCTACCGCGGACATCCTGGAGATGCTACAAATCGGTCCCCGCATACGACCACAGACAGATGTGAAGAGAGCATGGGATGATTGGGGCTGGTGAGACCTTTCGTATGGTGGTTTAGTACGGTGGCTCATGGAAAAAGGCGAATGGCAAACCGTATGGTCATCTATAACATTGCTGGGCTGGAAGGCAAAGCGAGAAAGCTACAGGGGTGTTTCTCGGAATCAGTCAGTGACATTCTGCAGAAATGGGAACCAAATCTTGCGACATTGGGAGATCGTCCAGCTGTGGCGTTCACCCTTTCTTCATCCACCGAAGTATATATCAACTTCCAATACGAGCAGGCCTGTCTAAACGGTAATGAAGAAGAATATACGAAGTGGAACGGATTAGTGTTGAAATACGAAACCCTTGAAGACATTGTGGGCTCCAAGGAGTCAAGGAGGACACCGAAGTCTGCGATGACGAAACAGAAGCAGGGGAAACCGCAGAAGAAAAACCAAGCTTCGTTGGAGTGTACTCTCCCAGCAACTATCGTGGATGGGCTTCCATGCTAGGAATGTTGCTGCAAGCGGTCTCAAATGAGTTGATTGGCATTCGAGAGGATGAGACGCGAATGATGGGGATGAGCTGCGGGAAGTGCATCACGGGAAACACAAAGAACGGTGTTCCTCGGCGTGGAACTTGCGAGAGGTGCCTCTGCCAGGATATCGAAGAGTCGATTTCGGATCGTATTGGATCGTTGTCGGTGCATCTGGAGATTTTGTGGGGGTGTATATACCCCCGCAAAGGTACGATGCCCCCTACTGTCCAATGCTTCAACATAATCGAAAGACTCCTGAATGATGACAAAATCGGACTAGGACGGTACCTGGAGTCATTCATTCATGAGTGTCCTGCAACATTTTAATTTGCTGAAACTGACTATTTTGCAGTTAACAATGATGGGTATCAGGGTACACGTCATTGCAATTTTCATCTTCTGGCAGGTTTAGCTAAAGCACACATGTTGCGGGATAAAGATCATACTTTATTGAACGATTTCCTTCGCGATATCTGCCTGTGGCACGAATTCGGACAGCGGTTGGCAGCTGTTTATCGCCGGTCGGATCCGAAAGTCTCGGAATCGCCCATGGAGCTCATTGTTATTGAAGGTCACTGCCGATCCCCACTGAATTCGATACCAGAAGATGTAGCTGGGAAATTGACGAAGCGCCTGTTGAAAGAGGCGGGTTTAGGAGAAGATCATCGGTCGGAGGTCCTCAGTATTTTGCTTGGCCGTAATTCCGATCGCACCGAGGCCAAGATCCATCCAGACTCTGTAATTTCGGCTATTCAGAAATTCAACAACAGTTCCAATCTGTGCGAGGGGGCATGTGTGCACGAGGACGGGAGGTGTAACCTATTTCGCCTGCTCCAAGGGGAAGGTGCAACGCTACGAGCTATTCAGGTGAGTTTTAAGGCCATGCTGCCCTTGCCTTTTATTTGCTCATATATACTCATATCTATACCCAAACAGCACAGCTATCGTACACCAGCAAGTACGGTTTCTTGCGCAGTGTGCTGTTGGATCCGTACACCTCGTGAGAAGCGACCACGAACCTGTGAAGGCCTCGGGGATATATATGCGTGTTATCCATTCGGTCTTACGGACAACGAAGGAAAGGAGGTGGCCCAGATGTTGCAGAGGACGTGTGTCTCAATATTGCAGTCTTTCCCCAAGTGAGTCTGATGGTGGTATTCTAACTGCACTGGCTAGGAAGGACGGAGGGAAGGAAATACAGGGCTCCAGGCTCCAGCAGGCTGTTGTACGGGTTACCATGTTCATGTAAAATACTACATCAATTGGAGTGGTGTCAATACATGCTGCTTTTCTCCCCACATTCGATGAGAAAGGCTGGAGATGTCGTTGCTATGGAAGGAGGGGGATGTGATAGAATGCTCCCAAAAAGGCCACGAATAGAAACCATAACAGAATCTTGTCATGGACGTGAGGGGTAGGTGCATGCCATGATAAGATCCAAGCGGAATACAGGCATGCATCCCATGATACTCGAGTGCATCTCATGAGCGAGTTTTGTCCAGCGAAGAGATGTGGGTGGATCCCATAATACAGTCCAAGCGGAGGACGGGCATGCATCCCATGATACTGCAGCACATTTCATGAGCGAGTTTTGTTGTTGTCTAGTGAAAAGATGTGGGTGTTTTTTTTACTCAGTGTGTCCCGATATTGCCAGGTTGAGAGTTGTGTCGGAGATCTGTGGCAAAGTGGTAATCCGGCAACGTAGAATTTTCGCGTTCCGTCCTGTACATAGTCCGCGCCGTGCGCACCCTAATCCATACCGGTCTTTCCCTCCTCCCACCACGACGATAACAGATTGGACTACGTACAACTCCGACGTGCGGATTAGAATGAAGAGCTGCCAGAGGCCAGGGGGATGAAAAAAGAAGGTTCTCAGGTATGATCGGACGTGACACTGTCTTTAATCTGGTCAGCAAACAGGCGCCTCCGCACCGGGACTGGCCAAGTGGGAGTGTCCATATCCTCATCATCGGTTTCCTGGTTTTGGGAAAGACGTGCCAAAGACTTGGCTGCACCGTACATATTCATGAGCTTTTCCGACGCTGTTGGAGGGGTGGCCCCAGCAAGGGACTTGTTTGGGGAGCTTTCATTTGTTTTAGGGACGTCATCAGGGTAGAGAAGAGAATGAAGCAAGAGGGTGGCAAATCGACGCTCGGCGTCTTGATGCAAGCCAAAGAGCTTTGTTCGAAAGCCAATGCCGTGGCTGCCATCTGTGTTGACATAATGTTGGTGTCCATATAAGGCAGTGAATGCGCAGTGTGCACAGGCCTTTTTGGGGCAAACAGCAATGGGGATGGCTCGCTGGATGAGTTGAGTTTTGTGTTCTCAGTTTGGGCAAGGACTCACGCTCAAAGAACCCCACAAACCAAGAACGCCCTGTGCCTCGCGAAAAAGGTGACACCTGGCATCCTCATGGTCACAAGTAGTGCCTGAACAGATCTCGGCCGGATCTTTAGCTTGGTGCATAAGGGCCATGAGGATAGACTCGCAGTGGAAGTGGTAATGGATGCCAGTTGTTGGGGCATTCTGGAAGAAGCGGTCGTGCTTGAGTTTGTTGAATGTTCTGTCTTGAAAGGGCAAAGAGTTGAGCCATTCCCGTATCGCGCTGAGCTCAGAAAGAGAGAGCACTAGGCTGGGAGTCTGAGTACCAGTGATGACGATGATGTTCGGATTCCATGGGTGCATAGGAGAGCTTGTAGGGGACCGGAAGTAACAAGCTACATCTTGGGTCGCCAGAAAGAAGCCACAGAGATTGATCAAGGACCATTTTAGGGCGGTGCCAGCATACTGAACTGTAGATTCATCACCCTCGGCGTCGGCACGAACAGACATGGTGTCCTCGACTTGATTCTGTCTGTCATCATCGAGAAATGTATCATCGTCACTGGGCAGAAGGACGGCGCTCGATGGGGTCTCCAAAACTAGCGACTCGGATGTGGTGCTTTTCATATGGGGCCTAAAGTTTGGAGTGATTGCTTTCTCTGAAGAAAACTTGAGGAACGAGGGCTTCTACTTGGGATCAGCTTACCTAGGAAATCTGCCAGACCAAAATCCACGTCACTGAACAATGTCTGGATGACAGTAGGAAGAGACATAGGGAAAGAGGCCATAGAAGATACATCACCATAAAAGAAATGGGAAAGGACTTCAAGGCTGACGGAGAGGTTATCGAGTTGTTGTGGAGGAAGTGCGTGAGTCGTGGAGGTGGTGAACACCTTCATCTTCCGACTTCGTTGGACTCCACCAGCCAGCTTATTGTCATGGCTTTCGAGGGCATTCAGTGCAGCTGTAATGCACGCTAGGTGATAGGAGAGGAATGCCGCCCATACGTGTGCATTGTTCTTGCTGAAAGTACCACGGGCAGCAGAAGACGCATGAGGAGCGAGAGAGGCGTCTTCCAACAACGTGGCCCAGTTAACTGGACGTCCATCCAGCTTGACCTCGTTCGTCAAGAGATACGAAACACAAGTAAGAATAGAGCCCGATAGCCGGACCGGATAGGAGGGGACCAGGGCATCATTGTCAGCGATGCTTGCCGACTGTTTCAACCACCAGTCTCGAAGAAGGTGCACGATGGACGGCTTGAAAGGTCGATTCACGGTTCTGAGTCTTTCGCCCAGTTTGCGATAGCAATTCCGCAGAACAAACCGGTATATGGTCCTGGTAATAGACTAATAGATTTCCAATGGATTTGAGGGCGTAAACTGACTCAGGTGGTATGGTGTCAGTTCTGAGCATTCCAACCAACCCTTGAACGTAGGATCGGAAGGCGGGTTGAACAACCATGCCATCACTAGAGGGGTAGAATAAACATAGTCCAGTAAGTGAAGGGGAAGAAGGGAAGTGAGAACGCACGTTTGGAGCAGCTGGCGAGCGAGATTGATGAGTTCGTCCGGCATGGAGGAGGGGATTGGTTCGACAGACCACTTGGGTGAAGCATGAGAATCCACTGCACCTGCCCGCCCCAGACCTCACATGCCTTTCGAACTACTTGTGGCGCGCTAGAAACAAAAAGAACACGCAAACGGCCAAGACAAGACGCGTGCACACCCTTATCCCCAACTCGGCCAACCCGCTTCCCTGCCCGCCTGAACGTCAGTGTCGACCTAAGCCTGCACGATGCCCATATCGACCACCATTCAGCCAGCCGGTACAGTTTGGTCAGACGACGACGTCGGTGAGGGGCCGTACTTAAACGTTTCGCGCAGGATTACATCGTGTCGGCAACAGCAGCATGCGCGCTGAAACCACGCGCCGCCAAACCCAGATCAACACGTCCACTGTGCAGTACGCGTCTGTCAACATCGCGCTTGGTAAGCAGGTCCATCATCCCCCCCCCCCTTCCTGTTCAAGCAGCCGACTCAGTCTAATCCCATTGCACAGCGCACGGCACGCCTTCCGTGGCCGTGTACGAGCTACTGCGGATGACATACCGGTCCAACTCGCGCCCTCAGTCTGTCATCTTTCAGGCATTCTCGTCCCTGCCAAGGCCATCGACCAACCGAACGTCCATGACACAAGAATCCATCGCCCGCCATGGATGATCCCACAACACCCCCCCCACACGCCACTGCACTCGACTCGTCTCTCGGAGCCACGCCCATCCAGGCGGTAGCCTCGACCTCGCCACTATGGTTCACCGCAAAGCTCGAGGAAAAGCGAAAGTGGGTGCTTGAGGAGATTGGGCCACGTGTTCCGGCGCTGCGAACGGAGCACTTCGTGCGCAGCGCGATGCCCAACGCCCCCTTTCGTGCGGACTTCTTCCAGGAGGTCCTTCTTGCGCTCATCCGAAAGCACGACTACGATGACGAGACGAAGCTATGGACCGGTCTGGCAGCTGATCCGAGCACCGCGGAGGGACACGAGGATCTAATCTACGCCCCTCTGGCCAAGTTGGTGGAGACCATCCTGGAGACATGTGAAGAACTGGATCCGAGCTTGAAGAGAACGGCAGAGTATCACCATCTGCCTCGTCACGCGCCGCGAAGTACCGGTACTCGAGCGAAGTGATTACTCGTACGACCAGACGCATACCTACTTGTTGTAGACAACGAGAGGTGCGCTGCATCCGTGTCCACACACGAAGAAGAGCCTTACGTGGATGACAGTATAGGCGAAAGGATGACCGGCTTCGGTGTCGTCTCTAGACTGGCCAGTCCCGGCCATCACTGGGTCGACATCATCGATATCTCCGAATTCAAAAAGTCGGCGGAGAAGGGACGCGAGGTGAGTACTTTACTGCGTTTCTTGGATTGACGCCAACGTATCCCTGATCTCCGAATGCTCGGCTGTGCTGCAACTAGTGTTCGGTATGCATCACGTCCTTGACTCGTACATGAACCGGTCGTTGGTGTTTGGGACGACGATCGCAAGACGCCAAACACGCTTCTGGAAGATGTCACGGGAGGGATTGGTAACAACTGAGCCAATTGATTTTCATACGGTGCGTATACAGCGACCCACGCGTAGCCCCGGACTGCCCTCTTACACGCACGCTTGTGGCCAGGAGGCCCTGTTGTTCATCGAGCACACGGCTCGGCTCGCATATGCCAGCACGGCACAGCTTGGCATTGACGACACGGCCGCACTGACTCAGGACAAGGAGCGCATCGCGACCATATCAATCAATAAGGAGACATACTTTATCGTCCGCACCCTCTTCCAGCACCCAGCTCACAATATATGCAGCCGTGCCGCCCGTATTTGCGGTTAGGTGCCAAGGCGATCCTCCGAACGCACCCCAGAAGGCGCTGAAAGACTACTGGACGCCGAAAACGCGTGCCTCCGAGGCCGCGATTCGATGGAGTCACTGAGGCGTATGCTAAAGCGAATCCCGCCCTAGGTTGGGAAGACGCAAAGCAGACTGCTCTCGCTCACTTCATGCCTGTTGAGGCTGAATGGGTTGTCGAAGTGGATGGTCGACCTCATGAAACGCCCGGGGATGTCGATAACAAGCAAGGCCATGCTAAGGAAACCTACTCGCTGCCCTCGACCGGCATGTTCGGCGAGCTCCTGCCTGCATCCTCGGGAAGCCAATCCCGTAGCCTGTCTGGCCAAGATCTCCGTACTACACGAATTCCACATCCTCCCACGACTTCCTCCGCCAGCAAAGTGCGGTATCAGCGCCAGCATCGTCACGTTTTGTACGGTGAAGTGGGTACACTCCTTTGGCAGCTTGGAGACCCGCGCAGAATGGTCAAGGTTGCGCGGCGGTGAGTGTCAGGGCATTCCCCTCAGCCCGCTCTTACCACGTGCTGACCTCACGTATAGCTTGCAAGGTGCTGGTACAGGTCGAGATCGCTCACAGGGACCCCAGCCCTAATCAGATATATGAGCCGGCGGAGCTCAGTGAGCTATGGCGAACGGTGGGACTGGCAGAGAAGGAGGGCATGGCAGCCAAGGAGATCAACAGTTTAATTGAGCAAGCCGATGCGCTTGGACCGGTTGTGCGGGTTGGGGGTCCTGAGTATATGTTGCGTTTCCTCACCCGTCGCCCTATAGGCGTCGACGGGGCAGCCCTGCCCACGGGCGAGGTAGAGGCTCTTACTGTGCGCATGCCACTTCCTGTCTTATTCTTGACCTGCTGACCGCATGCGGTCCTCAACAGGGCACCGTGTACTACATGAGCTCTGAAGTGTTACAGAGGCGATGGGGGTTCTCACCCCAGACGACAACTCCCAACATACGACCACCTCCTGCTGAGAAAGGCGCACTCTACCGCATCCAGGTTCAGCCCAATTCCTCCAGTCAAATAGACTTCATTCCGCACGTCGGTCACGATTAGAAAGGATTTTTCCTCTGGCCTCTCATCTGGATTGCGGTATTCTTTGTGGTAGTGGACGAACCAGACATGACGCGTGTACGTCAGGCGGTGAAGGACTATCTTTTCGGCTTGGACGGCGGTATTATGGGTCTCGCTGGACGTCGCCACCAATGGCTCTCCTCTGGCCAGGTCGACTTGCAGGGTAAGGGATACAATGCAAACCAGCTCCTAGAACTCGAGGATGGATGAGTGTTCCCCGACAAACTGCTGCCTGTGTGGGGTTTGGCCGAAGGAGTGCGTGTGCTCATTCTGAAGATGCATCAAGGTTGGCAGATGGATTGGGACACGGTAATATTCTCCCGCGGCCTGGAGGACATCATCGCCACGTACCGGCAATGGCTGCCCAGCATTCAACGTACCCATATTCAGCGGTACGAGGAATCTAGCAACCGCGTACATACTCGCTCCGGATCGCAGTCTACCGGCGCAGGGGAACCGCGCAAGAAGAAGTCACGGGGTCAGTAGGCAGCGAGAAGGCAGTAGAACCATAGTATCATCGCACAGGATAGGAGCAATGTTAGGGGCCTGAAGGAATCGCGAACTGTAATTCTGACCATGTGAATTATATCGCTATATTGGCCCAGATAGGCTTGCAAATGCTATCAGCATCACGGTTTCGCGTCGGTGGGTCAGAGGTTTCAGGGTCCTCGCCTGTGCCTCGTTCACGTCCAATCGCCTCATGCATCGCGCACCATCACTTCGACTTCTCCATATGAAGTACGACCCGCCTCCGACCTCGTCTTTCGCACCTGGTGCATTCATGTCATCGGGTGCGTCGTTCGTGCTCCCGGCGATTGATCAGTCTTCCAAATCCTCGCCTCAGTAACTCTCTGGCGTGCACGCCGCATCGAGCAAAGTATTCAATGTCTTGCTATTGACGACCGGCCAGCACGTCAGGATGGGTGGCCTGCAAAGCTCACCGGGATGCTGCGGGAATTCACTCAGCCACGATCAGTAGACCGATAATGAGGGCGTGTGTACAAGGGCTAGGAGGGGGAGGAGCTGAACCTGGCAACACGGATCGGGAGTAACGGTGCGCTTGCCACGCGTTCTGCTTCCTAAACGTGCTCTCAAATGCTCCAGATCCAGTTACATATGTCCACCAAAGCTGCCTCGCGACGAGCATAAAACGACGGCTGAGAGGTGTGCCAGTTCGTCTTGCAGCATGCCCTAGATACTCACGCGCAACTCAGGCTCATCGATCTGCCGTAGCCCGACGGCCACGCTCGGATCGTTTCGGTCACTTCGCGAAGCAGCGCATATCTGGTTCATCAACAGCTTTAGCCGCCTTGAACTAGTCTGGTGGAGCCAAAACTCAAATCCGACTATCGTCCACATACACCCGCGCTACTTTGCCAGCGTATGGTGCGACGTAGCTCATTGTGAGCCTGCATGGATCAATGGGAGCAACCTCCTCGGTACTCGAGCCTGGTAAAGCTTGCTGCATCGACACCAACACCAACCTCTGGTCCATCGGGTATCCTCTCGACCGATCCAGTGGCCCAGCAAACAGCTCACTATCTCAGAGACGCCAGCACGGCAGACGGAATTCGCTCCCTTGCACCAGTCCTTCAAAGTCGCGTGCCGCGAGGTCCACGCGAGCACCGTTCATGCGCCTCGCTCAGAGGACTGAGTAGCTGCCCGGTCTCCAACGTCAAAGAGCGGCGCCGATAAGGTAGAGGAAGCTTATGTCATGGAGACGTGGAGGCATGGGGGTCTGATTGGATAAGGTTGTCAGCACCACGTAGCACACGTAGACTCAATTGAATCACAAGAAGGGTGTAAGACGATATGACTATCTATGTTTATAAGCTGCTCATCATTTCCCGCTCCCGAATGCTGTGGGTGCCAATCCCCTCTTCCCTCGCTGATAAGGTACGGAGGACGGCGGTCCACTCATCAGGAAGCAATCTAACCCGACCGCTCCGGCGGTCCGCAATGCTGACCTGCGAAACTAGCTCAGTTGAGCTGTGCTGGTCAGCTTCGGCAGGTGTACCTAAATCCAATTGCACCATCCTCATTTATCAGCCTACTCTCTGCTCTCGATGCGACTGTGTGCGGTGCAGCCGGAGTGCGTCCGGCGTAACGAGGCCTTCACTGCAGTACGTACAGACAAATCGAGGCTTCCAGCGAGAGCCAAACGCTGTAGTCATTCGGTCAGCCGACGGAACACTGAACAAGTAGGGCCAGAGCGCACACGATGTGGGAATATCGCCGGATATACTCCATTTGAGACCGCGGCGCCGCAAGCAATGTTCCCGGTGCTGGTTGCGCCAGCGACGGACGAAGCTGGCGGGAGATTGACACCGTCTCGCACAGCGCGTCTTCATTCCGTCAGCACTACGAAGCAAGCAGGGACCATGGCTCCTCAGATGAGCTCCGGAGAGCGGACCGAGCAGGGGTATGCAGGGTCGATGTAGCTGCGCTTGGACGTGCGCTGACCCGACCGCAGGCGCCAAAGATATAAGGCGATTGAATTGCCACGGCAACCAATCATCGTCTGCATGTAGTGTATGTACCATTTGCATTAGCGACAAGTCATTGTATGACGCACCAAAGATTCTGCCTTGACCTGGTCCACCATACACGAGCCTGTAGACAACGTCGGTAGTCATCCGCGGAGCAGGGAGCGTGGCAGACGCACCAGTTCACTCCTGTTTGTACAACGATCCCGGTTCGCCCAGCTCCCGATCCCATCAAATCGCCTTCCTTCCAATCTTCCCAGACACGACGTCTCGATCGCTGAGTGACAAGATTCGCATCTCAATAGATGGAAGGCTGCAAGACAGGTCGAGGCAAGTGTTTGATCCTACGGACAGGCGAATTGAGAATGAGGGAATCGGCAAATGGACTTTGGGATGGAGGATGCATACGTGTACACACCTGTCACATACCAGGAGAGCCAGCAATCGACGCGTGAACATGGTTCGCCCTCTTCGCTCAATGGGGTGTCAAAGTCGGCGCAGCTGTGCACAACAGCGAACGAAGGGCGAGGATTCCGTGTATCGCACACTGATCGCAACGGGCACACTTGACCGCTGAGGGTGGTGCGGAGCCGGAGCCGACAACGAAATCCGACTACTAGGATATCGGTCGGTTTTCAGGGCGGCTCATTCGCACATCGCTTGTGCCAATGGGCTGTTGGCAAGCTTGGAGCATCGCACGTTCGAGCTGAGATCAGAGTATGACACGCGGAAACAATGGTGGAGACGAACGTAATGGATGGTCGCGTTTTGACCGTTTCAGGTTTGCTGGTCCTCTCCCCGGGTGGGTACGAACAAGAACGGCAGCAGCAGCGAAAGGAAGCAGATAAGCGCAGCCGGCTCAGAAGGAAGAACGTCGCGACCAGACAGCCTTCCGGCACTTCCAGCAAAGTGCTGGAAAGCTCCCCACTTGTAAATGTGCCAGGTACAATGTCGTTGTCTTGATCATCGTCACAAACCGATTTGGGCGTCTGAGTGGCTGACCGCGTGCTGGCGATAGACGCGTACGTGCGCGGTGGTGCCGGGTCCGGTCTCCAGTCGCAAGTCGTGGGGCAGAACAGTCTGGTCTGGTACATAGAAGTGGAAGAGGAGGATCGTGCGGATCGGTCATCGGTCATCTTCCGGCGAGGCCCGAGAGGACGGTAAGGGAAGGTGCGAGTGGGGCCAGAGATGAAACGATAGACACTTCAACTGAAAAAAGCGGTGCATCATATCTGTGCACGGGCAAGCTTGTGGAATGGAGAGACGCGGTACGAGGGTCATCGTTATCGTCCTCGAGAGGTACGACGTGTCGTAAGGTACACTGATAGGGGTGGGATGAGAGGAAGGGACGGAGAAGAGAGCAAGCGATTCGGTGGAGATTTGGAGGAGGGTATGTCGATTAACTGGCGCTGGCGCACGCGAAAGAAACCGAAATGGACAGCGATGTGCGGAGGTCTTGGAGGGGTCGGAGGTGTTTGCTGCTTTCACAGTCGATGATCTGACAGATTGGAAGAGGGCGCAGAGTTGTTTTGACAGAACGAAGGTGGGGAGTTGGCAGGGGCACGTGGTTTTGGTGCTCGGATCCTCCAATATACTATTGGCGCGGGGTGCAGGGGTTTGTACAGCGATAGAAGCCAGGAGGAAATGCGAGAGAGAGTTCCCAGACTTGGCCGCGCAACTGCGAAGGCAATGTCAGTTCATTGTCATGTCCGATTGAGGATGCAAAGACTTACTTATCCGTTCTTATAGCCGAGGGTGAGAGCATTGTCACCGCCTTCGTTCCCACAGGATAGCGTACTTGGACAGCCCGCCGGGAGGGATGAGCCGTACTGCCATCTGGATCTCGCGGAGGGGGATGGTTGGCCAGCATGCAGGTGAGGATGAGTCGTACTGCTGTTCGATTGTTGCTGAAGGAGCTGGTCGACCCGAACGTCACGGACGTCGTGCCGTCAAGGGATAGCATACTTGGGCAGCTCGCCGGGGACAAGGAGCCGCACTGCCGTCTATATCGCGGGAGGAGAGGGCCGACTTCTTGAGTTCCGAAGCGAGCTCTGCGGTGGATGTTGGCACAACGTGCAAGATTAGCGAAGGTGATGAAGCGCACTGGAAGCTTCCCTGGTAAGGCGCTCAAAGATATTGTTGCCGACGGAGTCGAGGGAGACCACGGCCTGGTTGGAGATACCAGTATCGAGGTGGACCTGCTTAAGGACGGTATCGCGTCATCAGTTCAATGGCGTTGTATTGGGTAGGGATATTTTGCTGCGTCTGCTGCGTGCAGCCGCGTTGGCTGCCGCGCAGGACGGGCTACTCTACCCAACACACAATTGTCACTCATTGTTCAATATTGCTTGAGAAGTCGTTTAGTAGACAGAAAAATAACATTGGCATACGTAAAGGCTCGTCAGATATTGACCTACAGTGTTAGTGAGTGTCGGTTCAGCTCTCTGCTCATAGCTGGGCAACTCAAGTTCTGTTCAGTATCCGTTCTGATGCCGGAGTCGATCATAACAGGGCAGAACGGGTGCCAGTTTGAAGAGCGCTAGCCTTCACTCTGATACCCTTAGATAAGGAGTGCGAGCAGTAACCCGGACACCAAAATTTTGTTGGTTTGCTTTTGGTACTCCACAGAAGGTGTCTGATTCCGATCCCAGGTCACTTCTATCAAATTCACAAACCCGTGAATGCTAACACTCGGGTTGATCGTGCTCAATCGCGTATGGTATACCCAATAGACATATGAATAGCTTTGGGATCAGAAGGGTTATAAACCGGACCAGTAGCAGTGGACCACGCATCTCTTATATTCCGAATTATACATCCTAAGGGGGAAATGAAGTACGTGCTCGCTGAGAAGGCCAGCGACTGGAACGCATTCAGCAACGAGGTCAGAACCAAATGATCCCACTCCGCACCTTCCGTGCCCAACCTCTGTACCATTAACAGGTAGTATAAGTTGCTTGACTATAGTCGGGTGGAAGGAGGATTGTTTCGGCGCCATTTCCCGCCCCAATTTCTTCTTCATTTGGATAGCCTGAGAGGTGCCACGCATCATCATCCCGCAGGATGAATGGTTGCGCTGGAGAAGGTATCGTAGGACCTGGATATCCGCGTGCTGATTGTGTGTTTCTAGAATTGGTGACAGGGCTCCATGGGGATGAGATGGTTGAAGCGAGAGTTGTTAACCCTGCTGAGGAGGAGGTATTCTGATGGCCGAAAATACCCGGCGGTGCCCTCTTTCTGTGGGCATCAGCCTGGTGATCAGGGATGGACATATGCTGAGCAGGGATTGATCTCATCGGTTGCAGACTACTGTTTGCAAGTGCGGAGGTCTCCATTATTTGTCGATTTCGGCGTCGACATTGCCAGAATATGAGCAACGCCCCGACAAGCGCTATGAATAGTACGCCGCCAACCACCCCACCAACAATTGGTCCGATTGGCCTGGACCGTAATATCAGTGACCGAACAGTGAGAGCTCTCAGTGCAGACTCACGTTGAAGTCGTAGGCAATGCACCTGACGTCTTATTAGATCCAGTCGGTCCAGGTCCATCGGGGGTTCCCGATGCAGTGCCAGGGCTTGGATTCAATGGGATGGTAGAATTATCGCTGGAATGCAATCAGCAATGTGAACCCATGGCGAGTCAATAACGCACCTCCAAATATTCGCGTAATCCACATCGAAGGACGACGCGCCATTGAACAATGTCAATTTGTGCACTCCCTCACCCAAGGAATTCGCATGGTACAACAGCGTTTGGGGAAAGAAGTCGTACGAGTGCGCATTCAGTGAGAGTGGCTCTTCAGAGTCCAATACAGCAACAAATGGGCCATACGGTGTATCCACGCCTCCGAATACTGAGATAGCCTGTCCTTCGAAGTTGATTATCACGCTAGCTTGGTTGGTGTTTGCCTCACTAAGACATTTCAGGAAGAGACATCGTTGTTGAATGGTAGGCGTACTGCAATGTCCCATCCAAATATGACGTTTGTCCTGTAGCTCTCGATGTGCTCCAACCGGAGCTATAACTGAATTGACCCGAAGAATCGTCTACAGTGCTGGTCTGAACTTGGCTGTTTTATATGTACTCAGGGACAGCAGTAGGAAACATTCAAACCCACGTACACACCACCTGCATCCCCAATCTCAGTTTCAATTGTGATGTAATCCACGTCAACCCAATTGTAGCTTGTATTGATCGGGAGATTGGTCAAGGTGACGTCGTGGGCCCCCATTGGTAGGCCTGCTTGACCGAACAAGAGCGCCTTGAAGTCCGAGAGAACTGTACAACCGGAGTCGTTCGCATACCCAGATAATGGGCCAAAGTCCTGAGTGTCGATTGAAACGGAGTAATTGCCCTAGATCTGCCATTCATCAGGATACTTTGGTGGACAATAGTCGTCTCACATGATTAGCTCTGTTGGCACCATAGATCCAGATGCCAGTACCTGGAGACACAATGAGCAACTTAACCATGGAAGATATAGCTGGTTCACCATTGAATGTTAACGCCATCGTCGCCTTGTTGATGTTGGTGCCAGTAAAGCTGCCCAGGAAGATGACGAAGCGCAGTAGAGGAAAAACATGGGCCCATACCTGGAGTCAGAATACAAGCCCCTACATCCGTCAGTCGTAGTGCTCGCACCCCATAACAAGGATCCTGCAGGTGGGTTCGAGGGGTTCGTGTATGTAATAATCTGTGCATGTGAGCTGAAACGAGTGAGGCACTCAACGTGGGAACGATACGGACAGGAGATGTATCCTCAAATGACAGATTGAGGAGCATAGTGTCTGCACTAGAATGGCGTCGCCGTTGTGCCCAGCTCAGCAGGCGCTAACCGATGGGACGATGAGGTCACCGAGGATAACACTGTTCAAGTGCGCACCAAGGGAAAGATGTCCAACACGCAGCATCGAGGACAGGATATTTTATCCAACAGCTGCGCCTATCATCGCATGACATGGTTTCCAGATCATGCGCCAAGGATGTATTTGCCGAGAATCGCGGAAATTCTCCGACACTGCCAGCTGTCCATCATTATTATCACCAATTGCGCACTACTGAGGAGCATGGACAATAAATAGAGGAAGCGAGCAGGGGGATCGAAGCCTTGATGCTCCAAATGTTAGGGATGTTTTGCGCCTTCATCAGAATACTTGACACGTGAGGCATTCCATTCTGTTCCCGGTTGCACAAGCCAACATTTCGCCGGGGTTTATAGGATACAAGTTTCTCCAGGAGGCTCCTCCTTTAGTCGCGGACATCACTGAAAAGGGTAGGTCGAAAGGCGATCCATCAGGGACAAAACGAAGGAGTCAAATAGCCATAATTCATACCAATCAGACTTGTTCACAAGACATACATGCGAGGGCCGGGGGTTCGAGCTATGTAGCCGGAGTCCAACTGCGGTACTCGTACGTGCACATCAGCCTCCGGCTTCATGCTGGTACCATTGATTGGTCATTGCCCTTGCCAGCGAGGACATTTCTTCTGATCGCAACAGTCCCGACAGCGTGACATTGACCGAGCAGGAGCAGAGGGAACAGTAGCCACGAAGAGCGACTTCCAGCTTACCCGGAAGAATAGCAGCGTTAATATCGAGGTTATGTACGCGGTGCACTGCCATGGACGCGAGGATCTCGTCGCACTTGAGCAAGTACCGCAGGCTTGTGATTGCTTGGTTTGACGTTCATCGTCCTCAATCGAGAGCAGGCGTACAGAATAGAGATGGATTATATCACAGCTATGGGATCACGAAGTACAAATTGGACTACGACGTGCGTGACTACGGTTGAATCCCATCAGTCCTCCCCTTCCTCCTCATTGCCCTCCTCCCCATCCCCCATGGTCCTAAACTTCAGCTTTCCTTCGTAGAAGGCAAGCATCTGATACATGATGAGCACGGTGCGTAAAACTTGACAATTATGGATGATACCTTTTGTGGGCACCGTTTGTTGCATTCGATGTTGGTGCTTACGGCGCTCTGCCCGTCTTTGCTGTTTAATCGTCTTAATGCGGTTTCAGAAAGGATGAACAATCAGACGTACAGTTTGAGGTACACCCTTAGATGAGTACCCTTCTTGCCCACCGAGTTGTCGTTACCCGCGATATTATCCACTCTGATCACCAAGTCTTCCCAGTTCGCTTTTTTCATGTATTTTGCCATGGTATGATCCTCCGCATCAGAGTCGTCTGGCTCTCGTTTCCGCTTAATCGCCGCTTGAGGCGTAGCGGCGGGACGGGAAGAGACTTTAGGAGGGGGAGGCGGCGAGTCGCTGAGTGCGCGGCGTCTGGGAAGGGCTCGCACAGGAGAAGGATGGGACGCGACTCAGGTTCACTCAGTGGAAATACCCAACCAGAAAACATATACTTACCAGCAGGTGCAGAGGCACGCGGCTTTTCCCTAGCGGGCTTGCGGGAGGTGCCGCTTTTGGCTGGCGTTGGCTTGTCCTTGCGAACCTCGCCCATGACAGTAACGTTGAACTTTTCCTGCAATTCCTCGTGACTCTTCCAGAATTTTTCGATCACGTCTGGTGCACCTCTGAGAAGTCTGTCAGAATACGATCTCGATAACAGCAAGACAAGTTACGCGGCATCTTCAGCCGTGACCCAGCTGTTCTCACTCTCGTCGTATTCGTTCCATTTGACGTAGTACTTCAGACTGCCTTTCTGTGAGAACCATCAGGAGGGGTTCTCGTAAGTTAGGTTTGATGGAACGTGTACAGCGCCGCCTTTCTTCACGTCAAGAATCTCTTCCACCTCATAGCCTTCCTCATCGTCTTCCGAGTCCTCAGAAGCCTCATTGTCTACGTCCTGTTCCACCGTGGCAGCCGGTTTAGTTGCCTGTCTTCTGGCACGGGTCATGGTAGCACGTACACGCCGAGAGAAAAAGAAACAAGTAGGTTGAGAGCGAGAGAGGATATTGTCCTCCGGAGACCACACAGGACGCGTGCACGGAAGCAAACGCGCCATTCACGTTCCGCCACCCACCCACCATAAACCCTCCGCCTCTTTCTTGCCACCCTGCACACTCATTGCAAGCGCACTCTGCTATCCCACCCTGTCGTCTGCAGTGGTTGCGACAAAAAGCACCCCCAACTGGTCTAACAAGGGCGCTCCATGGCCTCGAAGTCACCGGAGAAGATCAGACATTGCCCGTTGAACGGGTACAACTACCACAATGATGCCATGCTGGTTCTGAATGTCAAATCGAACGACACACTTGACAATGTCATAGAGTTGTGCTTACCAGAAGTTAATATGACCGGAAATGTGCGGTCAGATATCAAGATATACTAGGTATCTGTTCTTTGCACAACCTCACCTCAGTCCTTCGCTGACGTCGTGATAGACCAGACCACCTCCTAATATTGAGGACCTTCACCCTGAGAATGCGAAAGCCTACCTCGCGGAGAAGAATCGTATCCGCAACCCCCGTCGAACTGTGGACGAAGTATGGAAGGAAGCAGAGCTAAAGCAGCACGACTGCGTACATTTCATTTTGGATTATTGGCGAACCCCCCAGTACGTCTCTGCAACCTCGTCGACCTGCCGAGTGACGCTTACCCGTGCACCAGCTTTGATCAAAAGGGAGCGCTCATCGTCTCTGACGGAAAAGAAGAACAGGGCGCGTGCACCTCGGCGAAACATTGACGAAGGTATGCCCAGATTACTCTTCTCGCAGATTTCGCTCACACTGCACTGCATTTTAAGAATATGACTATATACGCAAACGCTGCCGAGCCGCGGATTTTCCTCCATCCTCCGGCATATCTGGCCCAATTCTTATGGCTCAGCAGAGGCAGAACCCTATTTACACAGGAAGGTCCGCCAGTTTGCGGGGGTATATTCTCGGCATGCTAGTCCCTGCTTTCGCTCGTTTCAAAAGAGAGTATGTTCCAGGTACCACTCGTGATGCCACCCCGAGCGAGAGCACCCAAATATATGATTTCTTCGTCGCTGCGTGCGACTTCTACCACAAAAAAAGCATGCGCAGAGATATGCTGGAACTGATGTGGGACGAACTACTCGACATCGAATGCCACAATTCTTCCAGCACCAGTCGCACATCGCAAGATACCAACACCAGTCGTACATCGCAAGATACCAACACCAGTCGTACATCGCAAGATACCAACACCAGTCGTACATCGCAAGATAGATCGTGTCTCACCTACGTCCCCGGTATTAGAGGAGATGCAGAAATTCTTTTCAAAGACACGAAATCCGAGCTGGCATTTGGTGGTGCAGAACCGGTTCAGCAGGTTGCTCGAGGCGCCGTCAAAGCATGGCAACAGTCAAAGGTACAATACTCTTCCACACTATGGCGTACCTTTGCTGATCCCAACCGATTTTTCTAGCGAGATCTGTTGAGCCGTACCTGTTGCTGTCCCGCCCCGCTCATCAATATCGTAGGGCCATACCTCAAAGTCTCCGGCATCGCTTTTAACCCCACCCCTATGAATGAGAGTTTTACATCGCTCATCTCCCTGGAGCTTAATCGTCATCCCCTGGAGCGGCACATTCTCGAGTTCAACAATCTCCTGCACCACCTCAGGACCTGCATCGAGGACCTCAGGGTCTTCTACTCCGCACTAAAGGCCCCGGACCCTCTAGCATTCATGCCTCGGCACAGATCGTTCCCCATCGGCGATTCGAAGGTGGTTGCGTCCATCGAGTATACCGACATTCTGCTGTCCGGGGAACCTACAAAGACGCTATACAAGGCCCGAGTGCTCGACCAAGACTGTGTAGTGAAGATCTGTCGTACTTATGGATCAAAGGTGCATGAGGCTCTAGCTATCGCAAGTCTCGCCCCCAAACTCCTGGCCTGTTACTAAGACGACCAACAAGACTATTTCATCGTCGTCATGCATCTGGTGAAGGGCCGAATGCTACCGGAACGCAATCAGCTCACGGACGATATCGAGGCCCAACTGAAGAGAGCCCTCAATCTGTTGAAGACACAGAAGCTCGTTCATGGGGACCTCCGCCGACCCAACATTCTGCTGTCCGAAGACCAACGTGTCCAGATAATAGATTTTGAGTGGGCGGGAGAAGAAGGACAACGGTTCTATCCGTTGGACATCAATCGCACCCTGAACCTCTGGCATACGGATGTGGTGCCCGGTGCGCAGATCACGCACGACCACGACGTGTATTCGATGTGGAAGCTGGGAGTGGAGGAATAACCTTCCTGAGACCGATGGGCGCACGGAGAGGGGATATGGTATCTGGTGATTGGAGAGTGTCGCACAATGTAACCTGGCTGTGTCGACACTGCGTGTGTCGCAGCCTGCATTCCTCTTAATGGATGGATTCTTACTCTCGTGACGAAGCTGAAGGACACTTGCAGAGCCATTGGCGATCCTTCATTCCGATTCAGAGACCAGCGAGTGGGGTGCTTGTACCCACTTTCGACAAAGATATTTAGGACGGCTGGATTCAGGAAATTCCACAGCACGTCGGTCAGCGCCCTTCCTTTTGCAACAATGACCAATCTGAGATTGCAGATGACCATTCCGAGCGCAACTGCCTCGGCACGATGTGAAGGTCAGGCCCAGCTTAGTTGAGGTGGATGACACCTCGGCGAGGTGTAAAAGTGTATGTAATGAGTGTAAATGATTGTGTCGATTGACACCTAATGCTTGATAATGAACAATGCAGCGATAGGAAGACACCATTACAAGTTATGAATATGATAAGCGTGAAGAGCGACAAAAGTCGATTGCGAGCTCTCAAAGCCGTGCTGGTTACGAATGCATGTGTCCCCGAGTAACGGACGGGGTGGTCCAGTCGCCAGAGCCTGAAACCAGACGTCCACTCACGACACATCTGAACTTATCGGCCCAGATGCTGTGTTAATGCGTCCAAGATGATCCATACTCCACCCGATATCGGGAAGCTCCTTCTCCGAGGAGGGCAGGATGCATGGCAGCAGCCTGAAAGGATACTGAAGCTGCACGTCATCCGATCCTTCCGAGCCATCCTCGATAGATGCGAGGTGGCAATCACTCACGTAGAACAGGACAAGGTACGACGGGACCGCTGGCGTGTAGCCGACGAGGATAGGTTCGTTCTGGAGCTCAAAGCCCCTCCGGAGCACATGGGCACCACCCCAAAACTGGTCGTCGAATTCGGAGCGTATTATTGTTGTCGGACAGTGCCATGGTTGCGTGAGCTCACTGGTCGCCTCATCCAGCCCCTGAGGAACAGGAGGATGATGAAATCCAGGATTCTCGTGGCAAATTTCGACCCAGGCCAGAATGGAGCTCTTATTTGCATCTGAAAAAGCATTTGAGGGTGGCATGGTTGGTATGGCAATAGTAGGTTTGATGACGTTGTTACAATGCAAGCAATGTCTTTTTGAAAGCCACGGACGCGCAGGGCAAGGAAGGAGGAGGAAACCGAGGAGTTTCCGTAATAAGCGCTCGGCTCACACAGCCACCCGACCCGCCTCAAAACCTTCCGACAGCCTTGCGTCACGCACGCCGCATGCTTCCTAACCGCCTTATCATCCTCCCACCAAGCACTTTCAATCCCCTCATCCTTTCATCTCTACCTCAACCTTTCCATCATGTCTCCGAATCTCTCGCACGCCCACCACCACAGCCAAGTGCCCACAGTCCACCAAACCCGTCGCCATCAACAAGATTCCCATCAATGTCGTCTATGCCGATGGTTCGACATTGACTGACTTCGAATTCAACCTCCCTAAACCTGGCGAACTCCCTATGAAAGACATCTATGATATGGCCATAGTCAAAGCCCTCCAGCACGTCAACAAACACTGGGGCACTGCAGGTGACCCTCAGGCTGACTCTCCCACATCCTCTGACTCATCCCAAGAGCCCGATTGGGACCTGAATTTTGTTCTCCCCTTATCCAGTACGTATCCAGTTCCCCCTCTTACCCACTCCGCCACTCAACTCTTATCCACAGGAGCCACCGATAAGAACGGCATCCCGCTTGAAGGTAACTCCCTCTTCCCCGCCGACCCCAGGAAGCCCCTAACTCTCATTCTCTCTCCCAAACCTACGTCACAAACACCTGAGAAAGTCACCTTCCCTCCCGTTCTTTCCAACCTCCATCGTCTACAGCAAGAGAATCTCAGCCAGGAGCTCGACAAGGCCCGTCAGGACCTCAAGGGTGAGCGCAGTCTGCCTGTTCTTCTCGGATCTGCTCACAACTCACATTCATCTCCAGCTTCCCAGTCAATCAAGAAGAAGAAAAAGAAGAGCAGCAAGACCACCTCCCCTGTTCCCGTCTCGCCCGTCTCGCCCGTCTCGTCTCCCCCCAACATGACCTTAGACGCTGTTTTTGCGCGGCTCTCACAGATGGAAGGAGAGCTCGCTGCGAACCGACTAGAGAGGGGTACTCACAAGGAAAGAATTCAGCACCTTGACAGAGAGCTCGCTGTGAACCAACGAGAGCTCGCTGTGAACCAACGAGAGCTCGCTGCGAACCAACGAGAGCTCGCTGCGAACCGACTAGAGCTCGCTGACAATCGACTAGAGAGGGCCACTCACAAGGAAAGAATTCAGCACCTTGACAGAGAGCTCGCTGCGAACCGACTAAAGACGGCCACTCACGAGGAAGAGTTGGTCGCTCACATGAGAAAAATCCAGTCCCTCGAGGGGATTGTCAGCACCCAACAGGAGCAGATCCAATCACTCCTTGACGTGTGTCCCATTCCTCCACCCTCGCACCCTCGCACCCTCGCACCCTCGCACCCTGCTAACCCCCCTCCCAGGCCGCAAACCGCGTCAATAACATCAAGATTCGTGCTATCCAAGATCGCGGGCGCAACGCACTCATCGCCACCCTCTATCCTGACCCGCCAAATAGGCCCACTTGGTCCAACTTCTCCCGCCAGTACCCCCAACATTCTGTCCAACAGCACCCCTCCTTCAAGGCTAGCCCGGACTGGAATCCCAAGACCAAGAAGACCCCTATCGAAGTGAAATGGCTGTACAGAGATGACCTTCGCGCACAGGGCAACAAAGACGCCCATGTTTTCACCGACGACGAGCTCTCCGAGGCCATCGACGCTATGGAGTTTTCTCAGCGCCCAGCTTTCCGCAGCTATCTGAGCATGAAGTAGCTCCTCACTTCCCTCTCCCGTACATACCGCGCTGCGCTCCTTCTCTCCTCATGTACATCACACATAGAACCGCCAGTCTCCGTAATGCTGTGACCAAGCCGAACATCCAACCCGTCGCATGCAACCGCCTGCCCAATGTTCTTGCCATAGCTTCACTTTCCGGGCCGGTCGCCCTCTCTGCGAGCTCGGACTTGCTCCCACCACACTCAGATCCTTCAAGATCCCGCTGCTTTCTTTACCGCACTCTCCGTCTGTCATACCTGCTCTTTCCACATCCTTAGGTAGTCATGTGTTACGTAAATTCCGTACAGAGGCCTGTACTTAACTCGCGCAGTGGAGGGACATACATCTCGTTGTCATTACAGAGATACGGCCATAAAAAACTGAATTATGAATGTCAAGTTACCACAACGGCCTTGTTTACCCAATCATCTTTGTGCAAAGCATCCTGACAGCAATTTGGGCACTGATTCAGAACCGTTTCGAATATAGAGACTCACGAGACAAAAGCGAGCCACGAGTGTTCGGTCGACCGTCCGTCTGCACCCTTTGCAGTCTTCCGTCACCTTGTATTCGCCCTAGGGTTTCCCATTTGTTAACGCCGAAGGTCTTGCAATGGTCCATTGAATGTCCGGCGCAGCGTGGAAGAGCGTCTCCTCTGCCAAGGTCAACGCCTGGTAAGTGTAGTTCAGATTCGTGTGCATCATGACGAAGCGGATTGGCAGTGGCGCGGTTGAGCATGAAGAGCCCACGCTCCAGGATGAGACTAGAGATATGCGAGTGGTTCTGACATGAGGTCAGCAGAGCAAGGATCAATCGCACCAGCTGAGGGCGTACCCAGCAAGCAGCATCTCCGATAGAAGGATATTGACAGCATTCGCAATCATGTCAGTGGAGCTTGTTGGCTTGGTCCAAGGCACGTCGCTGGATCGAGTGCTGTTCAAGGCGACGACTACGCCGTCGACTTTGTCGCCCAAGAATGCTTTGTGTACATCTCCCTGATCTAGCGGGGTGCCTTTGATCACCCGAAGGAGGGCGCTGGTAAGATCGACGTCGGCCGGAGTGAAAGTGTCTGGGTTGCGGACAAGCGCTGTGACGCGATCTCCACGTTTCAGAGCTTCGGCGACGGCCAAAGAGCCAGTGCGTCCAGAGGCACCGACTACAAGAACATGCATGGGTGCAAATTGAGAAGTATAGTAGATATCACTTGTTCCCGTAGAGAGATTGAGATTGATCGCTCCGTCGATGGAAGGACGACTTTATATGCCAGCCGCCAACAAGCGAGATCAAGCCCCAAGTCACGCTAGGATGGCTTGCATGTCGCCAAGCACGATTACTCAGCAGTACGCTGTTATAGACAACGACTACAGTGCGAGAAGCATATTGAGAAAGAGAGAGTGACATTCCCTGGTGCTTAGTGGACCGAACCATATTGCGAGCGGTGCAAAGGAGAAGTGGAGGATGGTCGAGGGGATTGATTGCAGGGTCGCTTCGTGGTGGATTTAGGAAATATAGATGAGTCATAAAACTTTAGTCAGTCAACGCGCATCCCCTCAGACGCGTCGACGCGTCTCGTAGATATCTTCTTCGACTGATCGCTGTACACCTGGTTAACATCACCAATTCCTTCTCCTGTCCATCGACGTAAGATGGTGCCCGTACCAGATATAAAGGATGCACCTGGGGATGATATGGATTATGAGTACGCTCCCTATTCTTGAATCGTGTTACAGGCCCTTATACCCAACAGCATGCAGGTTTCACATCTCGAGTATGATCCATCGTCACCGGACGTAATGATGCAGTTCTACAAGCGCCTGTTCCCTTATCGTCCATTCTTTCACTGGCTCAATCATGATCACAGTAAGCGAAATCTACCCCACACTCCAAGGCAGGAAGACGGCTGACGCCTTGCAGCACCCTCAAAACTCTTCACATATCGAGAATTCGCGTTCACACTGGCCGGCGATGTCTACCTGCGATACAACTCCTTCGCTAATATCGAAGACTTCGCCAGGGAACTTAGGCGTTTGAATCCAAGTCGATTTGAGGTCGGTGCAATCTACAATGCACGAGTATGTCCTCCCTCCATCATCTTGACCTCGTCGGCTGAGCTACAGCCAGCCTCGAGACAAACGAACACTTCGCGCCGGTGCACTTCAGCCTCAGATGCGCGAGCTTGTCTTCGATATTGATATGACCGACTACGACGCTATCCGAACTTGTTGCAGTGGTAAAGGCATCTGCAAGCGCTGCTGGGCTTTTATCGCTGCTGCTGTAACTGTGTTGGACTCTGCCCTCCGCAATCAATTCGACTACCATCATCTATTATGGGTTTACTCGGGCCGCCGAGGAATCCATTGTTGGGTCAGCGACAAGAGCGCGCTGAGCTTAACGGACGATCAACGCAAGGCCCTTGTAGGATATCTGGAGGTTATCAAAGGCGGTGCCGAGATGGTAAAGAAGGTCAATGTACGACTTGGCGGTACTGCGTTTGCCGGTCCGCTTCCCCCCAGTCTCAAGTGCGCCCTTAAATAAAAGCTGAAATAATTGAGTACTCATCCTCGAGCAGACCACTGGTTCAAGTGCAAGAGTTGGGCGGTTACTTCTCTCAAGTAATCCTTGAGGACCAGAAATGCTTCGACACAGAAGAGGGTCAGGAGACGCTCCTCTCCCTCGTCCCTGACAAGAGTTCGTATGTTTTATATGGAGACTTGTCTAGTACTGACACGGATTACAGCTATCGTTGGGAAGCTACGAAAGCTTTGGGCTGCGAGTCCGGATCGCACATCGAGCCAAAAGTTCAAGGATCTCAATGCGGAGATCAGCCAAATTGGCGACAGGAAGCAAGCACAGGCACTCAAACAAGCACAGGAGGACATCATGCTTCAGTACCTGTATCCACGCATTGACGCAGAGGTGTCGAAACATCGGAACCACTTGCTCAAGGCGCCGTTCTGTATTCATCCGGCAACTGGTCGCGTCTGTGTCCCTGTCGACCCGGAGAAGGTAGACAAATTCGATCCCGAAGCAGTGCCCACAGTTGGTGGACTGCTCTATGAGCTCAACTTGTCGCAGCAGCCGAAAGCAGAGGCAGGTGCTGACCCGTTAAGAGGAGGTACGTGCCCTCGTTGTTTTTCACGCCGTTGCTGACAAACAGGTAGACTGGGATCGAACAAGTCTTAAACCGTATGTACAAATGCTGGAGAAGCATTCACAAGCCCTTATACGAGCGACGCGTGAAGAGAGACAAAGTGTGTTATGTCGCCGCTGTTCACTTTGTTTAAAACTGAATCTTGCCGCAGAACGCATGAAGGTTGAAGGCATGTCAGACTGGTAATCCAAGAGACAGCACATTTCGGTATTCCGTTCAGTTGTAATGACATCATCACGTTGTGTACAATATGAGCAACTGTCTGTCAATGGTCTGAGAAAAGTCAGAAATATCCCTTTCGGAATGCTGCGAGATTGTTGGCATGGTACCCTTGTTCATGAATGAGGAAGACTTACCGCCAGGACACAAAGCAGCTGCATACATTACACATGTGATCGGTGTCAGCTTCCCACCACTCTGCTGAGCAGGCGGTTCCGGCACCTGGCCCTGTCCTTCCCAGAATGCCACAATACTGCGTGCACGCTCTTGCCATGTCGTGTCCTCGTGGCACTGAATGCCAAGGCATGTCCCGAACTCGCGAAAGGCAAGACGATGACGGCTTGCTAATTGGAAGTAGCCATCATCCCAGACCGAACCTGCCAGAAGTCAGGAACGGAGGTGGCCTGTAATAACTGGGCTCACTCAGGCAAGAGAATGCCTTGGTGACAAGCGCATCTGCCCATTCTTCTTCTCCTTGCAACCAGTGAGCTGTCCAGAGTGTCATACCCAGATCAAGGGGATCGTCTGACACGTAATACCTCCATTTTGTGTGGAGTATTTTTCTGTAGTCGTCGATCTCCGCTTGAAGTGCATCCGACCCATCCGTCCGCTGAAGCAACGTGTACACGACGTACCCATCGATAGGATCGAGATTTCCCTCGCTGGATACAAGAGGTTTCGACAGGTCCATGGATACCTTCCAGTACATCCGTGGTCTCGATGCTTCTCTATCATGAACGAAAGCTGGGTGGATGGCCTGTGCGAGCGCGATTGCTAGATGGTTGTAAACCTGATCCTGGGACGCAAGTGACATTCGGTTCAGAGCGAACATCCAGAGAGTCAGATAATGATGATATTGACCATCACCGTCTCGACCCGTGTCCTCTTCTTTGCCGATCCTCAAACCACCACCGACTGGATTCGCCTCTGTTGCCCCAGGTAAGCGCGACACTCCGTCTCTTGTGCGACCCAGAATGTCGTGCACCGTGGCAATGAGCCTGGCAGCCAGTGAAAGATATCGTTGTTCTCGCGTTTCCTTGTATAGTGTTAAGAAGTTCAACACACCAAACGCGTCGGTCCAGAGATACCGTCCACGATGTCCTTCGGCAGCTGCAGGAGGTATCCAAGAACTCGCCTGTATAGTTGACAAGTGTGAAAAGTCCCCATAGACGGCGCGCATGGCGCGCTGCAGGTGAGTGATAACAATTGTTGAAGTCATTGTTTGTACGTGGCTTCCTCGAAAAGAATTAGTCGATGGATTGCGTGTTTGTACAGTTTAGGCAAGCGCGTATGTGTTGTATTGAGGAAGTGCCCACCGCTTCAGGCGGACTAGAACCCTTACGTCATACGACCTTTAATGTAGACACTAGCATATGTATGAATGTCGGCGGGGCAAACAGAAGCTCAATATGATGCATAGGTCAGGTTTGCTTAGGATGTATCTCGACAGCACATATGAGGAGAAGATCATGACCGACAAACTCTGGAGCAACGTGAACTTCTAATGCAGCGATAGATATTGTTGTGGTTATGGTGACATGCAAAGGGTTCATCCGGATGCGGCCGTAGAGCCGACACGCTAACACAGCGATCAACTCTGGTTCTCTTTCTTGTCGCAGGCGCGATACGGCCCACATAGCCAAATGAAAGCCGGGCTTGACACTAACGAGGTGGCACGATATCCGCATTTTCCCACGCACCCCCTTCTCCTTTGTCGAGCTGTGCAGATGTAATGTTAAGGTGCAGTGAGTAATGGCACGTCATTTGGGACATGAGCGAACGTTTGTCACAAGGGAGATCGTGGTACGAATAGGATGGAATTGTACAGATCTTATCGAGTCATGATGAGACCCTGCTGTTCTCCACTCTGGGGTAGTAGATGCTAGGAGCACTGTCATTCAACCCACAGATGAGTTCATGCAATAGAATGTTCTCGTTGAACAGTCAGCGAATCAGCTCTTCTAAGGTCGGTCACCTGCGCGGTGGGGGTCGGTGTGCAGAGAGAGACAAGGACGTCAGCCGGCGGGACACGTGTTGCGGCGTGTCATCGAGCCCTCCCCAACTGATTAGGTGGCCGGTGTATCCAGCGCGTCACCTCCTATCCAAGGCCCTGAGCACGGACGGTGCGTTTCCCTCCCCTTCCTACCCCTTGTCCCTAAACAACCATCTTAAAGGGGGGACAACAACAACTGCTTACATTTCCATCTGCTTCTCCTTTCTATTTCACTCCTCGCATTGTTCCTCTCTATCGGATTGCACGATTCACTTCGCTGCGATCTCATCGGCGATTCTGCAGCTATCACCACCCTCCAGCCCACATCTTAACCTGCTTCAGTACATCTTATGCCCAATCAGGATACCCGCAATGACGTATCGAACAATGTGCAAGTTGCAGGGCATATCCGTCAGCCTATTCTCCCACGGTGAGCTTAGGAATCCGCTCCATATCGCAGTCTCCTGAACAATAGTATCAGGGAACCAAGTACGCTCGAAACACTGACGAACGCGTTATCCTCTCTCTCTACCCGTGTCCTACCTGCCTCTGCCTCGAATGTAGCCGGTATATCTGCAGAAAGGCGGCTGTCCCTCCACGCACCGGAACTAGGTGGGGTTGCCTTCCCCACTTCTCCGATGGCCCCGTTTTCGACGTTGGAAGAGCAGTTTGCACCCCAAGCACAGCGGGAGTACTTTACGCGGGCAAGGGAGCGAGAACGTGAATCTATCGGATCTGTGAACGATCTTACACTCGGGGCATTCGGGGAGAGGGAGGAGATCGTGTGGTCCGGCTTCGATAACCTGCAGCTCGAACCCAGAGCTCCCCCGAAGCGGGTGCTGATGATTGTCTACGTGTCCGGATTCCAGATGTGGGATACGACAGATCCCGACAACGCACTGGAAATCTTGAACTTGCGAGAGAAGGCCTTCCTTGGTCTCGATAGTGCGATGATGTTGCCTACGCCGCTGCCGTCGCAAGAGACGCCGGACGAGATGTACAATCTCCGACCCCTCCTTGCTCTCGTCCGAGGCGGACAGCCCAGCATCGCAGGATCAGCCAAGCTGGAGGTCGTCCTATACTCCTTGAGAACAAACGAAATCGTGAAGACCATTCCTTTCAGCCGTAGAGGCAGTCCGGGACGAGCTGTCATCGCTGCTAGTGACAGATATCTCGTAGTGGTAAGCACAGTTACGCGAGATATGCGTTCAGAGCTCACGTATTTGTTAGGGGACCTCTCAACCTCCAGCTCTGCATGTATTTTCGGCATCGTCTCTTTCTCCTGTATTGACTCCTATCACGGACATTGCCCCTCATCCGATCACACAGCTTCCAGTCTTTACGCTGGGGACACGCCTACTGGCATACGCTACGACTCGCATTCTCGACTCCGGGCAAACCGGCATCATCACTCGAGAGAGCCAGGGCAATGAGGTCATCATCGCGCCTTCCGCTACATCGACCGTTCTAGAGATCGGCAAGGCTGCCCAGAAAGTAGGAGGCGGTGTGTTCAGTGGTGTCAAGACCTTGGGCGGGATGGGTTACGCGTACTTCAGTGGCCGAGGACAAGAGACGTCCAGAGCTGACGAATCGCCGTACAAACCATACTCAAGGTCAGCTCCTCAGCCCTCTACGTTCCTAGGCAATGTGGCGTCTTTGTCAGCATTATCAGGATTCCATCCCCCTTTGGAAGAGCTTCGCCCAAGCGGTAAGACCGCCGAAACTGGCTTTGTATCTGTTGTCGACCTTGATGGCCATGCTTCTGGAAAGTTTCGACAGCTCGCTCACTTCCGCCCTTCCGCCAAGCCCACCACTATACTCCAATGGAATCCCACATCCAGCCTGCTATTCGTTACCAGCACGGATGGGCGGGCGTTCAATATCTATGAGATGCGTAACAAGTCTCGCTTGGCATCCGATATTCCTTTGCCAGCTGGAATACAGGAGGATCTGCCCCACGTCTGGCATCGATACGAGTTGAAGCGAGGCTCTACACCTGCTACTGTTGTCCGCGCTATTTGGAGTCCAGACGGACGTTGGCTCGCCGTTGGTACCCAGCGTCGCACTGTGCATCTATATGCTCTCAGTCCTTATTTCGGCCCGCCAAGTACTGATACCCATGGGAATGCAAAGATCCGCAATCCCACTTCATTTGTGAGTCTCCTCTTCTTCGTTCCTGTCCCTCGATCTAATCTTTTGGCAAGCAACAATTGTCCTGCATCGTGCATCCGATCGTTAGATTCCATTTTTCTCGTGCAACGGACTTGAATATCACTTCTGGAACCGATAATCAACCATCAACCACTACCTCGGGTCTCATTGCCATGCCGTCGAACGGAAGTCGCACGTCTTCAGGCCCCCAACTGGCTCTTTCATTCTTGCCAAGACACTCCAGTTTGTCTTCTCGGCTTATACCCCACCCCCAGCTGTCAGCTGTTGCATCGCCATACGGTGTTCCTTCACCGAACACACGCTCCCCACAACTTCAGCCTGTTCGCTCACCGCCGATGCTGCGGCGTCCATCTTCGTCATCTTCATTCAGCGGAAACTTGCAAGACCTCATTCTGGCCTACTTCCAGGATGTGCTCGTCTTCAACCCTGCTGATGGGATGATGTCTCTACAGCGATGCTTACTCTCTCAGTCTTCCCAAAGCGCCCCTGTTGTCGAGCTCGGAACTCCTTCGAGCGGCGGAACGCCTCTTAATGATCGCACTCCGTCGAGCTCCTTTTCTTCACAACGTATTCCCAATCTGGGTGCCCTGCTTTCTGGTTCAGCCTCCGGTCGAGGCATGGAGAATTTGATAGCAACAGCAAATGCGGTTGCCAGCTGGAACTTGGAGCGCGATATGACTTGGCCCGAAGTCAGGCAGCCTCTTCAGAAGTCTGCTGCGAGATATGCCATAGGCCAGCTCGGCAGAAATGCTTTAAGAAATGGGTATGTTCACCTGTGTCCCTGCTGTTCTCGAACTGATTACCTCACCCAGTTGGCTCGCTAATGCCGAGATAGAAACATGCTCCCAGTCTACTCGAATCTTACCTCGATCTATTTATCAGGCTCATCAATTCGATTTCTTCGCCCTGCCCGAAGATTACAAGAGCAAGGTCCGCAATTACGAACTTGACATGTTGGCGTTGAGGATCGAAGTCAGGCAGGCGATCGAAATCCGCCCTTTGCAGCGACGACCAAGTCTCTCTTCCATCTCCGGGCAAGATGAGACTGCTATCGCAAGCTCCTTTGATGAGCCAATCGCATCCGCGATGCGTACTGTTTTGGATGCGCAAGCCACTACTCTTATTATTCCGGCTTATCCCAATGCTGTCTCACCTAGGACTGTAAATACCTGGCTGGATCCGGGACCAGTACGCTCTGTTGCAAACAGCCTGCAAGAGGGTCTGCATGAAGGTTTCGGACTTTTGAAGAAGGAGATCACGCGGGTCCGGGCACATAAGCGCCGATCTATTTCCGACCAGTTCGACAATTCCCTTCGTTTTGACGAGAACGACACCATATTTGAAACCGTGCATCATGAGGAAGAGGAGACGGCTCGCGAAGAAGAAGAATGGGAAAGAGATGAGGAGGCTGATTATAGACGTGCTCGGGATAATGATCGCTTCGACGATCTAATCGTGGGCGTTATGGACGAGGAGGAAGAGGAACGGAAGGCGATGGCAGCTCGCGTACAACAGCAGCCTAGCAAGCCCAAGCCTACACGGCGCAATGGACGGCATCGCAAGGGTACTAAGTAACCACCAAGCAATATCTGAACTCGACTTTCACATTTAACTATCACATTTCATCAGTGTATTATTACCAAGGCGTCGCTTTGGACGATGACATTCACGTATGTACGTATTAAGGAAGAATGTTATGACTTATACATAGAACAGAAGACAAGCAGTGTTATTGTAGCATTAACGAGTGGTTGTCAATGACGAGGCTATTTGTGGAGATCATCGTTGCCACATGTGCATGTGCTCATCGTCTTATCCTTCCGAAATTTGATCTTATACGTTGACTACAAAGTCACAATTTAAAGCAATGACAGTTGATTATTCAGCGACACTACGCTCGGTTTCCTTCCATTTGACCACGTCTTCCAAGTGTTGCTCAGTTGCTTTGTCAACCATCCGATCCACGACCTCCGAATTTGTCCAATGATGCTCGCCCTTAAATGCGTCCACCTGATCGACTTCTCCAAAAATCTTCTCCATGTGTTCCAGACTGACACCTTTGGTTTCTGGCCAGAAGAATAGCACTGCGAGTTCATTACTGGTCAAAACGACGGACTTGAAAGAGAACGAACTACACCCACCCATCAAGAAACCGAGGCTGTTTATGCCAACCAGGATCCAGTAAGCGTTATGGCCAACAGTAGCAAACATGACGGGCCACGCTTGATTGATCCAAAGGGTCGTTGTCTGCTGCGCTGCCTGAGAGATATTGACGCCCTTATCGCGTAGATGAGTCGGGAAGATCTCACTGGCATAAATCCAGGCCGTCGGCCCCAGTGCTCCGCTGTAGGCCTGCGAAGTTTTGAGTAAAGAGTTTAGCGTGCGAGCACGTCCCTTACCATTTCGATGACGTAAATGAAAATAACCTCAACAATGGCTGCTCCTCGATTTGGATCACTATCGGCCGGGAAAGCATCAGAAAGAGCCGCGATGATGATATGACTGAGGACCTATGTAAGAGGTGAACGATATAGCAGGCACATGCGGTCCACGACTACAGCTCTTACCATCAGCGCAGACCCGGCCAGTAACGTGATTCTACGACCCCACTTATCCACCCCAGTCGTGGTGACCAGAGTTGCCCTGCAGACAGAGCATCAATTTCAATCTCTCAGGCTTGTTGGGCAACCTCACAGAAGACACAGAACACCGGATACGACATTGAGCAAAAGAGACATCGTTCCGGAGGAGAATCCCAGGCTCTCAAAGATCAATACGCCATAAATCATCAATGCCCCGACCCCGGAAATCTGACCCAATGCCATTGTAGCCATTCCATATGCGAGACGCCTCCAAACGGCGTATTGCGACGAGAATGCCGACCACGAAAGATCGCCCTGATGTTCCATTCGATACTCTCGAGCAGCTACCATATCCAGAAACTCAGCCTGTACGTCAGGATGATCTCCAGGAAGTAAACGGAGCTTTGAGAGTTCACGCAGCGCTCGCTCAGGCGTGTCAGGCCGTCTCTCTAACAACCACCTAGGGCTCTCCGGAATGGTGGAGGATGCAAGGATCAAGATAACTCCTGGGATACATTGAAGAGCCGTGGCGGTCCTCCGGGAATTTTGACCAGCAATCTTGACGGTACCCAGGCCAACGCAGTAGGAGATAAGAACGCCGATCTGATACGAAAGCTGGACGAAGGAGACTACTCGGCCTCTCACAGCCGGCGAAGAAACTTCTGCTTGATATGCCGCAAGATTTGTGCCGATGCTGGTAGGTATCGCATGAGAAATGCAAATTCCAATACTGAGAGCACTCACACTGCAGTACCAATACCCGAAATGATGCGGCCAATAACAATCATAGCAAAGGAAACTGCTCCGGCTTGTAATGCAACGCCGACCAGAAGAACTATGGTTCCTAAAGCGAAAGCCATCCGACGACCGGTGTACCAGATGAACCACCATGCTACAAACAGGTTTCCGATCACATTGCCGAGATTGACTGTAGGAAGAAGTCAGCCTATCCGAGGGTGGCCGCTTCAACCACTCCTAACTCACTCATCGAGGTCACGACACCAGCCCGTGCCCCAGCAACATTGAAATAGTCGATGAAGCGTTGATCAGAGATGATAATGGAGTAGATGCCCGAGTCGAATCCCTGAAAACTAGCCGCCACGTCAAGAGGACTCGTTCAGAGGCGCTGAAACACTAACATGTTGGCAATAGACGCTACGCCGCAGATCCAATAGATGTACCAGTCTGCATTCGTCTGCCCGAGGAAGGTCTTCCGGGGAAGGGCAACAAACTTCCTCTTTTTCCCGTTGCTATGGGTCGACATAATGGGAAGCACTGAAAGTTGGATAACGAAAGCTACCAGTCGTTGAGCACTAGCTCACGCCATAGCTTTATACCGAGAGGCTTGAAGTCCGGGCTCGCACAGGTGCGGAGAGCTCGGTTAGCCGAAGGTGGGGAATGCCTTAAAGTCGGCATAGGTGAGACCGAATATGCGACGGATGTTCGTGCTAGCCGAATTCCTCCCGAGAAGCAGGAGGAATGGACCGTCGCGATGAAGAGCTAGGACATCAACGTCGTCCCATTCGTCGAGGGAGGGAACGGACTCAGGTATTCGTCATTCTACTCGCACGAGCCAAGATCCTAAATTTGGCACCAGCAGGTTCCAACGGCTAGCAAGCATGCAAGCACCGCGCTGCGTCAAATTACCCCGCATGTTAGCAAAACCCCGGATCTGAGTTTTGCGGGGTTGTTGACTCGTTTCGGATCGAACATGACCCGACTGGTAGCTTCTATTTGGCGCCTTTAAGAATTACTGGCGGGTCCAACAACCTGAATCCAAGATAGATACACCTCAAAGGAAAATAATAGGGGCGATTGAAGGAGCCAAGTTTGGGCAGACAATCTTGCTTGCCCTAGCGGTAGCCAATTGAAGTCGTCGTCAGGTGGACAGCGGAAGCAAGTGAAGAACATTAGAAAGAATGTAACGAGGGAGGCCAGCAATGCAGGGCAGGGTGCTAGGGTGGTGCTTCCCCCTGTAAAACTTTTTGCTGCCACTCTTTGGGCTGAAATCATTCAATGTGGTTTCATTTGTCCTTGCTTTGCTGTTATTTTCTGGGTGTTGTGGATGGACTGCATGTCTGACCCAGCCCATGTTTCCCTTCTGGGGCCTGATATGGATGCTCCAGACAGACCTTTGCCCTGTAACAAGAGGAGAAAGCACAAGAGTGATTTGATGAAATTGTGCAGCTATATGGGTTGGCTTGAGAGGTGCCAGACCAGGGGCTTGGGGGATAAAGGTTCATCTTGCTATACTTTGGGTTGCATCTCCTGTATACTCACATGATAGATAGATGTTCAACTTATTCCCTCCTACCCAGACCTGTTCATCAGACATCCTTCCAGCAATGCAGCTGTCTTGGATTCTCTCACAGCTGCCTTCTTGCACAACCCCCTTCCTACACCCATTCCCTGTGCTCCTGAGACTGGTGATTGGGTGTACAGGGTCAATCCAGCCAAGGGAGTGACACTAGATTGTCCTCTCTTTCAAGTTCATGATGGTGTTCTGTCTCAGCATCTGGACACCTTGCTCAACCTCACCAAAGGCTTCTACTCAAAACTTCCCAAGTCTTACCTAAGACAGGAGGAAGAGTTCAGTTGCTCATCAGTACCTGGACTCCACTTGGGTGTTTGGAGAAGATCCAGCCTGGTGCCTGCCTTTAGCAGAGATTTGGTTAATTAGAATCCTTTGGTGAAGAGGTGGATGGATGTCCTTTTGGAGGTTATGGACACAGTGGTGGGCAAAAGGGCTATGAGGTTGTTGCATAGTCATCAACCTAAGGTATATGAGGAGAGAAAGAGGTTCATCCTTTGACATGCTTTAGATGGGTTACTCCTAACACTTTAGCAGGACCTATTCTCACCCAGCATTGGCTGATACTTTGGCTGATAGACCTCAGCTTTAACAATGTGCCTGGCACATGCTGGCTTTCAGAGAGGGCCATGCCCCTGTTCCCCATATTGATTTGAATGATGATGGCAATCAGTACAGTATCCTGTTTGTCCTCAGCAACTTCACCACTGCCTATTTGGTCCTCCCTCAGCTAGGGATTCAGATCCCACTTTGTCCAGGCCAGTTGCTGTTTATCAACACCAGGCACTTGGCACATCATGCCACATACTTTAGGGGAACTAGGTATGTGTTTTCTGGCCTTATGGATGCCAATCTTTGCAAATATTATAGAAAGACAGTAGCTTAGTATAGTGACTAGGTGTTATGGTCCTCTTCAATGATACATGCTACCTATTTTTCCATCACCTCCTTAAGTGTAGACTTTCACATTTTTCAGTTAGTTCTCAGTGATTGATTGATTTGTGATTGCCATAATGCTAACTTTGGTATGGTTAATAGTCAACATGGTTTGGCATCTCATCTGATGTCTGAAGGTGTCACACATGATTGGTTATTTGGGAGGGTAACATGTGATACTTTCACATGTCTTGCCTGTTGTGGGGGGTGTTTCATGGTGTGTCCTTCTTTGCAGTGGTATGGATTACTGTCTCTGATATTTGCCAAAGATGTACCCTGTCTCACAATACTGAGTCAAGTGTTTACCAGCTACTGCATAAAGATGGACTGCAAACTGGAGGAACTCCCTATCTCTATCCCCTCAATAATATTTTGCCATGTCAGTTATCCTCACTGCTATTGCAGGTTGCTATGATTGGCATCCATCTGCAGCTGGCTCATGTACTCTAACCTGCAGCATAGCCTTACCCATGGCACCTGTAGCTGGCAACCTTGACAACATCCTCATGACTGATGATGTGGTTGGTGTCTTACACTATTTCCTGCCCAGCAGGAATTTGGAGCCAGAAGTTGGTGTATACAGCATCACAGCCAAGATTGCATCAAGGACAACCTCTATGGTTGTTGGTGATGGCTTCAATATGGATGATTTTGAGTTTGAGCTGGATTGCTTGGTGGTATGTTTTCCTGAGTTAATATGATGGCAGGTGCTGATCATTTGGCCAGCTTCTTCTGCTCTCCCATGAGAAACTGCCAATCCCTCCTGTAGTCTGCATTGTGGCACATCCTTTCAATGTTCATGCTTGCATCTTTGATATGGATGCCATGCCATGGATTTCCACTGGCAAGAAGGCTTCTCACTTTTGGTGCTACTTTCCGGATGAAGGGTGGTTTGCTAAATCAACTGCCTGTGTCACTTCAAATGCAACTTTGCATGTGACTGGAGTTCTTACCAGCATATCCCTTTCACAGGAAGACTCAACTCTGGCTTCTAAGTGATTCTCACTCTGGGTAAGAGACAGTTTTCCACAGTTAATATTTATTGTTGAATTGTTATCCTACAGATTCTTGATTACAACTATCTCTCTGGAACCACCTCATTAGCACCATTGCCAGCACCAGCTACACCATTGAAATCAGCCTTTTGGTGGTCTCACTCTACTTCACAGATCAACACTCCTTTCCCAGCTGGATCACTGACCACCTCAATAGGGCAGATACCTTCAAGACAAGAAAATGGTCTGGCTGAAGGAATTGAAGTTGCAACAGAGCTTAGCCTTGATCACCAAGGCAATGGTGAAACAGGTTCACCAAGAAAGCAGACCAGACATCCTTGATGCACATTAACATAGTTGCCTTCTGTATGGTTGTCTGAGGTAGAACTTGCTCTTGGAATTTGCATTGAATGAGCACACTGTACCTGTTTCTTTCCTCACACTGGTCAGGGCAAGAGAGGCCCACTGAGACATATTTGTGGAGAGGTCAAATAGAGATGGCAGGCTTTTGTAGCTCCCATCTCCCAATGACTGGCTTGAAATGCCCCTAGAAGATGAACAGCACCTTCCTTAGGCACATGGAGAACACAGCATGCATAGAAGAGAGGCCAATGCCCAAAGGCATTGTGCAAGAAGAGAACAGGAGAGAGAAGAAGCCCACCTTCTTTGGCACCAAAGAGAGCAAGAACAATGTCAACATTGAGAACAGAATATGACAGAAGAACAGTGGCACCAGTATTGAGCTATGAGAAGAGATCAATAGGCCAGGTATAGAAATTGACAGAGACAGCAGTGTCTGGAAGCTCAGAATAACATGGGCACTAACCATGGAGAGGGTATCCTGCCTATACTGCCACAAAACTTCCCTGGCAGTGGAACACAGCAGACGAACCAACCACCCAGACAGGTCAAATCTTGGTGGCATCTCTTCCCAAAATCCTCCACTGTGGCTGGGCAGCAGCATGCTATCTCACAGTGGAACAGGGTCTGTCTTTACTGCAATGCAATGCTCCTCAGGTCAGTCCTATTATTCAGTGAGCCCTTACACATGTCTAACACTAAGACTCTCCCTGGATTATCAGTGCTGATGCAAATGCATTTTGCTGCAAGAATGGGACATATGTGTTACCACAGCTACCTGTGCTACCTGCTTCCTATGACATCTTTCTGGAAAGCAATTGTCTGTCTGCCCTGTCTTGAAAACTCAATGGCCTCTTTGCATTGACTGCAATTGGGACAACAAAGGGCCTTGTGCAAGAACTCCAGCCCCCATCCAACATGGTTCTCACAGGTTGCACCTATCATTGCATGCTAGATGTGACAAACCCAATACACTCAATCTATTGGTTCCTTTCTGATCAGCAGGAGAGAACAGATAGAGGGCGCAGGATGAACATATCTCCAGATTGGCTTGCAGCAGTCTCAGAAGCATTGGAATGCCATAACCCATACATCCATGAACTTCTTTGCTTTCAAGATGATGCCTTACCAGAGATGGTTATGCTAGAGCTCCCTGAGTTCACTGCAGCTGGAGACTTTGCAGCAATCATGCATGCTAACAATTCAACATTGGTCAATCCACATAGTATCCTGATATGGTGTTTAGGTATGTTGCTCCTTTCACATATGAAACTTGGCTCATTTGTTTTCTAGGGGATGATCAGTCATCATATATCAGCATCCTGAGCCAGCATTATGAGCTGCTGCAGTATCCCTTGCTGTTTCCTCATGGGATGCCAGGATGGGGCATCATAGAGAATGATGGCCAACAGGCCAGAATACAACAACACTATGTAAATGCATATGGTGTTACCCAGCATCAGTGGTACTTCTCCTGCCTAATGACAGAGGACTGATTCCTATGCTTTGGTCAATTGGCCAATGAATACATTTGTGACAGCTTCTCCAGAATTGAGGAACAATGTCTTGACTATATCAGACATGCAAGAGAACATCATGCAGAAGGACTTCACCCACCTGATGATTGCAATGAAGACAGAGAAGATAGTGAAGATGATGAGGAACCCATTGATATTGACCTACCTGCAAGCTTCATTGGATCATGCAAATGGGCAAGTGAGCAAACTGCAGATGCACTTGCCCTTGCTTGAGCTCATGGTCAAGCCACTATCTTCACAATAATGACATGCAATCCTAACTGGCCAGAGATTAGAGAGCACTACAGAGGGGGCCAGGATGCCTCAGATATTCCTGTGGTTGTTGCATGAGTCTCTAAGGCATGACTGCAGCACTTCAATCACCTATTATGGCAGCACTTTGGTAAACTCCTCTACATTATCCAAGTGGTAGAGTTTCAGAAATGTGGCCGCACATATAGTTGTCAAGGTATGCCATGCCTGTATAGGTATTTGTTTAATGGAAGCCTGAATATATTGCTAGGTCCACCCCAAGCTCCCACCAGATCAGATAGATCACATAATCAGTGGTTACATTCCCAAAGAACCCCAATTAGCAGCCAAGATTGAACAGTGGATGTCACACCCATGAGCCCATCTTTGCCCAGACACATACCATCAATGTAATCATGATGGGAAATGCATCTATAACTTCCCCCAACCACTTGCTGACCATACCTGGATCAACAAAGAAGGTCATGCAGTGTACAAGTGCTTCACTGAGAGGGACCAATGGCTTTCATCACACATGCCTCTATTCATTAATGAGCTTGATTGCCATGTCCATGCTGATATTGTCAGTTCAACACATTCATCTACCTTTACAAGTATCTCTATAAAGGCCTGGATAACACAATGTTCAATATTCTGGATCTGAACTGTCCTCCCAGGGATGAGGTCAATGACTATGTTAAAGGTTGATACCTCTCAGCCTGTGAGGCTTCTTGGAGAATTCTTGGCTTCTCTATATTAAAATAAATCCCTGGTATTACACAACTCTCTGTACATCTAGAAGGAGAAAACTATGGCCAATTATATCAACACAATGGTGGTCAGTCAACAGCCTCAACACTGCTTCAATACTTTGCACATCAACACCATCCAGCCCTACTCCCATTGCTATATGTGGACTACTTTTCAAGATATATCTTGGATGTGTGGAAAGGAGACCTCCCTCCTGGTGCATTCCTTGAAGAAGTGCAGCCAGGAATGCCACAGAAAGTGATCAAATAAAGAACCACAGAACACCATGCCCATTTGCAAAGCATCTCACCATCTTTGGGGGATGTCTTCTACTGTCAGTGTTTACTCCAACACATGGCCACAAAAAGCCATGAAGAGCTATACTGGGTGAATGGTATTTGATATCCTTCATATGTGGAGGCAGCATGTGCCCAAGGCCTCTTTGATGATGATAATGAAGGACACTATGCTTTGCAAGAGGCTGTTGCAGATCTTTGTACTCCAGCACAACTATGCTTTCTCTTTGCATGTGTGGTTCTGGAAGTGTATCCTGCTCCACCCTTATGGGATACATTTTGAGAGGATCTCTCAGCTGATTTTCTTTGGCACCTCCCACAACCTGTCACAGCATATAACCAGGCTTTTCTGTCTATTGGAGATATTCTTGCTGATGTGGGAAAGGATCTATCATATTATGGGCTCCTGTAGCCTGCAAGGCACTCAGTGGAGCTCACCCAAGAACTTGCTGCATTTGCAGGTCAGGAGCTGCAGTTGGCTGAGGCTGCTCACATTGGCTATGCACAGCTGATGGAAGAACAATATGTGGTATATGATGAACTTTGTGCATCTCTCCTCACAGTGCAACATCAAGACCATGCATTTGGCCCCTACTTTCTTGAAGGCAAACCAGGACAAGGCAAGACATTTTTGGTGGACACACTCTCTGCCTGGCTCAGGAGCAATGGACACATTATTTTGGTGGTTGCATCAACAGGCATTGCAGCTACCATTTATGAGCATGGCCAGACAGCACATTCTCTCTTCTGCATTCCAGTGAAAGATGTTCTCTTCATTCACAATTGCAGTGTTCTCATCTTTACTACTAGGACCACATTGGTATTCTCTCCGAAATCTGAATACCCTCTGGATGGGCAGATCTTATTCATGCTGCTAGCTTAATTGTTTTTGATGAGATGCCAGGTGCCAACAAAACAACAGTGGAAGCTATTGACATGGTTTGTCATCATATTACAAGCTGTGACATCCCTTTTGGTGGTCTTCCATTTCTTGGCCTTGGAGACTTCCATCAGCTAGCACCAGTGGTCAAGAGAACAGGTGAAACAGCAGCCTTACAAGCCTCTATTCTCTCCAGCCCTCTCTGGCCTATGTTTAAGATTTGCCACCTCCATGCACCAGTGTGCAATAGAAATGACCCAGAATTTTCAGCCTTTGTGGATTATATTGGAGAAGACACCTCTGGAGAACAAATCAGGCTCCCTCTACTTCAACCAGTATCTAACCTTGACATGGTCCTTGACTTTTTGTATCCACCACACATTCTGCAAGACCCTGTCCAGTGTTTAACTTGAGCATTTCTCAGCCCCCATAATGCAACAGTGGATACATTCAATGCACAGACATTGGAGTTGCTGCAATCAGATGAAGGTGCATCTTCTGACTCAAAGCAAAAAAAAAAAGAATACTCACAACTTTTGCAGTAGTTTACACTAGCCTTGACTTGATCAAAGATGGAGAAGCCCTGGATTTGGATAATGAAGAACAAATGCCTGAATACTTAAACATGCTCACCATGCCAGGGATTCCTCTGCATGCCCTCACATTCAAAGTGGGGGCAATTTGCCTGCTCATGAGGAACCTGTCAGTTGCAAAGTGCTTGGTCAAGAATGTCAGAGTAGTTCTCAAAAAACTCAATCAATGCTTTGTTCAGGTACAACTGCTAGCACCTAATAGTGAGCTGAGCAGAGAGCTCTTCTGTATTCCCCACATTTGTTTTGCATTTCAATCACAATATTCAAGCTGGACAGTGATTTGCACACAACTGCCACTTTGTCTTGCTTATGCAACTACTTTTCATAGCTGTCAAGGGCTCACCCTTGATAAGACAGTACTAGACTGTCACACTGATGTTGGGTCAGGGGAGTCCAAGTTTCGACTGCACATTCAGAACATTTGAGCTTGATTTGATTCACTCAGTGACTATTGGACTTTGACAACACAGGCTAGGGTCTCCACACTGAGCCAGCTCTGAATACCTGACACAAGGACTGATGGATGCTGACTTGCATGAATCAGTGAAGCTGGCCCTAATCAAGGTAAATTTTTGATTATACTTCCATGTGCACAGACCATGCCCTATGGGTATATAAGCAGTAGTAGGGTAGTACTACTCTGTTTAGATCTGATCTCTGAGGAATCTCCACAGTCTTGCAGAGATAGGCCTAGTTATCTCATCTCATAGAAACTCTTCCTGAACTCTACTGATTTCTGCTTTCCTGTCTGAATCCTCTCAAGTCTACTCCAATATCCACTGATACCCCTGTCAATATAGTGTGTTTGGTCTTACTGGTGATCTTGTCATCTTGTCAGGTTATAGTCAGCAGCCTTGCTTGGCTGTGTGCCCTCACATGTCTTCTCTCATGGCCAGCTATAAACTGCATTGACCTGTGTGCATACATGAGCTGATAGCCTAATTTTTATCCCCCAAAATTGGGATGTCACAGTTGCAAACATTCAGAGCAGTCAACTCATGTTGCCCTTTGTACCTATATAGCATATGGAATTCAGCTGCACACACATGTTCCTTCACTGCCTTGCTCATGTGCAGTGCACTCTAAATTACGGTCCTTGTATTTAAGTAACAACCTTCATGTTATATTCTTTCCTTCTGCTGCCAGCCATAGACCACAGCAGCAGTTGATCTCAACCTGGTCAGTTGTTTGTACAGATAGATTCACACTTTTTCTTCTGGGGTTACTTCTCCAGCTGAACAGCACACCCTCAGCTTTACAAATCAAACCATGCAAGCAACCTAAATGCTCCTCAGATATCCACCCCCAGTGCTCCTCTGTGTTGGTTCAGATTCTGCACCCAACTGCACAACTTAACATCTGTTTGCATCACGGCAGTATCCATTCTGCAGCTGATGCCAGAGTTGATGATAGTAAGGCAGAATGCATGCTAGATTGAATGATGCTGGCTGAGAACCTTGAGATGCCCATCTCAGCAGATAAGGATTGGGGGTGGCAACCAGGAGAGCAAAATCTTGTTGGTTTTGCACTCCACACACATTTGTAAAAACAGCAGATACTATGTAGTACAGTATAGCATCTATAGGGGTCCTAGTGCCCATAGCATTGTCCACCACTTTGTAGCCCTATAGAGTCCTCCAATAGCACTGCCAGGGTCTCCTCATAGCACCAATAGCTTCCGTAGCACTCGTAGGGACCCCGTGCTATTGTACCTGTACGGTTTTTACGGATGCAGGCTGTGTTGAATCCGAACGCACCCAGTTCACACACATCGGAAAACCGGGAATGCTAAAACTCGCTCTGATCGTCCTCAATTGCGGATGGTATGCACAACGGCTATGATATTAGAAAGGGTACAAGCGGGACCAGGATAAAATTTAGACCTGCAGTGGAGCATACAACTGTTATCTTCCTCGACATAATTGTACGGGCAAGCATCTAGCACGAATTCAGCGACGCGGTCAGAGGCTAATAATCCCATTCCGCAGCTTCTGTGCCCACACCCTGATGCATTAGGATACAGTATGCGTAGCTTGACTATAGTCGGGTGGAAGGAGGACTGTTTCGGCGCCCATCTCCTACTTCAGGTTCTTCGTTGTGATAGCCCGAGGGGTGCCGCGCATCGGAATCCCGCCGGACGGACGGTTGTGTTTGAGGTGTTGTAGGACTTGTAACTCCCCGTGATGATTGGGCGGTTCTTGAATCGGGGAAAGAGGTCCATTGGGTTGAGGAGGAGGTTGTGGGGAGTGTTGGTCCTGCTGAGAGGGATGTAACCCCACGGCTAGCAATACGCGGAAGAGCCCCTTTTCGGTGGGTTCCGACCCGTTGCTCACGGGAGGACGTATGCTGAACAGGGATCGATATCATCGGGCGTGGAATGCTGTCGAAGAATATGTCGGCCTCCACCCTTTCTTCTTTTCGGCGTCGATATTGCCAGTATTTCAGCAACGCTACGACAAGCGCTATGAATATTACACCTCCCACGACCCCACCAACAATTGCTCCAATTGGCCTACAACATAGCATCAGTCGCCTCATAGTGCACAAGACCAATGGAGATCCTGACGTGTTGTTAGATCCAGGTGGTCCAGGTCCATCTGTGGTATCCGATGCGGTCCCAGTGCTGAAATTTGATGTGCAGTCAGAATTATTGCCAGATGATAGGAAACAACGGGAACCCGCGGTGAGTCACGTACCTCCAAATAGTCGCGTAATCCACGTCGAAGGACGACGCGCCATTGGACAGTGTCAATCTGTGAACTCCCTCGCCCAAAGAATTCGCGTGGTACAAGAGTGTTTGGGGGTAGAAGCCATACGACTGTGCGTCCAAGGAGATTTGTGGTTCAGAGTCCATCACAGCTTCAAATGTGCCGTACGACGTATCCACTCCTCCGAATAATGAGATGGCCTGCCCTTCGAAGGTAATTACGACGCTGGCTTGAGCGTTGATGGCTTCACTGGAGAAATGTCAAGCAGAGCCGTGGTTGTTGATGATCGACGCACTGTACTGTCCCATCGTAATACGATGTTTGCCCTGTGGATATCGATGTACTCCAACCAGAACTGTAATTGAATTGGCCGGAGGAATCGTCTATCGTGCTGGTCTGAGCTTGGCTGTTTTGAGTATGCTCAGGGTAAGCAGCAGGAAACATTCAGAACCACGTACGCGCCTGCGTCCCCAATCTGTGTCTCAAATTGAATGAAATCCACGTCTACCCAGTTGCAAGTTGTATTGATCGGGATATTGGTCAATATGACGTTATGGGCACCCATAGACAGGCCTGTTTGCCCAAACAGTAGCACCTTGAAATCCGACAAGTTGGCACACGAGTTGTCGTTCGCATAACCAGAGAACGGGCCAAAATCCTGAGCGTCAATGGAGACGGAAAAATTTCCCTGAATTTAACGTTTATCATGTCCCTCGATAAACGGTAGTCATCTTACGTGATTAATTCTGTTAGCACCATAGATCCAGATGCCAGTACCTGGAGACACAATGAGCAACCTAACTATGAAAAATGTAGTCGGCTCACCGCTGAAGGTTAACGACATCGTCGCTTGGTTGACATCGGTACCAGTGAAGCTATGCAGGAAGATGACATAGCGTAGTAGAGGAATCCCTTCACCTCATACCTGGAGTTAAAATACAAATCCTTGCAGACGTCGCCAGAAGTACTCGACCCCCACAAGAAGGATCCAGGAGGCTGATACGGCGGGTTTGTGTATTTGATGAGCTGTGAATTTGAGATAAGACAAGTCGGCTTCTCAACGTGAAAACAAGACATACAGGTGAGGTATCGTCTAGTGTTGTGTTGAGGAGCATGATTTCTGTATTTAAATGGCGTCGTGGTGGTGTGAGGTGCTGAAGAGGTGATATTCGATAGGTGATGGTTGACAGCACGAGAAGGTCGCCAACGGTAGTACAGCTGTTAAAGTGAGGACCGAGTCAGAGGCGTTGAACCAGGAACATTCAGGACAGGATTTCCAACAGGTGCACTATAGCCGTGACACCACCGCATGACGGATTTCCAATATTAATCTGTGCGCCGAGAAATTTGCCGAGCATCGCGGAACTCTTCTGACACTTCCCATCGTGCACCTCATAGTAGCCTTGATGATCTGAATGCCAGGCGCTTGTTTTACGCCGTCATCAAGTAGATACGTGAGGCGTTCCGCACGGTTCCCGGTTGAATAGGTTAACATCCTCTCCTTCCCGGTTGTAGGTCAAAAGTATCTCCCATTTGGCCGCGCAGATCACTAAAGGGGCAGGTAGAAACGAAATCCATCGAACAAGTCAACCAAGCGGCATACAGACTAATCAGCTTTGTCCAGAAGCGATATAGACGATTTGATTACACGTCATCCCTGCCAGCGCGGACATTTCTTCTGATCACAACAGTCCGGAAGAAGTAAGATCGACCGAGCTGACTGGACGGGAGACAGCGAACAAGCAGTCGCAACGCCTCAAGAGAGATGTTGTGCGTAACTGGAAGAAGAGCAAAGGCGCTGCGCATGCATAGCAACCGTCCAGGAACGGTCAGGTGCACGCTGTGCCACCTTATCAACCCTTGGGTTTTGCTTCTGCACGTAGCGCAGGCTTGTGAGTGCTTGTTTTGACGCTCATCGTCCTGGATCACAATTGGCGTACGGAATATTTAGAGACAAATCCTATCAGAACCTCATTCTCTTCGGTTCCTACGCGGTCCGGGCCGTTGCCAATTTTGGTGCGATCGACACGTTCGATGACCGGCCGCACCCGTGAAGGGGAAGGGGGGAGGAGCTCACCTTGAGGAAGATAGCTGCTGTGCACGCTTCAGCTGGCCGGCCACCCGTCTGCGCCTAGTCGGCGATGCTCAGCAGAACGGGAAATGAGGGAAGAGCATACGTTCTGTAAGTCGGCATTACTCTGGCTAATCTGGGGAATGTAGTCGTCATACAATGGCATACACCAGAACCTGGTCGTGTTTCCTCTGCCCCGCTGAGCTGGAGTTCGCTCCAGAGGGAGTCGGAGTTCTGCTGCTTGTGAGTAGTTGCACGGGGAGGAGGGGAGGGGAGGCGTACAGTGAACACTCCTGCGTACAGCTCGCCGAGCGCGATCATCATCGCCCTACTCAAGGTCAGGGAAGCGGAGGGAGGGAAGGACGGGAGACGCACCCCGTAAGAGTAGCAGCGTCGATCACCGTATGAGGCTTGAATTCGGAAGTGACGTAGTACAGCGCGTCTGTACGATAAAATTCAGGGGATGCCTACCCGACCGTGCCGGGGGACAGACACGCACCGGCAAGGACGAGCCTGCCCTCCGCGTTGCCAGGAAGCGCGCTTCTGATGCTCCGGGCCTAGCCAGACGCAAGATGTAGTCCTAAGCGCCAGCGTCCAGAGGAGCTCAACTTATTTTTGGTTCACGTCGCAGTAGAACCCATTTTGATGCTAGAGTCGCTTATAACAGCCCAGAGCGTGTGTCAGATTGTAGGGGCTAGCCGAGGACCACGAGTTGCCCATCCGAGTGAGATACATAGCAGCCTTGGCAAAGTAAACAAGAGAATGAAGGCTTTTTTTTGGCCTGCTTGGCACTCCACAGAGGCGATGTGCCCTCGATCTCAGCGCTCCATAAAGGTTTAAACCCCAGGATGCTAACACACCAATTAAGCGTACTTGATCGTGGAATATATGCTCAATAGACATATGAACAGCTATGGGATCAAGGCCGAAGTTCCTACAGCACCAGTAGCAGTGGGCCACACAATTCTTGACTTCATCGACACAATTGTACGTCCTGACCAGAAGCTCTTCTAAGCATCTAGAACATATTCAGCAACGAAGTCAGAACCCAATGATCCCACTCTGCACCTTCTGTGCCTAGCCTATGGTGCATTAGGATAGTAGCTTGACTATAGTCGGGTGGAAGGAGGCTTGTTTCGGCACCATCTCCTACCTCAGGTTCTTCTTCATTTCGATAGCCTGCGACGTGGCGCGCATCATTATTCCGCAGGATGGATGGTTGTGTTCGAGGTGCCATAGGACTTATATGTTCCCGTGGTGATTGTGCGTTTCTAGAATCGGGGAAAGAGGCCCATTGGGTTGAGGAGGAGGTTGCAGGGAGGGTTGGCCCTGCCGAAAGGGACGTGACCTCACGTCTAGCAGTACCCGGCGGAGCTCCTTTTCGGCGGATATCGGCCCGATGCTGTCGGGAGGGCGTATGCTCAGCAGGCAGCGGTATCATCGGGTGCGGAATACTGTATGCGAATATCTCGGCCTCCATGCTTTCCTGTTTTTGGCGTCGATATTGCCAGTATTTCAGCAACGCTCCGACAAGCGCTATGAATATTACACCTCCCACGACCCCACCAACGATTGCTCCGATTGGCCTACAACATAGTATCAGTCACCACACAGTGTACAATCTCAGGAGAGATCCTGACGTGTTGTTGGATCCGGTAGGTCCAGGTCCATCTGTAGTTCCCGATGCGGCCCCGGTGCTGTGGAGGTAGAATTATCGCCAGATGACGTCAGCAACGTGAGACCGCGGCATGCCGACATCGCACCTCCAGATCGTCGCGTAATCCACATCGAAGGATGATGGGCCATTGGACAATGTCAATTTATGAACTCCCTCCCCCAAAGAATTCGCGTGGTACAACAGCGTCTGAGGATAGTAGCCATATGAGTGCGTATTCAATTGGATTAATTCACCCGAGTCCATCACGGCAATAAACGATCCATACGATGGATCTACAGCTCCGTATAATGAGATGGCCTGTCCTTCAAAGGTGAATATCACGCTGGCATCGCTGGTGACCGCCTTACTACGAAAGTTCAGGAAGAGGTATCGGGGTTTAATTGTGGGCGCACTGCAATGTCCCATCGTGATACGATGATTGCCCTGTGGGTATCGATGTACTCCAACCAGAGCTCCAATTGAATTGTCCGGAAGAATCGTCTATGTGCTGTTCTGAACTAGGCTGTTTTGACCGTACTCAGGGAAAGCAGGAGGAAGCATTCAAAACCACGTACGCGCCTGTATCCCCAATCTCAGTCTCAAATATAACGAAATCCACGTCAAGCCAGTTGTTGTTTGTACCGGTAGGGATATTGGTCAATGTGAGATCATGGGTACCCATAGATAGTCCTGCTTGTCCAAACAGCTGCACCTTGAAATCCGACACGTTGACACATGAGTTGTCGTTCGCATATCCAGATAACGGGCCAAAATCCTGGTTGTCAACAGAGATGGAATAATTGCCCTGAATTTGGTTCATCGTGGTCCTTTGACAAACGGTAGTCGTCTTACATGATTAACTCTATTAGCACCATAGATCCAGATGCCAGTGCCTAGAGGCACAATGAGCAACGCAACCATGGAAAATACAGCCGGCTTACCGTTGAAGGTTAACGACATCGTGGCTCCGTTGAGATCTGTACCAGTAAAGCTGTGCAGAAGGATGACACAGCGTAGTAGAGGAATAACTTCAGGCCATACCTGGAGTCATAATAGTAGATGCTGCAATTGTCGGCCACGATAGGCTCCCCCCATAAATTGGATCCATCAGGCTGACCCGAGGGATCCGTGTATGTGAGGATCTGTATATGTCGGATAAGACGAGTGGGCTTCTCAACGTGAGAACGAGACATACAGGAGAGGTATCGTCTAATGTTATGTTGACGAGCATGATGTCTGGATTTGAACGGCGTGCTGGTGATGGCAGGTGCTGAACAGGTGATGTTCGACAGGACGAGAGGGTCGCCAACGGCAGTACAGCTGTTCAAGTGAGGACCGAGCCAGAGGCGTTGAACCAGGAACATTCAGGACAGAATATCCAACAGGTGCGCCTATAGCCATGACACCACCGCATGACGGATTTCCAATATTCTGTGCGCCGAGAAATTTGCCGAGCATCGCGGAACTCTTCTGACACTGCCCACTGTTCATCGTCATCACCATCGTGCACCTCATAGTAGCCTTGATGCTCTGGATTCCAGGGGCTGTTTTGCGTCGTCGTCGTCATCAGGATACTAGACACGTGAGGCGTTCCGCACAGTTCCCGGTTGCATAGGTTAACATCCTCTTCTTCCTGATTGTAGGCCAAACCCTCCTCAAAAAGTATCTCCCATTTGGTCGCGCAGATCACTAAAAGGACAGGTAGAAACACTATCCATGATCGACAGTCGAACGAGTCAAACAAGTGATACAGACCAATCAGTGTTCTCCAGAAGCGATATAGGCGAAGCGCTTAAGGTTAGGCCGTTGCCCGCTGTGATTTGATAACACGTCATCCCTGCGGGCGCGGACATTTCTTCTGATCATAACAGTCCGTAAGAGGAAGATCGACCGAGCTGACTGGACGGGAGAGGAACAAGAACTCGCAACGCGTCAAGAGATGTTGTGCGTAACTGGAAGAAGAGCAAAGGCGCTGCGCATCCATCGCAACCGTCTAGCAACGGTCAGGTACAGGTACGCTGTGCAACCTTATCAACCCTAGGGTTTTGCTTCTGCGTAGCGCAGGCTTGTGATCGCTGCATTTGACGCTCATCGTCAGAGACAAATCTAGTCAGAACCTCATTCTCTTCGGTTCCTACGCGGTCACCGTTGCCAATTTCGGTGCGATCGACACGATGACCTCCGTGTGCGATTCGAGATATCATGTGGACATCAATCTGGTCAGTTCCCGACACGAACAGCTTGACACTTTATCATACGTTCGTTGTACGATCTACGTACAAACTGACCCCTGGTCATACGGTGGATTCTCAGTTCGCCCACGCGGGTACTGTAGGTACAACATGATTCCATCAAGTATTTCTTCAGTTCCACAACACAACATGCCTGCTCCAGAGTGCCTGGGCAGCGCTTATTTCTTCTCCGCAAGTCTTCTCGCAAAATCGATGAATGCCCTAACGCCAACCAATCAGCCCCGAAATTCACAACCTCTCACCAACACTTCACGCAAGCCAAAATGCGCCATTGAGCATGAAGCAAAAGACACTCACCTGGTAGGACGACCCGTCATCCCTTTGTTCTGATACGGTCCCGGGCGAGTGCATTCCATCACCCCTGCACAAGCGTCAAGCGTCAGAACCTACAAGCGGACACACGCAGGGGAAGGAGGGAGGGAGAGGACAAGTGCGTACCGGCGATATCGACATGTGCCCAGCGAGTCCGGGGTTGGGCAGACCCTTCTCCTTCGACGCCGTCTACGAACGCCTTGATGTCATCACCATCAGCTTTCGCACCGGCACCCGTGCGGAGGGGAAGAGCTCACCTTGAGGAAGATAGCTGCTGTGCACGCTCCTGCTGGGCGGCCGCCCGTCTGCGCCTAGTCAGCGCTGCACAGAAGGAGGGAAGAGGGAAGACGGAGGGCCTACGTTCTGCAAGTCGGCATTACTCTGGCTAATCTGGGGAACATAATCATCGTCCAGCGGCATACGCCAGAACCGGTCGTGTTCCTCTTTCCCGCTGAGCTGGAGCTCGTTCCAGAGGGAATCGGAGTTCTGCGACTTGTGAGTAGTTGCACGGGGAGGAGGGGAGGGGGGGCGTACGGTGAACACTCCTGCGTAGGGCTCGCCGAGAGCGATCATCATCGCCCTTCTCAGAGTCAGCGAAGCTAGGGGACAGACACAGACGGGGGACGTACCCCGTAAGAGTAGCGGCGTCGATCACCGTATGAGGCTTGAACTCGGAAGTGACATAGTACAGCGCGTCTGTACCGTAAAGTTCAGGGGATGCCTACCCGACAGGGAGGCGTGGAGACGTACCGGCAAGGACGAGCCTGCCTTCCGCATCGGTATTATCGATCTCTACCGTCTTCCCATTCATGGCATACACGCTATCTCCATCAGCCCCTTCCCACAACACAAAAGGAGAAAAGACTCACATATCCCCAGGCTTATTCGCCTTCGGCCCAGGGAGGTTCTCCGTAAGCGGCGCAACAGCCACGAGGTTAATCGGCAGTTTGAGCTTTACAATCGCCAGCGCCGCACTGAGCAACGTCGCCGCGCCGCCCATATCCCCCCGCATGAGCTTCATCCCCTCCGCAGGCTTGAGCGATATCCCCCCCGAGTCGAAGGTGATCCCCTTGCCGACAAAGGCGAGTGGTTTCTCCCCTGCCGGAGCACCAGAATAGTGCAACTCGAAGAACTTTGCTGGCTCGTCCGTGCCCTTCGTGACAGAGAGGAAGGTACGCATGCCCTTCTCCTCTGCCCACGCTTCGTCCCTCACGTTCACGCGAACGTTCCCCAAGCCTTGGAACTCCTTCACCATCCGTGCGCAGAAGGCGGTAGGCGTCATGAGGTTCGCGGGGAGCTCCATGAGCTCGCGAGCGAGGTTCTGCGAGTAGGCGTAGATGGCGCCTGTTTCCCAGGACAGGGGGGCAGAAGGAGGACCAGAAAGGAGGGGGACGAGGTCGACGTGCTGCAGCGCTTCTTTGGTCGTCTTGAGTGCGTCGAAGTTGAATAGACTGAGATGTGCGCCCACGGCTGGGAGGGGTGAGCGTGTACTAGAAAGGAGGAGGTGGGGGGCGTACATGCGGCATGAGCATACTCGGACCCAACGACGACGCCTACTTTGTCCTCTCCCGCATCCTTGAGCGCCCTCGTCCCCTTTGCGATTGCGTTCCTGACTGCCTCCTGGGTGAGCTTATCCCCGACCGAAACGGCAGCGACGGTAGTTCCCTGCCCGTCTAAGTTGTAGAAGAGCCTAAGCTCTGCAGGCTTGTTCTTTGGTTTAGAGGCAAGGAATGCTTTGAGTGCTTGGGCTGAGAGAGGGGATGAAGCGAGAGGAGCTGTAGGGAGGAGAGGGATTACTTGTGCTGATGGTGGCATAGTGTGTATTGTTCTTAGAGGGAGACGTGATAAGAGCGTTGACATGCAGCACTGAGAGTGAGAGCGGTATTTAAGTGTGACAAAGGTGAATCGGTGAAAGAGGAACACGACCGGGTCATCCCATGTGGCATTACTATATTTGGGACTGCCTTCTAGTGGCACTGCACAGCGGAAGATTTTAGGTCATATAGCGAGTCAGGGCTCAACTCACACTCACTGCACACCACCTCGACCCTCCAAAATGCGTTACTACAGATCAAAATACCCAGAGGTAGACGACCTCGTCATGGTACAAGTACGCTCCATAGCAGAGATGGGAGCATACGTAAACCTACTCGAGTACGATAACATAGAGGGCATGATCCTACTTTCAGAACTGTCAAGGCGGAGGATAAGGAGTATACAGAAACTTATCAGGGTGGGGAGGAACGAGGTCGTCGTCGTACTCCGTGTTGATAAGGAGAAGGGTGCGCATAACCTTACCTACAGAATAGCATCTTCTCATCCTGACCCCCCTCGCAGGCTACATCGACCTCTCCAAACGGCGTGTCTCTGCAGAAGACGTGCTCAAATGCGAAGAACGGTTCAACAAATCCAAAACCGTACACAGCATAATGCGCAACGTAGGCGAAAAGCTCCATGTCGACCTCGAGCTGCTGTACGAGCAGATCGTATGGCCTTTAGGGGACAAGTATGGGCATCCGTACGATGCGTTCAAGTTGGCTGTCACGTTTGTCCTCCCCCTCCTGCCCTTCTCCTCGTTAGTTGCTCACACCGTGTTCGCGCATGTAGGGAAGGAGACGCAGTCTTTGAAGGCATCTCCGCTCCTCCCAGTACGATCTCCGAAGTGCGCGCCAACATCGGACGCCGGCTTACCCCCCAGCCCGTCAAGATCCGTGCAGATATCGAAGTCACATGTTTCGGGTACGACGGGATCGACGCGATCAAGTGTGCTCTCAAAGCCGGAGAGACACTTTCCACGCCCGAAATACCTATCAAGGTCAAGCTCGTCGCTCCCCCGCTCTATGTACTGCTTACGAACAGCACGGACAAGCTGGGAGGGGTAGAGGCGCTCGAGAAGGCTATAGACGTGATTGGGAGTAGGATCACAAAGGAAGGTGGGGAGATCAATATTAAGATGAAACCTAAGGCGGTGTCGGAGACGGAGGATATGGAGTTGGCGGCGCTGATGGCTAAGGTTGGGCAGGAGAATGCGGAGGTGTCGGGTGATGAGGCGGAGGAGAGTGGGGATGAGTAGGAGTAGGAGCGATTGATGTGTGTAGGAATTCATGGGTTTGCTACGTTTGTGCGCGAGTGCAAGCCTTCGCCACGCGAATTCAGACTGTAACTCGATGGCAATCTGCATATTCTGGCCACACGCGCAACATCAGGCAGTAGGCATTCATTGTTCGTTTTAGCTGTATCACATATACAAACCCCGGACCATAACCACAAGAGTGACAAAACAACATGGGCAAGTGGGCAAGGAGCAGGAAAGAAGAAAAGGCATTTGCATCGCAAGACAAAGTGACAAAGTGACAACAAGGTAGAACGGAGAACGGAGAAGAGAATGCAGAACGTAACGAACGAACGAGTGAGCTGCGGCTGGGTAGATCCATGATCCATGCGAGTGCTGTCTTCGGGAATGGGTGCTAGCTAGGTGCGGGGTGCGGTGCGGTGCGTTTCGAGTCAGTTCAGTCGTACAAATACAAAGTCGGGGTCGTAATCTTCTGGCATGTGCTTCATAATCAAAGCATCCGTTTTTTCAACTCCCAGTCTATGTTGTTTCATCACCCGTGGGCGGCGGCGGCGGGGCGGGGTTGTCATATCCCTCCACCCCCGCCGGCGCCAGCGCCAGTAGAGGCAGCAGAACGGCGCGGTTCCGACAACTCCAGATCCAAGTCGAACAGGTCTTCATGCTCTCCTAGCCCTCTCCTGCCACCAGCACTGACCCCAGCACCGAACGTGCCCGAGTACGGCGCTCCCTTCCTCGGCGTCGTCGTACTCGCGGCGGCGCTGGGGGACATGCCCAGCCCCCGAGGGATCGAATACGAGAGCGAAAAGTCCCCTCCCACCCCAGCACCCGTGTCCCTCCCCCCCCAGGCAGTAGGAGAATGCGCCTCCCGGTAACTAGTCGACGGGGTATGCATGCCACTTCCCAACCCGCTCTGACTCCCACTCGGTGTCATCTGGCCCGACGCTAGCCCCGCGAGAGACCTGTGCTCCCAGGGCATCCCGCTGCTCGTACTCGTGTTCCTCCCCGAGGAGGACCACATATCCAGCCCGGCAGAGAAGGCTGCTCCGGGGGTAGTACCAGGTGTAGGGATAGGTGATTTCTGGGAAGGGACAAGATGTAGCCTGCTGAGGCCTGCTGCGAGCCCTTGGGGCAAGGACTGACCCGGCATGTGCTCAGGTGGTACTGGATCCCGCGCGAAGGGCGCGAGGCGCTGGGTAGCGTCTAGCGAGGCTCTGCTGCCCCTGCTCCCGTGCCCCATCATCCGCTGGCTAGGCTCACCGGAGAGCGAAGGCCGGTCGATAAGCACATGCGGGTCGAAGGAGCGGAGGTTCTGCATAGGGGGCCTGTTGAGCGTGTGGTTGAGGAATGCCGTGCTCTGGTTGCTCGTCGAGAGCAGGGAAGGGGATTGCTGGTCTTCTATTCCCCCGCGTGTGCCTGTGCCAGGAGGGGAAGTCGCGGGGAGCGCGCCATCCCCCCAAATATCCCGCCAGGCATCGAGGTGCGTCGTAGCCGGGAAACTAGCGGGGAAGCGTTCAAGAGAAGGTCGTGTTCCGCTTCTGCTCTTCCTCCGTTCTCTCTCTTCGGGAGTAAGCAAGTCCGTCAACGAACTCGGGAGGAAATCCTCCAGGTCGTCATCGTCTACCGCAGCATCGTCCAGGCCTTCACGCGGTCGGGAACGTTCTTGGATAGCGATGAGTCTCTCCCTCTCCCTTCCTCCAAAGGTGTATCCCGAGCCAGAGAGCGCCTTGCGGTCCAAGGAGTAGCTCATGAACAGGCCCTTATCACCGTCGAACGGGCTCGTGCTCATCGCGCTCAGATACCCATTCCCGTTCCCGTTTCCCTTTCCGTTCATGGTCGCGTTGCCAACCGGACTCGTACCAGGCGAGAACTGGCTCGAGATCGCGTTCATCCCCCCCGGCCCTGGGGGAGAAGTGCCCATGAACCCCGGACGGGAGGGGGACCCGATCGGTCCAAAGCCAAAGTCTGCCGACATGCGCTTGCGCGAAGTAGAGATGACTGGTGGTTCCGGGCCGTTTGCCCCTACAGAGGAGATAGCGAGTGAGGCAGGGCGGGACTGACCGAGGCGCTCAAAGCCCGGCGGAGAGCGGGCGAGCGGTTCTCCTCCCCCAGAAGCCCGCCTCTGTGCTTGCATACGCGGCGGGAGGGCCTTGTTCTGACTGGGGATAGCCATCGGGATACTGATACTGGCAGGTCCGAACGACCCAGGGATTGTCCCGCTAGAATTGCTCGTTCCCGGTGGCACCTGATCCGGATGGGGCAAGTCCAGGTCGTCCGGGATGCCGAAGGCGAAGTCTGTTGCTGAGACCGGAGGGGCAGGAATTGGCGCAGTGATCTGCACTGGGGAGACCTTGTACGCTGCGCCCGTAGGCTGGCGAACGCGGATCGTCGGCCCTGGCGGGGAACCAGAAGCGTTAGGAGCATCTTCTTCCGCTTCAGGGGAAAGGGGTTCCTCGGTAACCTGGTCCTCATGGCCTTCAGCAGTCGGCGTCCTCCCCTCCCGCCGCCGCCTTTTCTCCCTCTCCCTATCCTTCTCCTTCTCCCCGCTGGGGACGCCGTTCGAGCTCCGCTGAGCAGCCTGCTGCGCTTCTTTCTTGTTCTTTCTGTCCATGCTCATTGGCTGGCCTGGGAGGACGTGCGCGAGCGCACACTTGTGGCCGAACTTACACTGGCCTTTGACGAACCTGCACGGGCGGGGACGTATGAGCAGGAGCATATGGAGAGGGTGAGAAGAGGGGTAACGGACCATGTACAAACATCTTTTGGCTGCCCGGGCTGCTGGTGTGAGAACGGACAGTCGGGACCGGCAGTACACCCGCCGACTTTGAAGAACTTGCAGGGCACATGACTCAGGTCCTTTGCTATACCCAAACCGCATGAGCTGTATCCCGCGAGAGAGCGACAATAGGAGGAGAGTGGATGAAGTACGCACGCTTGGCCTTTGACTTTGACTTGTTTGGTTTGTCAAATTGGTCGTCTTTGTCGTGTTCGCCACGGTCTGTTGCAAGCGACGGTTCAGGCATTTGTGCGATAGGTATAGACGAATGCAGTGCTAGTAGCTGTGATGATGAACAATGAACGAACAATGATATGATAATGAATAAAGGGGAGGAGGAGGAGGAGATGAGGATGAGGATGAAGAGAGGGGTGTGTGAGTAAGAGAGGAGCAGGGGAGGCAAAGGGCCAAGGGCACACAAGGGTGGATGTCCGGTGTCAGGGCGGCGTGGGCGTGCGGCAGGGAGCAACTATTTCCGATTTAGGGTTAATTCACACCAATTAGCGCATGCTTCTCATCATTTGGCACTTATTCCACTCTCACACGAGCACTTAGATTCAGTGTTATATTACCTTTTTACCATATATAGACACCGAGCCCTAATAAGCATATTATAATAATAACTTACATTACTTGAATATCCCCTTTCGTACACCAGTCACGTGCACGGGACCTGTCGTTACACCCGGTTTGACTCCGCACACGAGGCCCCGCTTCCCGCAAGGATCGCATCAACAACGTAACAGGGACTCGGATCAGCTTTCTAGATCAGCATATTCAAACTTGCTTATATCTGTGCAGGGTCGTTCCGCCCTCCTAATTTATGGATGATACTGTCGACCCCAAGGCGCACGAGGCATCTCTCCCCAAACGGCTGATTGTCGATACTGCCCATGGAACAAGCTCGAGACTTCCAGATTTCCTTCTCGCCCGGGCAAAATACCGTGTTCTGCACTAGTGCTGGTGCTAGTACTAGGACTAATACTGCCCGATCCAACCTCACCCCGCCAAACCGAGTGAGAACTCGTTCAACACCCTCGTCATCCAAATTTGATCCTCTTATCCCAAGCGGGGCAAGCGCTGTCAAACTCTAATCACAGAGGTATCCGATACTTTCTCGGGAGCAGGGACAAGAGCACAAGCACAAGCACACAAGTCCAAGCCTTACTAGCCAGCCTCGATAACGGCAGTCCATATCCAAACCCCGCCATCGGCCATCACTCTCTCCAAAATCCTCATCCAGCGCCTGGTTCTCTATCGTATTATACATCTCCGTCCACATTAGCGGTATGGCGCTCCTTAGGATCCCCCCACTTTCGTCGGATATCTTGATGGTTATGTCTTCCAGACCGGAGGAGACGAGTATCTTTATTAGAGGGTAGGGGTTAGTTTTGAACAGCTCAAAGCAGATGTGGTTCTTCCGCGCGCAAAGTGAGCCCTCCATCTCAAACTCAAAGTACGAGACGCATATATGTCTGCTTAATACTTGGGACAGTTGCAGGCTGGACAGGACGACTTGTTCGGTCTACACATCTCCTGACCCTGGTCAAATTCCTCCTCGAAGCTTCTCATGCTGGTGTGGCGCGAGAGTAACAGCCAGGCTTGATCTCAATGAAATGTGGCATTTTCATCAAAACAACGTTGTTATTGGAGCATACCGAACCCGTTCGTCGCCTTTCCAATCCCCTGCCCACGGCTCAGTCTTAAAGCCCGCCCAATGTCTATCGCTATCAACGGCCTACAGGTCTTCCCTCTCGTGGTGGCCTGCAGGTGGCCGCTCTGCAGAAATCCTGCACTTTTCCGATGACTCTGCTTATGGCTACAGCTCTCCTCGCCGCCCTCAACTCTCTCTCCTGCGTCCTTCTTGCGCTGCGCACCGCGGCCTGGTGCTCTGCCTCGAGCTGCCGCTGAAGGTCGTCACGGTCACTGCGTAATTCCATCCAAGAAGAGTCCTCGTCCGTCTCTCTTTTCTGGAGATCATCCTCGTTCTGGAGGAAGGCTCAACTACTTTACTTCTCTTGCACAAAGCTACGGGACTCACGTGCAAATCAAGGTCTCTATCTTGCAGGTGTCGCACCCCGTACCCAAGATCCAAGTTGTCGAAGGATCTTGCCTCTACGGTAGCGAGCTGTTGATTGTCCGTCTTAAAAACTGGTGCCGCGGTGACGAGCCAAGATAATGCGAGCAGAGAGACAAAGGTTGTGATGTGAATGACGAACATGCTTGTCGGTAATGCGAAGAAGGAAAGTTGTGTTGATGTTAAAGGGTGAATGTGAGAAGACCAGCTTTTCTGAAGGAGAGTTGTGTTGATCGTGAAGGTTGAAAGGTTGGATGAGAGAAGACCTGCTTTTCTGAAGAACATGTCTGTTGTACGGCGAGTATTTATACGATACTGCAACTGCAAATTACCTCGGCTTGGGTTGAAGATGCTCGATACTCTCCTTGCCTAACGGAACTGCGGATTTCGGTGATGCCAGTACCAAACCTGAGCCGGGACTCTGGAGGTCGGGGAGGTCGGAGAGGGAGCCGCCGCAGGCCGCACCGCAGTGATGGAACGGTGGGACATTGTTGGGAGAGAACCCCCAAAGACGCTCGGGGCCAATGGAGGAAACTCCTTGCGGACTAGTACTCTCTGAACACCCGTGACCTGTCCATAGTCATAGCCCCCTGAATGAATGGAAAAGAAGCAAATGGATCAACATGTTCTGCTTACCTAATGTGTGACTAATTTTCGCCTTTGGACCCTCGCCGCCCACGGAGTTCAATTTATTTCTATCACTTCTATTTTGATTCCCATTTCGATATTACCATCACTCTTACCTTTTCCTCGGCGAATTCACACGGCCAATCGAAATCACTTAAAAGTAGAACACGATCCGTGTGATCCTAGTTCAATGGGTGTGTGCCGGGTAGGGCGCTCCAAATTTAAACGGAGCGTCCAGCTGGACACCAGGACCGGCCAGAAGCAAGCTCGTCCGACGCGTGTGGTGGACTAGCCTAACCTCCCCAGCCTGCGTCAACCCGGCGCGCAGGCCGGGAGAGGCTCAAACATACTTCACCTCACGAAGAAGTGACAGTTGTATCATCTCCAACAATTTCTTAGATGCTTCATTCATCTCCTCTCCTCTTCCATTGATTGCAGTTGTTTGGTCTCAGGGAGAGGCGGACGTTCATCATCAACATAACTTTCCTTCTTTGCATTAACATCACTGACAAGCATGTTCATCATTCACAACACAACCTTTGTCTCTCTGCTCGGATTGTAACTCGGCTTGTCACGGCAACACCAGTCTTTCGGACTGAAACTAATGGCTCATCACCATGGTAACAAGATCCTTCGACAAATCGGATGCGATGCCTAGCAAACAGAAACATCGATTTGCACGTGAGCCCGGGCTTTCTTCCTACAAGAGAAGCAGAATGGTTCAACCTTCCTCTGAGTCCAGGATGAGGATGACCTCCGAAAACGAGAGACCGATAACGAGAGGGATGGCAACGGTCCAGTCCAGTCCGGTCCGGTCCTGGACGGTCCTGGAGTTTTTGGCAATAGTCGGTCACAGTCCAGTCTTGTGATAGTCCGGTCCTGGACGGTCCCAGGACCATAACCCGCCAGTTCAGTCCACTAAATGATGCCATAATTGTATTCAATAGTGTGCTGAAACAGCAGCCCCCTGAATGAATGAAAAAGAAGCAAACGGATCAAACGAACCAACATGTTCTGCTTACCTAATCCGTGACTCAATTTCTTCCCCGGCTCGGAGCTGTCTTTGCCTCCTCCCCCGAGGAAATCAATTCATGTCTATCATTATTCCACTTTATTTTTCTGTTTTTATTTTTATTTTTGATCCTGCCTTTACGGATCATCCGGTTAACGGGCGCCGGGGCCTTGTCCGATGCGTCACGTATGGATGGCAACGGTCCAGTCCAATCCAGTCCAGTCCAGGACGGTCCCGGATTGTTGGCGATAGTCGGTCCCGGTCCAGTCCTGTGATGGTCCGGTCCTGGACGGTCCCAGGACCGTGAACCGCCAGTCCCAGTCCAGTCCACTAAATGCTGACATAATTCTATTCAATAGTCAATGTGAGGTCATGGCATTGAACGGGAGGAAGCACGCGCGAGATTCATCATGCACCTGAAACGACATGCCAGTCAGTCAGATGATATGCCGACCTCTTCCAACACCATGACATGACTGGTCACCATCCCTGCAACGCCAAAACTGTCAAACTCTGCACCCAATTGCATGGCGAAATGGTGGCTGCGTGGGACCGGACTGGACCGGTCCTTCGCGGTTCAGGACTGAACCGGATTTTCCAAAAGTGTTGGTCCTGGTCCAGTCCTCGGACGGTCCAGTCCTGGACTGGATCGGCAGGACCGCGGTCCTCAAAGTCCGGTCTAGGACCGATGCCATCCCTAGATGCATGATAGACTTCCCCGGCCTGCGCACCTATAGTAGCTACCCCTCGCAGCGCCATGTAGCTCGGGTTCCCGATGCTGGGAGCCTGAGAGCGTCAAACATGCTTCACCTCAAGGAGATGTTACACTTGCAGATACATGCACACCGTACGACGGTACGACAAACAATTTCACAGCTGCTGATCTTCTCAGGCTCTCGTTCGTCTCCTCTCCCCGCATTCATCGCTGTTGATTTCAGCGAGACATTGACCAAGGTGACCCTTTCTCTTCAATAAAAACCGTGTTAAATCTTCGCAATCCCAACACAACTTACCTCTCGACTGCTTGCTACGGGTCTCCCCTCTCCTGCTCACTCGCTCGTACCTCGTAATATCTTCTACGGCCAAGGCTGGCCCTCACAACAAACAACAAACAACAAACAACGCACAGCAGACCGGTTGCCAGTCTCTAGAGTACATTTCCCATTTCCAAGTTACAAACGAACAAACAGACAACAAACAAACAAACAAGAATAACGATTTTCCACACGCCGATGCCATCATGTTGTCATACCATCATGCCTCGTTCCATATCCCCCCTCCTTCGTCCCTCGTTCTTTCCTCCCTTCTCCCTTCTCCCTTATCTTGTTTCATCTCTTTCAACCCAACACAAACCAACACCCCTGCGTCCCTCCCAAACGCTTCAGGCTTCAGAACAGTCCTCGTATCCCCTCGCCGCCCTTCCTTCAAGGCTAGTTCGTAGCACCTTCCTTCCCCGCCTGCCTGCCCGCTCCGCGCACCCTCCCTCGCTCCCTCGCCTCGCCCTCGCCCTCACGGGCTCGGGCTCGGGCTCACATCAACGGCTCCTCACTACTACTCAACTTATTCAAATGGATATACACGTCCGTCCCATACCCTTCGAGTGAGATCAATTGGAGGTCTCCGCCGAAGTATCGCGCGTACTACGTTAGGGTTAGCGTTTTTGTGGGCGGTGGGGGTTGTTAGGAGAGGGAGGGGAAGGGGAAGGGAAGTGAAGGAGGGGAAAGCCAGATTGGGAGGAGTGAGATGAGGAAAAGTAGAAAAAGAGGGAGTCCCCCTCCGGGCGCAAGGGGACAAACCGAGGAATAGGAATCCAGATCCGCGCAGGTAGAAGCCGCAGCAAACGCAAGCGTACGAATCCAAACCCCACACTCACCAAGCGAGACAACGGCAGCCCATACCCAAACCCCGCCATCGGAGCCCTAAAATCACTCTCCCCAAAATCCTCATCCAGCGCCTGGTTCTCCATCGTAGTATACATATACGTCCAAATCCACGGCACGGCGCTCCTTGGGATGCCCCCCCCTTCATCGGAGATCTTTATTGTGATGTCTTCTAGGCCGGAGGAGACGATTATCTTTATTGGGGGGGGGGAGGAGGGACCGTGACGCTCTATTGTTGCCCTTAGGGAGTTTTTAAGCAACTCAAAGCAGATATGGTTCCTTCCCAACGCATCAGCCGCCCATCCCCAGCATGAAGATGAAGAAATCGACGCACAAATGCCCAGGAACATAAGGGAACGTCAGCTCCTCATCACATATCAGCTCCACCACCGGACCCTTAAACAAACCATAATGTTCCTCGCAGATAAATCGCGCGTTCTCGATCGCTTCGCTCACTATGGAATGCACGTTTGCGTGTTTGCAGATTATGCCCACGTGGTCGGGCGTTACGGGTTGGGTGTTGAGTGCGATGTCTAGCGGGCGGCCGGGGGGGGGGGGCGTGTCAGCGTCAGCGTCCGGCCGCGCATGGAGGGTAAACGCTCACGCTGGCCAATCAAGAACCGGATGCCGATCCTAGACAAATAAAACCTATCCAACCACTTCCCAATCTCCTCATGCAAGACGACCCCTCCCCACTTCTTCCGTTTCTTCCACTCCAACACCCCCGCCGCTACCGTCGTGGCCGTGGGGTCGTGCCTCCGCTTGATCACTTCGAGCGTCTTCGTAAAGCGGCGGTTGTAGTCTATGACCGAAGGAGGCCAAGTGACGTTTTCCGGTGGAGAAGAGTAAAGCCGGCGTTCGATAGGTATACGCCTCTTGTGTGGGTCAGTGGTGCCGTTCGCGTGAGAGCCCGGGTGCGCGGAATGATGTGCATGAGGCGGGGACCAGGAGAAGGAGGAGAGAGCGGGGTTGACGGTGGCGCTCGGGAAGGGGGAGGTGGGTTTTGAGAGGAGTTTACGGAGCTCGGGGGTGAGTTGCGGTGGGGGGAAGTTGATCAGTTCCTGGGAGCGAGCGGGGGTTAGGGTTATCCGACTATCCTGCGTTGCTTGAAGCTCGGCTCACCTCGAATGACTGGGCATACCAGTTCTTGACCTTGACGATACTCGGCATCTCGCTCAGTCCCTCCGGAAGAGCCTCCAGTTCCTTAACCCTATGCGCAAGCCTAACGGGGAGTTCCTCACTCAAGAACTGCGCCGCCTGGAGTAAAGTTCCCTGTGAGTGTTTTTCCCCAAAGAGGATCATCTGCTGCAGCGAGACGCCGGTTTGGGGAAAGGTTGCGTAGTGGGTTATGGACTGCCATAGTGCGGGTGTGATCGTATACAGGGACATGGGTTCTGGGTAGACGTGCGAAGGGGGCGAGGGGGGAGAAGGGGGTGAAGGAGGAGGGTGAGACTGAACGGGACGGGGACGGGGTTGGAAGGCGGTGGTGGGTGGTTTGGGGGAAGAGGGAGTACGGGGAGAAGGGAGAGAGGGGAGGATAGGGGGATGTGGGAGGAGGAATTGGAGTAGGGGGATCTTGGATGCCAGGATTGCTGATGTGTGGGGGGAGTGTGAGTGAGGTGAGGAGTGAGGGGTGAGCTGTGAGTGAGTGATATGGCAGCAGTGTAAAGTGGAGCGCTACTCTGCAAGAAGAGAAGAAGAGAGAGAAGAAGTAGCTGTTGTTCTACCCAATAAAGCCCATCTCACTCTCATGTCGCATGACCCCCCTCTTCCCCCCTCTCACTCCGCTACCCGCTTTCACGTGAATATTGGACCCTATCGGACATACCCGGATCATCACCCGCCCTCTTCTGCTTCTGACTCGACCCCCCTCTTGTTCCCCACTCCCCTTCTGTGGGTGATCGGACATTCACGGAACGCATGAGTGGGGAATGCGGGGTCCACTCTGGGGATCATCCAGCAATAAGCGTCTCACGCTCTCACTCTTACGATTACTGTAACGCACTGCTCAGCTGCAGTTGGACGACACCAGCACGAAAGGAAAAGAAATCATTGGAAAGGAAATCATCAGAAAGGAAATCGATACACCAACCACCCACCCACTCCTATTCACTCCTATCAACCGCCAAGGCCCAGACTCACCGGTCCCGCTCAATACACCGCCAGGGACAGCCCCCGGGTCCGTACTACCGGCCATTATGATAGGGCTTGGCACTACCTTCAGCCTGTATTCCCCCAGTGGTACACCGAACAGCGGACAGCGAGATAGCGAGACAGCAACAACGACGTTCACTGTGCTCTTTTCGTGCTTTACGAGATGACACAGAAGCTTGACAATAGCAAGTGCGCAACTGACGCTCATGCCAAGCATCCACGCCCACGGGGGCGTATACGCACTCACTCGGTTCCGCAGCTCCAGCACGCGTGTCGACCTTACCAACCCCTTCCTGAGCTCTCGCACTCGCTAGGGCTGCCCATCTGCTCGCATGGACGCGCAGCCAAGCCTCGTCCATATCTATATCTTCCATCTCCATCTCCATCTTCATCTTCATCTCCATCTTCCGCACACCTCCCACTACTCTACTCTCCCTAGCTCCTTATTGGATTCTGGATGATTGGGCGATCACATACTCCTGGTGCTTGGCTTGGCTAGGCTAGGCATGATCTTACGCACGATGTGTCGTTCATCGACGACGATCCCTGGCGGGAGCGGGCGACTGCAGGAGCAGCTGCAGTTAATTGACGTCCCATATGCCCATATGCAGCCTCTCAACGACTACAGTAAGTCAGGTCATGCGCCTGAGAGACACTGCGACACTGCGCTAACATACCTCGAGCAGACCAGCAGGATCATACCCATACCCGTGCCCGTTCTAGACCTAGAGTGTTAACGTTGCCAGTGTATCCAGAAGGTGCAGGACGTTGGGCTGCAGCTGGGCTGGGCTAGGCAACACCAGTACCAGCAACAGCAACAGTACTGCCAAAGTCCAACGTCCTTCCTTATGCACCGGCATCCTTCGGCTTGTCCTCAAGCTGAGCTGGGAGCACCAGCCGACTGGTACACGTATCCCCACGCATACGCAAGCCGAACGGTAGATCAACGCTCAACCAGTTAGCATCCAACTCCAACTCCAGTCCAACTCCGGTCCAACTCCACCTCGAACGCTCACCCGCTCACCCAAACCTGTACTACCTACCTCACAAGCTGCTTGAGTTCTGGGTTCTCCGCGCTCCTTTCCCATCCCTCCCTACCTCCCTGCCTCCCTGGCTGCTGGGTATATTCGAGCTGCAGAACGACATCCCCATCCCCCTCGGCGCGCTTTCTGCTGTCAACTGTCTGGGACACTCCCGCTCGTGCGTGCTCGTGGATCTCTTCCCATCCTGCGAATTTGTCTCGAGCAATTTCCACCCGTCTTTGTTGGACGATCAGGGCAGTTAAGTTATCGTAGGACCCGGGATCTGGGAACTTGGAAACGCTGGACGTTGGCACGACATATGCATCCAGAGAACACCTTCCCTCCCCAGCACTGCACAACTCACTCCCGCATCCAGTATATGAGCTCTCCCTCCCACTCCAACAGTGGCTCATCCTCAGCTCCTGATCCCCGATCACCCATGGCCCATGGCCATTGTGCATCGCCCATGGCCCATCGTCGACCAGCACCAACTGCGACTCCGACTCGAACGACGCCCCTCAGCCTGCAAGCGACATTAGTGCCCAGCGATGCCCGGCGATGCCCAGCAGTGAATAACTTAGGAAAATTTTTCGATATTATTACTTTTAATAATTAATTTTTCCCTTGGCCTCTTCCTACCGTCCAGCACTTCGGTACTTCGTGCCTCTGTCCTCCGTCCTCTGACAAGACCAGAGCCGCCCATACGACCAGACACGAGACACAAGAGCAAGAAGACGCCCCCACCGCAGGTGACCGATCGATCGGCGCTCGATCCCACCCCGAACGTTTGTGAATCCTCCAGCTCCAGCACGGATCGTACGTACGCGTTAAGATCCCCAGCAGCCCTCGCTGCTTTCCTTTCTTTTGTCCGTCTACTCGGTAGGCCTTGGAATACTGTACATATGGGCACTGAGACTGTTCCAGAACCTCGCGGACTTTGGCTATGTAAGGTGGGGATCACGCGCTATGTACATGCTCGAGGATCTCCTTCGCACCGGCACACAAGTCACAAGCGCACAAGCGCACGCCCCAAATCCCAAACTGCTCCATCTAAACGCCCCAACGCCCCTCCTCCTAGTTCCCAAGTCCGTGGGTGTGGGCACACCTCCCAACTGAACGCCCAAACTTCTCCGCCTCCTGATATCCGATCGCCGATCCCCGAGCGCGAGCGCGGCCGCTTCCTCAACTCAGGAGTCAGGAGGTCACCGTTCCCCATTTTCGGGTTAGACTTTCCACCTTCTGTTTTCGGGCATCCAATGCTTGGCATCTGGAAACTTCTCGCTGATTGTGTCGAGAACTACGGAGCCAAGCTGGGGATCAGCCAGTCCAGCTCGTGCCCCTCCAAACCCCCAGTGAGTGAACGAGCCAACCCCAAGAGTGGAGTACCCAGCGGGTACACTCCCTTTCCCGGTCAAGCCAGTTGCAACGTACTGCTACTTGGTCAGGAAAACACTGCTCCCAAGCACATGATGATGTGGAGCCTTACTCTTGCTAGCGGACCAAGTAGCTCCATTGTTAATGAATAATATCATCGCCGCGGCATGTGATCACGCGACCGCGGCACAACAGCGGCCTCCACCGGCCTGCGCAGCTCAACCACTGACCTCCGCCTCTGAGTACGATGTACTGTCTCAGTTCAGGCAGGAGATACGTTGCGCTCCAGATATGATGTAGTATATCTTCGCGGCGAATTAAGCTTGCGCCGAAATTTCCTTATCATCTATAGTGCGGGAAGCCAAACCAGAGCTCAGAATGCTCGACGTGCCCTGACGAGCCAATCGGAGTCTCGCCCGACGGGCATTTCAAGCCTAAAAACGATTAGGCTTGGCCGGGGCGCGAGCGGGAGCAATCTTCCTCTGGTTCGGCAAGCCTATACGCCTTTGGGAAGGGGGCCCCGCGGGGAGAAAGTGGAGGAACGGATCAGGTGAGCAGGATTTGACTTCCCGGCGTTTGGTCCGAGGGACTGATGAGCTCGGAGAAGGCACAAGGGGGAAAGTCAAATGCGCCCCTGCAGATTGTGGAGGACGGATGCCGGGCGACATACATACCCTCCAGCTGGAGGCCCAGAATGTCTCGTTTCCTCGGGACGATGAGTAAAGAGGATATAAGAAGAGCGAGTTTGGGTCGGTTTGACTGCGTTCACTGAGCTTCTCTTCCGGATTCCGAACTGAACTGAACTGATCAACAATGGCACACAAGGTCTTCAACGTTCAGGAGTACCCCCACCCGGAGCTTCTTGTACGTCTTCGTCTCTCAAGTCAGTACGGTACTCACCCTCTCTGCAGCCTACGTACCCTAAGGTCGACTATGACCCCCATGTCGAGCTCAAGGTACAGGATAAAGGCCTCCTCGCGGATCCGCAGATGAAGTCACTCCTAGGCGCAGCGACCAAGGTCGACCGTCTGACACCCGACATCGGCACCGAGATCCAAGGTGTCGATATCCGCCACTTGACCGATGCGCAGAAGAACGAGCTCGCACTCCTCGCTGCCCAGCGCGGTGTCGTCGTTTTCCGTGACCAGCCTGCAACGATTTATGACATGGTCGAGCTTGCCAAGTACTTCGGTCCACTACACATTCATTCCACCACCGGCATTCCAAAGGACCCAGCACTGAACGGCGTGCATATCGTTTGGAACGACGGGACAAAGCCTTTCGACAGGATCAACTATGACAGGGCAAACGGGTGGCACTCTGATCAGACATACGAGATCAACACCCCTGGCCTGACGTCGCTCAAGGTCATCACTAACCCCGAGTCGGGTGGGGACACCCTCTGGTGCTCCGCCTACGCCGTCCTGTCCAGCTTTTCTCCCCACTTCCAGCGCTACCTCGAGTCGCTCAGCGCTCTCCATAGCAGCGACAAGCAGAAGGCACAGGCCATCGAGAAGGGTGTGTATATCCGCCGGCCGCAAACAGACTGCATCCACCCCGTCGTCCGTGTTCACCCAGTCACGGGCATGAAAGCGCTCTTCGTCAACTCCGGCTACACCCGCCGTATCGTCGGCGTACCGAAGGCCGAGTCGGACGCCATCCTCAACTTCCTCTTCGCCCAGATTGCACAGTGCAACGAGTACCAAGTCCGTGTACGCTGGGGGGACAACACCATCTGCTTCTGGGACAACCGCTGTGTCTTCCACAGCGCGACGTTCGACTACTTCCCTACGAAGCGCCATGGGCTTCGCGCAACACCAGTCGGTGAGCGCCCCATGAGCGTGGAGGAGTACGAGAAGACGACGGGCAAGGCTTCCCTCGATTGGTACAAGGAGAAGATGCGCGCGTTGGGTGAAGACGTCGATGACGAAGAACCCAAAGCTGTCTCCAAGATTGCCGGTGCAGATTAGTTTCCGTTCTGTAGAACATGTAGTCTTCCTATCATTTAATATTATTTGTTGTAACTGCCAGAGTCCAATGAGTCACTACATGAAGCCAAGCGGCGAGAGGAACGAGAACGACGCAGTACATATCTTCCACATCGTGAAAGGACTCAGTGTGTCAGGGTTTGGCCGGCCCTAAAGACGCCAGGAACTATATATATGGTCCGGTGGTTCTTCACCCCAGTAACGCATAACGGTCACCAATACATAGATCTGGTGTACGGGTTGTGTGGGGAGCCGACCCGCCGGGTTTTGTAGAGTCTTCGAACTCCTACATGCACAGCAGATGGGGTTTGACAGCTGTCCGCGCCTTGACTCCAAGATTACTCTGAACTTTTGCTTATCCTGCACGTCCTTCAACTCCAGCAGCAACGCAGACACGAGAGAGTTCTGCTCGACATTTCGCGTTCCCAGCTCTATATTGCGGGCACCTCGTCCCTGTTCAACACTTGGGACAGGTTGCACCCTGGACAGGACGACTTGTTCGCTCTACACATCTCCTAGCCCTGGTCGAATTTCTACTCGAAGCTTGTTTTAACCTCAGTTTCTCATACTGGTGTGATGCGAGAACAAAAGGCAGGCTTGATCCCTACGAACTGGACTATGGTCTCTTCATCAACCCGTTACCGATCTCATCTGTCGCCTTGCCAAACCTCTGTCAGCAGCTCACTCTCGAAACTCGCCCTATGTCTAGTCCTACAAACGGACCAAGTTCACAGGTCTTACCTCTCGTGGCTTTCTGGTGAGCGCCCTGCCTATATCGTGCATTTTCGAATGACACTGGCTATGTCTGTAGCCCCTTGTTCCCCGCTTGAGGGGTCGGATCAAGGGTGCGCGCAGTATTGCGCGATCTGCCAGACGATTCGCATCTGTTTGTCGGATAAGAATCGCACGTCCCCTGACACATCCATAGTGGGAACATAATCGGAGTAGTTGATCCTCACCATCCTGCGCCATGTGGTCGATTTCGTGGGCTGGTCTGTGACGGCGCAGGAGTGCGCGGAGCGGTTATCTATAAGTCATCGGATAATCCCATCACTGCCAAAGACAGTGCAATATTACCTTATAAAGGCACTGACAGGCGGTGGCGACGCGCGACATGAAACGGCAAAAGGCACGAGACCACTGTATTCTCATAGAAGAGGGATTGCCATTGCATCGGACCCGGCAGAGCCTTAACATCGCCTCGCGGAACCAGTTAAACATATATTTACTCACCATGCAACACAACCTTTTTTTAACAAGCTGGCCTTCCCTCGTTCACCACCTCTCATGCCGATATCCTCTTGCATTGATTGGAGTTGTTTGTTTTCATGATCCACGCGACTTTCCTTCTCCCCATTACTAACAAGCATGTTCACCACTCGCATTACACCCTTTATCTTTCTGCTCGCATTATCTTGGCTTGTCACCGCAGCACCAGTCTTTCAGACCGAAAATCAACGGCTCCCCACCGTGAAGGCAAGATCCTTCGACCAGTTGGATGCTGCGTACGGGGTGCGACACCTAGATGATAGAGATGTCGATTTGCATGTGAATCTCGTTGCATTCTGTGAGAGAAGCAGACTGATTGAGCCCTTCTACAGGACCAGAATTGTCTCCATAAACGAGAGACGGCCGAAAGCTCTTCTTCGCTGAAAATGGACCCTTCCCCTAACACCCCTATGCGGGGCTCGTCAAACCAACCCGCCGCCGACACGGCGATGCACATTTCCCATGACACCCTTATGCCGGGCCCATCAACCCAACCCGCCGCCAACGCGGTTCCCGATGGGGTGGCTGGGTTGCATCAAGCTATCAGGGCTCTCGGGCCGACCATGAACGAGGTGTCCATGCACCCGTCTAATCCCCAGCGGCTAAACGGGTGTACGGTGTTGAGGCAGAGTGAGCCCTCGTCATCACATGATTTCGGTAGCCCGAGTGTCAAGGCGAACGGCAATGGCCGACTTACGACAAGAGCGGGCCAAATTCTTCGGCCAGCGCCGGATATCGCTCCGTTCCAGAGGTCGCCAAAAACGCTGGCAATGGACCTTGCGCACCAGGCTGTGAAGGAGAAGGCGAAAAGGAGGGAGAAGAAGGAGCAGATAGTGGGGAAGAGGGCTCTGATGGTAACCAGGTTCATCCGACGGTTGCAGCGTGCGTTCAGCAGGAAACCACGAGCAAAAGACGTAAAACCTGTGAACCTAAACCGTTTGTCGGACTAGATATAGGACGATTTTGAGAGTGGGGCGCTGGTATGCTCTAATAGCAAGGTCGTGATGAAGATGCCACCTTTCATTGAAATCAAAACTGTCCGTTACTCTCGCGCCACACCAGCACAAGAAGCTGAGGGTGAAACCGGCCTCGAGGACGCATTTGCCTAGGGGGAGGAGATAAAGTCGTCCCATCTAGCCTGTCAGTTTTTCGGGAAGAGATTGTAAGCAGATACGATGTGGCGCAGCACAACACAGCTGGGAACAAGAAATACCGTAGCAGCACGCCTTTGTGGTCGGCGTTGCTGCTGGAGTTGAAGGACATGAATAAGCAAAAGGGTCAGACTCCGTCGCGATGCAGGGTGATGTTAGAGCCAAGGTGGGGAAAGCAGTCCACACCCCGTGGTAGTCAGTCTACTCCGCACAGAATCATCTTCGCCACGTTCACTGGGACCCTGAGAAGCACTGCTTTTCAGAAGTCGGGACCCGCGTCCCAGGCACTGAAGAAGCGTGCCGGGGTTGATATATCAGGGAGGATATTCAACCCCCGGACTTGTTAATGAAAAGTTTGTGCTAAAAGTGTTTTTTCGTTGAATTCAGCCCATTAGTATTTTGTAGATAGTTAATAAATATTATTAATAAAATAATTAATAAAAAATAACTTATAAAAAGTGCTTTAGCACTTTTTATACGAAGTGGTCACAAAATAAGGTCGTTGAAAATACATACACTGGGGGCCATAGTATAGTGGGTCACTGAGTATTATTGAGCACTTATTGTACATTTTTTTCTAATAGAATCAGTCACTGAAGTGTGTTTCTTATGCCTAAAGCTCATCAGTGTGCTCCCCCTCCTCCTCCCCCTCCCCCTCCCTCCTCCCCCTCCCCCTCCCCCTCCTCCCCCTCTGCCCATGCATTCTCCAGCCTAGCCTTCTCTGCAGCAATCTCTTCTTTCTTGATGCAGTTGTTGTACTTCCTATTCTTGGCAAACTGCTGGATGATAGCACAGGTCACCCAGTCTTCTTCGAATGCAGCAAGCTGAGGAGCCTTCTCATGAGCCTGTGAAATGATCAGTACATTTTCCATGCAGGCACTGATGATTTACATAGGCATAGATTGCTGAGAGGAGGGCAGGGGGATGTGCAGTGATGTTCTTCTGCACGTCCAAGTCATACTTCTTGCACACATCTCATACATCTCACTGTAGAGTAGATTAGTAGCATATAGTGCATGTAGAATAAAATAATACTTACTTGGATTGATTTGAAGAGCTCCCTCTGCTCCCCAAGGCCCATTTTTTTCTGGAGGTTGTAGCCATTGTAATTGTGTCCATGCCCAGCTTGCCCCGGTGGCTTAGGGATGAGTGTGGACATGGCAGCATCTTCCTTCTTGTTCTTGTTCTTCTCCTGCTCAAGAAGCTTCAGCAATTTGGCAATGCAGGCTGTGCATATATGGGTCAGTAATCACAGTAAGTGGAGGAAGAAACTCACCTTCAGAGGCAAGTGCTTTGGCCTTCTCAGCCAAAATCTCCTGGTCCTTTGCCACAAGCTTCTCCTTGAGGGTGAGGGCCTTCTTTGTTTCCTTTGTAAGGTCCACCACATTGTTGACATGCTTGCCAGGAAGTTGCTTGGGACGCTTGGGAGCACTGGGGCTCATGTTTGACTCTTCAGAGGGCCTCTTCTGGCCAGATGCTGGAGTCTGCATGACACTCACAGGCTGGGGAGTGTCAGTGGCAGAGGGAGGGCAAGGAGAGGAGACCAGAGTTGTTGCAGAGAGAGGAGCAGGGGAAGGGGGAGCAGGAGGGTTAAAGTTGAGGGAGGAGAGTGAGTTGTCCAAGGGGGGAGCAGGAGGAGAAGCACAAGGAGGAGGGGGAGTAGCAGGGGCAGCAGCAGGGGGGGATGCCTGGGTTTCTTGGGCTGGGGCTTGCGGGGAGCCATGGTGGTTGAGGAGAGAGGGGGATGAGGGGGAGAAGGGGGGGAAATGCGTTGACATGCCTGGATATATATATTTAGTTAGTTCACCTAAGAAAGTATGTCAGTGGGGCTTAAATGAGCATGTGGAGGAACCAAAAGGATCAGCCAGAGAGTGAAACAAGGTGTTGACTTACCGGATTTGGACTCTTGAGGGTCCAAATGAGTAAACTTACCTTGAGAGCATACCTGCAGCTCTCTCCCACACTCTCTCCCAATCCTTGACATGTCCAAAGTCCTCTGCAATTGTGGGTGTGGTCACATGGTGGCAGGGTTGACTCAGCATCTGCACATGAAGCACAACAAGGAAGGAGCACTACAGAAGATTGTCAGCCAGCAAGAAGAGCACTTAAAACAAGAGGAACACCAACAGTGTGTCCAAAGCTTTCTCATGCATTTCCACAAGAAGAAAAAGCCCTCCCTGGACCTCCAGATGGAGGTCGAGGTAGAGGAGATGGAACCCCAAGTCAAAGAGGTCAACATCGAGGTCCCCCCCATGTTAGAGGACAGTTTGCCATTGCTGGAGCCCCAGGATGTTGACTGGGAGATGGCAGAGGTGGAGGAGGGAGAGGAGGTGGCCATGGAAGATGAGGAGAAAGAGGAGAAGGGTGAGGAAGTGGAGGATGTGGTCATGGAGGACAAGGACAAAGAGGAGGAGGAGGAGGAGGAGGAAGAGCTGGAGCTGGAGGACTTCAGCAATAAGTTCAGGCTCAAATGGCAAATGATACCTGGTGAGTATTGATCTTTTTCAGTTAGACTAGGCTAACAAGAGCCAGAGGAACTATCTGCAAGAGATCAGAAGAGATTCAAAGCATTTTCAATTGCTGTATCAACTCCTGTGTGGCTTACACAGGAGTTCTCAGCAAAGAAACCTTTTGCCCACACTGCAGCAAGCCCTATTTGAAGCCCAATGGCCAGGCTTGTTGTCAGTATGCATACCTGCCCCTTATCCCTCAGCTGCAAGCACAGTATGCTCAAGAAGACCAAGCAAAGCTGCTGACCTCATATCAAGGTTGGCAGAATGCAAATGCACCTGTAATGACCAATATCTTCCAAGGTTGACTCTACTGAGAACTCTGCCAATGCTATATCAAAGTTAGCAGAAAGACATTGCCTTCAAAATACTTCAACTCACCTAGAGATCTTGCTCTGGGCTTGTTGACAGATGGGTTTGCCCCATTCAAAGGACCTTGTTCCACTGCCTGGCCAACAATTATCTTCAATTACAACCTGCCCCCCATGATTTGAGCTCACCTGGAGAACATTCTCTGCATTGGGTGTATCCCTGGCCCCAAGCAAATGAAGGACATAGATTCCTACCACTATCCATTAGTGGAAGAACTTATTCAGCTGGCCAAGGGTGTGAAGACTTATGATGCCCACAAGAAGGAGTTCTTCCCCCTTCATGCACACTTAATCTTACTCTTCAGTGATATGCCAGCAGTGGCCAAACTAATGAACATGAAGGGGCACAATGGCCACCTCCCCTGCAGGATGTGTAAGATTAGTGCAGTGCATGACCCAGAAGGGAGGGGAAGCTACATACCTCTGAATTGAGCATGTTTCCCCCTCCAGGAAGGCCAGCAACCTTCCTATGACCCCCTCAACCTTCCCCTACACAAGCATTCTTCCATGCTTCACAAGGCCCAGCAAGTATCTGATGCTGCAACCCATGCAGAGTCAAATTGCATTGCTAGCGACTCTGGAATGAAGGGGGTTAGCATTTGGAGGCATCTGGGAAGCATAGTGTGGCCCACCTCATTTCCCCTTGACTTCATGCATCTCATCTTCAAGAATATTGCCCCCCTCCTCCTCAAACTCTGGATGGGCAAGCATCCTCTCTGCAAAGAGGATGCTGGCTTTGTAATTCCTGCAAACATTTGGTCATCCATTGCCTCACAAGTGGGAGAGAGTGGGGCAACCATACCTGGAGCCTTTGGATGTTGAGTCCCCCATCTCCTCCTCAAGCAGCATGAGTTCACAGCAGAGGCTTGGATGCTGTGGCTCACCCAGTTGGTACCTGTTGCAATGTCAGGAAGATTCAAAGGGAGAGCTTACTATACTCACCTAGTGAAGCTCTCCCAGTGCGTTACTCAATGCCTCTCCTTCTCCTACCCTCCTGGCTTCATGGACAATCTTTGCAAGGCTCTGGCTGAGTGGGTGGTTGAGTACAAGCAACTGTACTCATGAGGAGACCCAGCATGTGCTGGACTGTCCCCAGTGACAGTCCATTCGCTTCTGCACCTTGCAGATTGCATGCAGAACAGTGGGCCACTCTGGGCATCCTGGGCCTTCCCCATGGAGAGATTCTGTGGGAAAGTTCAGCGTACAATCACTGGCAGACTAAATCCTTACCCAGGGATTGACTGGTGTATCCTCCAGTGCTGTCAATGGGAAATCTTGCATCCCAAGTTCCTGAGACAGCTGAGGGGGATGAGGGGGAACATGAAGGAGATCAGAGAGGGGGAGGAGAATGAGGAGGAAGAAGAAGAGGAGGAGGAGGATGAAGAGGGGAAGCTACTGCCCCCAAAGACTGTGTTAATGATCAACCGAGCTCTATGTGATAAGCTGGTGCCTTACCTGGCCTCCCAGCTTAATGTAGCACACCCCACTATATGATAAGCTCTTCCCAAGCAAGTCGTACAGTGGGGCAAGCTTAGACTGCCTTGCCAAGGTAATACAGTCCATGCTGCCCTGGGCATACAAAGCTCCCAGGCAAGAGACATGACCTATGTTAGGGTAAGTCATTTTCAGCTATTCTGAGAGTATACTGACTTACCCTATTAGTATAAGCAAGCAGGAGTTTATGGAAGCCCTAGCCTGCACTATGGGCAGCTCCAGCACTTGCTCAAGCTGCCCATATGCTCCAAGACCTTCAAGCTCACCATGATCAGACCCTGCAAGACCGACAGTCAACCAAAACCGCCCTGCAGTGCTCTCGCATTCAAGGAACTCACCATGTTGCAAATCTTTCATATTGCAGTGGTCAAGGCTGTTGTTGGACAGGTAAAGGATTTGCACTCTCGTTGGTGCATCCTTGACCACTCTGATATTGTTCTTGTACTGTAGATAGTGTTAGCTAACAATTACAATTATTTTTACACTCACAATTACTCTTGATGGATAAGTGAGAAGATGAGGTTTGGCAGTATTGAAGGGTGTTGAAGGATATCATTTGAGAGATGACTCCAGGCACCCAAGATAGCGTTTGCTGGGCCTTTTGGGAATATCTGGGGCATAACTAATGTCATTGCTGTCTATAATAACATTAGGTAGACTACCTAATTTAGAGTACCTGTAGGATTCATTAGTAATAATCAAACACTTTATTGAACCCAGTTACCTAAAGCTAGGAAAGGAGAGCACTACTCCCCAAGTGCCTTATTAATTGCAGCAAGTGTCTCCTCTGCTGCCAAGGCACTTGCTCGTGCCATCGCATCAAATTTGTCTTCTGCTGGGGGGACGTACTCTTCCCCAGCCCACTTCACACAAGCCTTTGCAAGAATGATCTTGCAGTGCTCAGGGTTTGACCATGAGTAGACATTGTTGGGCTTGGGGGGAGGGGGAGGAGGGGGAGTGGGAGAGTGAGGAGGGGGAGTAGTGGGAATGGGAGTGGAGGGAGCAGGCGGGGGAGGGGGAGAGGAAGGGCCACCTCCTTGCCATTCTGGAGAGGGCATGAAGAGGTGCTCAGGAGGATCGTCGAAGTATGGGTTGGGGGAATTGCTGATGATGAATGGGGAGGGCTGATGCTGCTGCTGCTGCTGCTGAAGCCAGAGTAGTTGTTCTTGCTGCTGTTGTTCTCATTGCTGCAAGGTGCAGAGCAGCTCTTCAGCATCTTCCGGGACTTCTCCCAATCATCAAGCCACATGTTGAAGCATCAGACACATGATCCCCAGAGCATTGCTTGGCCCAGGCTTGTTGAGCTTTAGGACTCGCCGGTGAAGGACAGTGTTGGCAAGCTTGGACTTCAACTCCGCAGCTTTGAAGGCAGAGGCAATGGGCTGATTCTTGAATTCAGCTGTGATCTTATTCTTGCCAGATTGGTGGGCTTCCTTGTTGACATGAGAGCCTTGGTGAGCTTGAGTTTTTGACTTCACATTGGGCTCTATGTAACTAGCTTCAATGTTGAACTTTGGCTGGCCCTTGGCAATATGGATGTCATAGAGCTTCTTGCACTCTTCCCTGACCCAGGCAAGTGTCAGGTTCTCATCCTTCCAAGGCATGATTGCTATTGGATTGGATTTGAGGATGTCTTGATGCATGGTTGGGCAAAGAATTGGGATGCCATCATTGAAGAGTTGCATCCTGATGCCTTCTGGGAGATCAGGCATGTTGATAATGCTGGCAAAGTTCTTGACAGAGGGGAGGATCTTGGGCAAGTCCCAGTGCCCACAGTGGGTGCTTGCTCAGAGGTACCAAACGAGACCAGTGAGAGTTCAAACCTTTGCTTGAGTATGCAGCCAGACAAAGTGTGTGTACTTGAAGGGCATGATCTCTGTGAGATCATGTGTCTCCTGGTCAATGCAGAAGCCCCAGAAGTCTTCAGGCTTGCTGAAGAACTTCTCTAGGGGGAGGGAGGGAGAGAGGGCTTCAAGTTCCTTCTTGAGGGCCTGCACGTAGACATTGTGCAGCTCCAAAAGCATCTTGATCCACCAGGGATTGATGCTGCCTGTCCAGCCTCCAAATTCCCTGACCCACTCCCACATCTCATCCTGGGCATTGTATCATGCTGGCCTGCACTTCCTGAGATAATCACCAGCTTTTATGCCTGGATGAAGATCTCTCTTGGAGATGAGGGGGGAGAAGTTGGAGAGGGGGAGGGGACCCCATTGGATGGCTGCACTTGTGGGCTCGGGAGGGTTGTCTTCACAGTAGGGGAGATGAGGCAGGGTGGGGTTGTATGCCTGAGCATAGACCATTCCATCGAGGTTGCTACATGCCCAGAGACACCATGCATGGTCTCTGGGGTTGTAGGCAACCTCATCCTTGCCCTTGCCCTCAAGCAAAGCATCGAGACGCTGCTTGAGGGCCCTCCACCTCTTCCTTCATTGAATATTGATCATGGTATCCCACTTGCCATAGGGATTGCAATAATATCTTGCTTTGATATTCTCCATGGAGAAAGCATTGGAGAGTTTTGGGTTGAGAGGGTGATACAGGATGCTGGGCTGCTCTTGGTAGCACCAGCTGACATCCTTGTTGAACCAGTCATAGAGGGTGAGGTGCTCTAGACCAGTGAAGTTCTGTTTTTCCTTTTCTAGCAAGATACAGTTAGTAACTTGTTATAATCAACCCCTTAGTGAAAAAACTCACTTTGAGTGCTAGGCGCTCTCACAGTACTGCCAGCCTTCTGCAGGCCAGCAGCCTTGAACCAGTTGTCTTCGAATCCGGGATCTCCCTGAGGGGAATCCCAGATTCCTGCAAGAGCACTTGCAAAGACCATCTACAGGATGTGAGTAAGTCTGTTGAAGGTGCAAATACTGATGCACCTTTAGAAAAAACAGTCTGGGTTGGGAACCAGCATCTTTGTGTGCTTGTGCACTCACCCATTCAGCTGTTCAACAGTTGCTGTCCTCCAAAGGGGAGGACATGGAGAGGGAAGGAGGGGGGGGGGATTAGTCTTGGGGTTGGCCTCGGTCTCAATCCTGCTGGTTGCATGCCACCCAGGCTTGCCATGGTTGCTGTCCTCCAAATGGAGGTCAGCAAAAGGGAAGGAAGGGGGAGAAGGGGGTTTCTTGAGGGGATATGTCGCTGAGCAGAGGGGGGAGTTGGTGGGAGAGGAGGTGGTGGTGGGAGAGGAGAGAGTCAAGGAGGGAGAGGAGGAGAGGGAATGGGAGATGATAACAACAATGGTGGTGGTAGTGGTGGTGGGCATAGAGGGACTTAGACACTTTGGCCTTGACATGTCATTGTCAGTCCCTTAGCAGAGGCTGATTTTCAGTACTTCCGGGGCAGACTCAAAAATGCTGAAAAAGCTCCCATTTTGAAAGCCACCCCTGAAGCACTGAAAATCTATTTTTCAGCACTTCAGTGGCATATCACTGGACCCTAATCTGTGTCCAGTGGTTTGACAATGATGGAATGACCAACCAGCCCTGTCATGATAGGAAAGCACCCTACACCAGAACTGGGTTTGACACTCTAAGACCAGCCCAAGCGGGATATACAAGCATGGTTGCTATGCATTGAGAACATGCATGCCAGGTGATTTGAGAGTGTATGAATCCTGGGCGGCAAGTGGCCAAATGGCTGCTTTGGCTGGCGGCTGTGCCCAGAACCATATATCAGGACCCATTAGGGTTCATGAAAGGAATATCTCTGTAAGGGTCTGGTTTGATCCCAGTTTTTGGGAACCAAAGGCACCTAACTGGGCCTTAGCACTGGCCTTTGGTTGCCCTGGTCCCATGGCTGTTCAACTGCCTTAAACTCACAACTTCTGCACCATGTCAAGTAATTCTCTTTCCACATTTCTCCTCACCCCAGCTTGACTTCTATCTCCTTCTTTCCCTTCTGCTTAACTTAGCAATGTCTCAGCATGTCACTCACAGTGGTGGACCTGCTCCTGACTTGAGTAATGAAGATTACCCTCTGGAGCACATCAAGATCCTTGCTGCTGCAGCAAAATGAGCCATACAAGACCTCTGGCCTTCTTCCATCAAAGAAAGGACTGTGTGGATGAAGAATCTTGAGCTTGTCACTGCTTTCCGGGTAAGAACATCCCCCATCCTCCTCCCACTTCTTTTTTGCTTGTATCATATTAGGATGCCATCTGCACCCTTGCCCAGGAGCATCAAGATCAGTTTGCATCCCTCTCTCCCACCCAAATTGAGTATGTGGGGTTAGACCTCCAGCAGCTCTGGTTGAGCTGCCAAAAAGGCAAGGCAAAAACTAAGGTCAGTCCCGGTTTGTCTGGTTACAGCCCAGTTAAAATCCAGTTACCTCACCCTGGCAAACAGAAATTAGCCTTACCTGGTGTTCAACCTGCTGTGAGCATCAGCACGGTACCCCCCACCTTGGCCAAAAATTTTCCAGGTACATCTGGAGATCCTGGAGGAGAAGAACACAGTCCAGTCAATCCCCCTGCTCCCTCGGCCTTGCCTCCCCCACATGTTCCAATGCCATCCTTGCAGGGGCTGCCTACACCTCCTCTCTGTCCTCCCACCCCCCCTCTCCCTGCTGCTGCTCCTCCGCCTCCTCTTCCATCCACTTCTCTTCCTGCACAATTGTCTCCTCCTCCTGCAGAGCCCCAAGAGCAGGAGGAGGAACCGGAGGAGCAGGACAATCCACCTCCTGCTCCAACCAGGATGCTCCCAACAAGAAAAGCATGGGAGAAGGGTGCTTCCCAGACTGCAAATGTCATCCCCCACTGCCAGTGATGAGGAATCCAGTGACAATGAGTCTCACTATGACTACAAAGTCAGTCCTCCTCACATTGACACAGGAAAGGGAAGGGCACATCAGGTGAGTCCAGCTGGGTCAGTTACAACCAGGATCTGGTTGTTATGAACTGGGTTCTGCATATGACTTCTGCTGACACTTCATATAGGTGACTTCTCCCTCTGAAGATGAAATGGAGGGGGAGGACCAAGTTTTGGAATTGGAATTGGAGGTCAGGGTGGAGGACAAGAAGTCTTGGCAGGATGCAGTGCACAAAGTATGTCATTCCTTCTCTCTTGTGTTCAGCATAATCCTGATTCCTGTTCTAGCACTTTTGTCCACAACAATGACATGGCTGAGGAGGGTGTCATTGCCTCCAAGAACTACCCTCTCCCATCTGCAGACATGTGTGTCCCTCTGGATCCCAAGGTATGTATTCCTCTTTCCACAACAGGTGTAAATATTGACCAACTGTGATAATGTACCTGGTGCCAGGAGCAGAGCTTGCACTGCTCTCACAGGGCAGGCAAGATGAGTTCATGCTACCATTGCATGAACTGCAAAGCGATGTGCAGTGCTGTACAGCAAGGTGCATCTTGCCAGTTGGAACTGGGATCCCGGTTCTTTACTAACCAGCTTGACTTTAGATAAATGCACCAAATGCACCCTGAAGAATTTCAAGGCAGGGGCATCAAGCTGAGCTGGCAAAGATGAAAGTTCATGCACCTGAACCCATGCAAGTTGCCAATACCCCTGAAGCAATGGGTCAGGCACAAGCTAGCAGAAGTGCTGTGACTGAGCCTCCTGCAGAGAAGATCAAGATTTCGGTTTTCTGAAGGCAGGTTCAACAGGTTCAAACAGGGGGATATGCCAGTTGGTAAGTGACTTGCTGTTCTTGCACTTTGTCCTAGCTCAATTGGGTCTAGATCATGCAGCAACCTACCTGGGCAATCAATTGCAACATGCCACAGAGATCCTGGCTGTTCTGTCTGCCAATTACCAAACTTTTGTCAACTCAGTAAGGGCCAAAAAGGAAGAAACAAACATCTTGCTTGGTCCTTTGGAAGACAATGGCAGTATGGCATTGGAGTGGGATAAGATCAAGGACTCCTACTGATGGTGGATGGCTGAGGATGGCTTTGGACATGCTGACCTGGTGGCCAAATTGGTCACTGCCGACATGGAGTTTTGCCAGGTAACTTTGGCATGCCAGAAGGAACAAGAACAGAATTACCTTGAAACTCAATGGCAGTACAGGGTGGGCCAGGGGCAGGAGCAGGAGCAGGAGCAGGAGCAGGAGCAGGAGCAGGAGCAAGAGCAGGGAAAGAATGCAGAGAAGGCGCAGACTGATGCTGCAGAAGAGCAGGAGCAGCAACATGAACAGGAACTGCATGGACTCTTTGACAACAAGGTGACCCTGGTTCAAGAACTGACCCCAGCTCCAGAACTGGCCCCAGTGCCTCTGCCAGAGCCCCTCTTCTGTCCTGAGACACCTGAGCCAGGGGAAAGCCCCCTGACAAAGAACCCTGTCTGCACATGGACTGACTCCAGCATGGCTGTGCCCAGCATTGCTGCTCTTCAAGTTGACAACAAAATTGCAGAAGATGTTGACCAACTCAAAGAAGACATCTCTGTCAAGCCCAAGACCAGGAAGCACAAAATCCCTGCTTCCAAGACAGAGGGATGGAAACGCCAGAGGAGGAAGTGAGTAGGAGGTTTGTAGGATGCTCTGGGAGCATGGGTAGGGTGGTAGATCGAAATGCCCAGGAGACATACTGTATATTATAGTGAATAGATCCGGTTCTTACTCTGACTTTATAACCGGGTTCCAGTTTGACCTTGTGCAGTGTGCATCATGGCAAGCTGGGTCTAAACCCGGTTTGTGTCCAGTTGTTTATCTGGTTAGCCAGCCAGACCCTGGTTTGACCTTGAGTTCTTGCCAGGTCATGGCCCGGTTTATGCTGGCTATGGTTGCCTTTGAGGAGACTGGTGTGAGAGCCAAAAGAATGCCTGCTCCCTCTGGTTTCCGGCTGGCTTGCCTTGAGAGATGACACTAGTGCATCTGGTCAAGTGTAGACATGGGGGATGGACAAGGCTCTTGGTCAAGAGGGGGCTTCTCTAGTCCTATAGTTGGTTTGTTGATGTGTAGGAGTGTCATAGAGTAAAGTTACTCTGAACATCCAAGGCTTCCTTAATGCCTGAGGGTGGGACACTCAAGGGAGATTGCCTACTCCCTTCCATTAAGGCTTCCTTGCATCCACAGCACTCATCATGGTAGTACCCAGTTTAAGTGGGGCTCTTCCCCAGTTTTCAAACCAGGTGAAGGCTTGACCAAGTTAGACCCTGGTTTAAGCCAGTTCACTCTAACTGGCTCATGGGTAGCTTGAAGGCATTAATCTGATAGTTGGTTTGTTGATGTGTGGGAGTGCCATACAGAACAGAGATGTTAATCTGAACATCCAAGATATCCATGATGTCTGAGGGTGTGGCACTTGAAGGCAATCACCTACAAGCTTCCATTGAGCCTTCCCAGGCTTCATAACAGAGCCAATAAATTAAGGTGTCCTCCATGGCAATTAGATACCTGGGTTTTAGTGTTTCAGCCCTAATATCTGGAGGAACTCCAGGTAGGAATGTTGTTGATCCCTTGCCTGCCTTCAGCCACTCAAAGAAAGTGTCCAAGTCAAATGAATCCCAAATTGGTGGCATAAGAGATACCCTGGCAAGTGATCTTGATTCAGGTGTGCTGATGAGATGGTTACCTGCGGTTGCTGAGACAGTACAGGAGCATCCCAATCAGAGAGGGGGTGTCCTCCAAACAAAGGTTTCCACAGTGGGTTCCGGCCAGATGAGCTGGGTGCCCAGGTGGATGAGACAGGTGCCTGGCCAGATGAGACAATTTGCCAGTTCAGCAGGGGTGGCCATTGTATCTGGTCAGGCTGTACACTAGCTGCACACTCAGGCTCCATTCAAGGCCTGAGTATCTTTCAATCATCTCAGCCACTCATCCCATTGTTTAACATCGATAGGGGCTGGCATACCCCAATGCCCTGAAAATGCTAGTCTTCCTCTCCTAGCTGGTTGATGAGTTCTATCAATTGGTAGTGGTAAAAATGGCAAGATAGCATCTCTGCTGTCTTCTTATAGAACTGTGGATATGATTCATGATCTGAAGGCACAAATACTTTTGGCCACAGCTCTTCAAGATCTGAGAGGGAAGGCTTCGCAGAAAGGGCAATGAGTTTGATGGATGTATCAATGTGTGGGTTAGAGCATACTCAGTGATAGAGCTTAAACCAGGCATACATTCTGGGTGTTCATGGCCCAAGCCTGGGGGCCTGTTAACAAGACACCAGAAGCTGGTTCATGCCCATTCAGTATGGGCCAGAGGAACCATGTGTCCAGCTGGGAGAACCAGATGGCTGGCCAGATGAGACCTGTTGTAGTAACCTGGGTGCAATGACTAACTGGCTTGTAGTGACCATGGTAATAACCTCAATTACTACAGGGTTACCACTAAATTTTGGGGGTCATCATAAATGGACTATGGTGAACCAGGTGTATGGAAAAACACCTGGTGGCCTCACAAGTCTTCTGCCTTTGGCAACGTCACTGGGAAGTCTGTAAGCTGCTTCCCAGTGGGACTGACAAAGGCTGACCAGGCCTTTTCACCATGTTCAGTCTTCTATATCTTGGCCAATGCATGCTGTGCTTCATAACATGCCTGGTGATGGTGGAATGTACACGCAACATATTGGTATCCTGGCCAGACTTCTGCAAATCAAGCAGCCTGCCCAGTGGCTGATGTCATTTTCATAAGATCCATGCCATCAGCCACATCCAGAAACTTCAAATTTCCTGGCCACTTGATTCCCCAAGGAGGCACTGACTTGAACTCCAAAGATGTGATCACAATTGGCTTGTCCTCAGCAGAAAGGACCTCTGGGGAGGTGTAATGGGGCATCTTCAAAGACAACTTGTGAATGCATGGTGAGTTGGTGGGGGTGGTCATGCTTCTGTGAGAGCATTTTCTGCTCAGTTCATTTGACCCAGTCACCAAATGTGCATAGATCTTCAGCTCATCTTGCACTCAAGCATGACCTAAAGCTACCCCTGGCCCTTTGACAATCACTCGCTCATTCTTTTGGAGCTGAATGTACTGTCCATGTCCAAACTGTACCCACTTTTTTTGCCTGCTTGTTGAGAATTGGGATGGTGCAATCTTCTTTTGGAATGTCAATGTGAAGCCTTTGCAAAATGGTGTTCATTACAGCAGGCATCCAATTGGAGATAGACATGATGAGGCCAAGGGGGCCCAGCGTCGTGTGGTCCCACAAGATGAACATCTGACTATGGCATTCAGTCATATCAAATGGCACACTTTCACACTTCAGGTCCTTGATCTCACTCTGTGGGGCAAACTTCCTGTTAGGGCAACACAGGCTGACTAAGTCTGCTCACCTAAGAGTGCCAAGAGTCTAAGCAGGCAACAAGGAAGTGGAGTAGACCTGATGACTAAGACCTATTTACAGTATAGGTACCTGTGGATGATCCTAAGAGACCAAGTCTGAAGAGACAGTGCCCAGGCAGAGTAGGCCTTATATTTATACCTCTGTGGTGGAACCTGCTAGAACATCTTGCTTACTCAGCCTAGTCAGGTGATCAGGTCATATGACCAAGGATGAGGTCATATGAGGTCATGCACAGCCATGCACAGCAGGTCACCTGACCATCCAATCCTTCCAGAAGGTTCCAGCACATGCCAAGGTATACCAGCTACTTCCATGTCATAAAGGCTTAGTCATGTCTCTTGACCAAGCAATGAGCTGGTGCCCTGACATTCTTACCTGCTTGAGTGCCACAGTTGTCCCCTGGATGAGTTTTGCTGATGATGTGGTTTGGACAGAACAATGATCCCATGGCATTTCCCAGTCTTCAAGCAAAAAATAAGGTGAAGTTCAGCAAGGGGACAGTCAACAGATCAGAAGAATGCTGCCAGACCAATACTGTCCCCACTCAAATGAAGAGTTCAGAGTGTAGGAGCATGATATTCTGCATCTCCTGGAAACAGCCATTCTGTTTCATATGGCCGAAGATCATCAGTAATGGCAAGCGTTGACAGATACTCAGAAGAGAATATGATTGGCAGACTCTCTGAAGACAGATTCACACAATCCACCAAGAATGTTCACAGGCAGACAGATTCAGTTAAATGACTGACAAACCCAGAAAACAAAAGGCTGTGCAACCCACCTGGGCACTGGAAAGAAAAGTTGACCAAGTTTGGGCAGATTTCCAACAGACCATTAAAGAATGTCATAAGTGGGCGGAAGGCAGTTACAAGGAATGTACTCGGCCCAACAATGACAACCAAAATAGACCAGACAGAAGGCAAAAGGATGGACAGAAGAGGTCCAAGCAGCCTGATGGACAAGAACTCAAAAGACACATCACAAAGCCTATCAAATGATCCAATTGACTGCCTCACATACAAGGAACATGCAGTGACAAACTCAAGTTCTTCATCCTTCTGGACCAGACAAATATCAGCCAATCAAACAGAACCAATATATGCTTAATAAGTTGATTCAGGCTGAAGCAAAAAAAGATAAGCAATCATAAAAGATAACAATATATATACTCACATCATGGACAATAACCAAAAAGGAACCAGGTGTAAGACACATCACAAGAGAGTGACAAACAGCAGCCATCAATTTACCAGCCAAACCAAGCACAGCAACATCATGGTACAGACCATTGTCAAGCATATTGTCTGCAAGACAACTTAAAAGTTCAGAAAAAGTAAAGAATTGATGCATAGCCTCAGGACAATCAAAGTGAGAATGGACAGAAGAGAGACTGTTAAGTACTGTAATTGGGAGAGATGAGACAAGACAGGTGCATCTTATTCAGAGACCACACAAAGACATTTAATTTTTTTTGATACCAAAGCTCATATGCATCCAAAACAGATGCATTTTCATGTTGAATTCTTCATTACAAGACCTGGGTACCTAGGTCCCAGGAATCTCCTCTCTCTCAACCATCCAGCCCCCACTCCTATCCGGATGTGTACTTAAACCATTTGTTTTGGGATGCAGTGGTGATCCTTATCTTCCCAACTACCACCTGGTCAACTTCTTTCTGGACTTCACCAGCATTCTCCTTCTGGATCAATGGACTTTGACTACTCACTCACAGTGGGTCTTGCTCTGCTCTGGATGTTGTCTGGTGGGCTCATCTCTGGAGTAGGATTGCTGTGGATTGAGACAGGAGATCTTGGTAGTCTGGTGCATCTGCTGTTAGCATTCTGGATAAAACAACACTCATATGCTTCCAGACAATCTCTCTCTGGATTCTGGAAGGATGTTCAACCTTTGCCCCTGCTCAGATGCCAGTTGTCTGTCTGGACAGACTCAGGACTTGCTGAGGACAGCTTGAGTCAGTCACACACAAGTGAATACATATCCCAAGAACTCTCCTCAATGCCAGTCTGGAGATCATGCTTTGCCAACAATGCTGACTTGCATGCCATTGACTCAAGACCCAAATCCTCTGACCCCCACCACCCCTTACTCTGGACCTTTTGTCTGATCATGATCTCAGGACCTGTATATGAATTGTATCATGACAGACAACCCTGCCCATGTTCCCAACTGTATGAACATTCCTGTCTGGGAAGGTTCTCCAGTCTTCCTGATTCCTTCTTCTCAGATGGGGACAGTACCCCAAACCCCTACTCCTGCTGCTTCTGGACAATCATGTTCTGCCAACCCATCCAGGTGGTTGGCCCCTCAAGCTGCTTCTGAACATATGCAGGCTGCACCCAAGCATGTCACCAGTGGCACTCAAGAGCCTCATATCCATAGCAACATCCTGCACAATGGGCCCAGGCATTCTCCAGAAGGAGCATACATCATGGTTGGCAACTTCATGACCTCTGAGGTGATCTCTTCCTGACAACCAATGATTGCCCATGTTCCCAAAGCTTGTATGATACCTCCTGATGAGCATAACCATGTCAGGAGGCTGGAGGACAATGCAAGGCTTTCTCTGGTGTCAGAGAAGATCCTGTCTGTCCACAGGCACCTTCCAGTCCCCAATCCGGACAATCTGGTCTTTGATGCCCTTCTGCATCTCAACAGTACAGGCTTTGGTGAGCCACACCAAAGAATCTTTTTTTGTTCTGGATACTAACTTTGTCTCAGCACTCCCACATATCCGATTCTGCAATCTGCATGAAAACCAGAGCCAGACCCATGGCACTCACTTTGGGATGGTTGTTGGTTTTCCCAGCCTCTTCCAGGTCAGCATGGAGTCTGCTCCAGACCCACCATGCCCTGTACAGATCTGGACAACTGAGGATCTTCAGGGAATGCCATACTGCATCATGGATCAATGAGTTGCAAACACAGCCCCTGTCATGCAAGGCTTGAGCAGGGACTGTCTGGATGCTGCTGGGTGGCATGTGCATCACTGGAAAGATGCTTAGGGGGCTACGATCCAGAAAGTTTCTGCAAAGCAAGACTACATGCAAGGCATTCTTGACTATGTAAACAGCTTTTTTTTTTCCTGAATTGGCAGCACCTCACCCCATTCCAGACCACTGCAGCTGATCGCACCCTGAACAACATTTTTTTTCTTTTCACTACATGGCCTGCATAGCAGTCGGCACTGATGCCCCTCCAGAAAGCTGTATGGTCATCTCCTGGAACATCTGGCACAACAAGGAGGCAATGGGGGCTCTGGCAGAGATCAAGAAGATCCTCCAGACCAAAATCACCTACCTTTGTTGTGATATGATTACAAACTGCATTTGCAGCTTGCACAATGCAGGGACTGGAGCACCTGTCAACACAACAGTCATGAGTGAGAACTTTGACCATGTCCTGGCCCAGCTGGCGCCCATCGATCTGCATGACAACAATGACAATGTCTGTCCAGAGCCTTCTTCCTCCTGAGCTCATGGCAAGCAGCATTGCAACACTCTGGAGGTGCAGGCCACCCCTGCACCCCAAATGTACATGTCCATGCTGTGCTTTAATGGGCAGTACTACTCTGGAGATGGACAAGATTGGCCCATGCTTCCTGAGGGTATTAATGGTGCTCTCCAGGGCATTCTATCATCTTCATTGGTCCAGACACACATATGGGAATCACCAGGCCAGGATGCAGCTCACAACATCACATTTTTTCAATCATGATCCTCAAACTTGGCTTGCTGGTCTCCAGAACAGGCTTGCAAGCATCCAGAGGCCTCTCAGCACACCTTTGGCTCCACGGATCTTGCCAATCCTTCAAGAAATGTATATGTTGAAGTGATTCAAGTGGGCAAGTACTGGTCACATCAGGACTGGTCCATTCCCTGATGTGTTCATACCAGAGGGAAGCAAGGCCAGGGACTTTCATCAGGAGGAGAGGGGTTGGTGTTAGCAGTACTATGAAGTCTTACAAGTTGGGATATCATGGCCTTCTGCCCTTCACAATTTGAATTAGCTGTACACTGTTGAGAAGTGATTACAATTACCTGGTCTGGAATGAATAACATTGTTCACATGATACAAATACAAGCGCATTCCAGGGTATGGTGCTTCTTCTTCTGTTTTTACTCCTTTCTTCCTGACACACCATTCACTATGCCCTCCTCTGAAATCATTACCTCTGCTCCTCCAGAAGATCCTGCTGCCTCAATGTCTTCCTGGCTTTAGCAAGGCTACTTGGGTCTGGAATCACAGCAAGCATGAGCATGCCAAGATGCATGCCATTGACATCTCCACTGCTCTGGATGAAAGCATTTGTCATGCCACTCTGGACACAGGGCTGAGCAAAGATGCAGTTTGAGAACATGTCCTTGGTCACCAAGACATCCTCTGCTTCTGGGAGCACCAAGCCCCCAATCTCAAGAGTGTAGCAGTACATTTAACTAAACTTGACTAGGAACAGTGTAGTATGTAGAGAGTCTCTTACCTTGCCTCCCAAGCTAAACTCTTTCCCAGATGAGAAGTTTGACCTTCATGCTGCCCATCCAGACTGGCAGCAATGCCTCCTGGATCCCCAGAGCAATGTTGCTGCTGCAGAGGCTGGGCAGGAAGGTGTGTGGGCTCTTTGGGATCAGGGGGAGCACCAGGTTTGTGTGTCTTGAAAGGGGAGGGAGGCTGACCTGGTGGCCACTGGTACCACTCTGCAGAGAGAAGTTGGTTTGTCTCTCTGGCCCTTGCTGCCCTGCTGACGTCTTGGCAGGCAAATGCATTCAATATCTGGACCAGCAGTCATATGTTTGCTTTCACCATGAAGGGGACTTCTCTTGACTATGGCTGTGCTTAGTTTTTCAGGATAACCATCAGAGAAGCATTTGTGAGACAGCTTGTGGGTAATTCAGGACAAGAGCTGGCACAGGATTTTGAGGCCTTTGCCAACCATGGCTCCTGAGGTATCTGATTATTCCTGTTGCCTGGACCTTCTAGGTTGATTGTCTTCAGGCATGGCTTCTTGCATTTGGGACCAGAAGAATAACATGAAAAGCAGTATCCAGATGCTCCTTCTTACAAGCCTATGTGAGTTCTCAATCCTTCGGTCCCAAAACTTTCTCATTTCTGTTCAGGAAATGCATCTGGGAACACAAATGCTGTCATGCACTATGCAAAGTTTGGGAGCCATATTGAGGATGTTTATGCTGTCACTCTGGACAGTTGGCCCCTCCCACATCTCCAGAACCCCTCTCAGCTTGGGATCACAGAGCTGAAGCTTGTCCATGCCACTCTTCTGGAGGGGAAATGCAGTTTTCACAAGATGAACAATGCTGACACCGTCTGGAGGGCTCTCAGGAGTGCAGGGCAGAGCTGGACATACAACACCAGAGGTGTATCCAGAGGGTAGAGGTGGGGACTCATCAGGAGCATCAGCTGGCCATGGTTCAGGATTGCTCTGCACATGTACTTCCAGAGGTCATGGACATCAGTGTGGATGTGTCTGGGGAGGGTGCTGTCACTCTGCCTCTAGCCGTCCCACCTTCATTTCCAGATAACTTCACCGATTTGTCTTTGTCTGGACTACAGCCATACTGGAACTAGTAAATTTATTGTCAAAACTTAGGGACAATGCTATCATTGTTTATGACAGAGTTTGCCTCCAGAGGATCTGACTTCCCACCTGTCTCCTGATTGCTTGGCCCAGTCAAGAAGCACTGCCATACTTATCTGGAAGGTTTCCATCATGTGCTGCTCCCAAACATGTGATCCTGCAGCTGGATCTTGGCTGGATGGCATGTCTCAGTCAGATCCCTCTAGTCAGAGGATCTGCTGCACTGTGACAGGACCCATAGTAAGAGGGTTTTTTCAGGTGTCATAGGCACTACAATAAATTCTGTGTCAGTCCTGCCATCTATCTGTACCTACACTGATGCCTGCCCTCAAGTAAACAACTCCTGTTGACCAGGGACACTGGGTCTGCATTCAAGAGCCAACACACTACTAGCATGCTTCAGATGGCAATCACCCCCTCTGACAATACCTCTCTGTTCAACAACAGTTTTGCAAGCTCCATCAACAACTCAAAAATGTCTCTGCCTCCTGCAGACAATTCTGCCCATCAGCCATTGTCACAGAACATGTCACTAGACCCTGTGGACAACCCATCAGATGACAATAATGGTGTGTTAACCCTCTCCTGACACATGACTTTGCTGCCTTACCTCTTGTGTTAAGACATCCTTCCCATATTTGCTGCAACACTCAAGGATATCAGAACATCTCTTGCTGAATTGGCCAGGATGATGGCCACTCTCAAGACAAGGCAAGAACACCTTGAACACCAGTTAACCAAGCTCTGCCACATTATAAAGCGGAACTGGATGAGACACCTAATCTCTTGACACCCTTACTCAGCCACATGAATTGATTCTGACAGCACTCAGTGTATAAATATGATCTCATTTGCCCCCATTATCAACCCTGTGTCTTCATAATGTACAGTCACCACACATACCAAAATGCTGCATCCTTGCCTGATATTAAACATGTATGATGTGTTCCTTTCACTGTTTTGCTGAGTATACTGACATTAATGAAGAATGATCAGGAACCACTTGTCCATGACATTCCTCCTGGCAGTGCACCCAGCATACATCTGTCTGTATCATCTGCCCCCATTTTCATCCACTGACACTTCAGTGCAGTTGATTGTTCCCACCCATATGCAGCCAAGTTGCCTCTGATTGGCATTTGACTTGTGTCAGGCTGCATGCAACATTTTGGTTTTGGCAGGGATTCTGTGGTTGATGTGGCAAAAAGCAGTTGCACACAACAGTGCACTGTATCTCTTGTAATCCTACTGTAAATAAAGAGTTGTGCAGTGTCTTAGACACCATAACATGCTTGTTGTCTTGGTTTACAGCAGTGTCTCATTGTGAGACCAGCTTGAGAAACATGCCCCCAACCACATATTCCCCTTCAGGTTGAATGGGTCTTATGTGTCAGACTCTGTTTTGGCAGGAAGAGGTGAACAACTCACACAGAGACATGTTTCTGTCTCATTTTGACAAACCATCTTCCCATATGAAATAAAGGCAGGAAACATACATGTTCCCACCATTGTACTTCCCCCTAAACCCTCACCATGTCCAACCAACACCCAACACAAGTGCCCCCCCTGCAACACACACATTGAGATCAATTCTCCATGCCCACACATCCTACCACACCAAAGAAGGCTGACCTCATTGATTGTCTCTTTGGTGCTCAAGAAGTGCTGAGAGAGATGCATGCAGATCTCATGTTTTCCCATGCCAACCAGCACATCATTGCCCATCAGCTGTCTATCCTGCAGAAAGCCCTCCACACTCATTGACCTGATAGGACTGCACCAGCTGCCAACTTTGACTCATGGTGCATAGTATGCAACTTCTCCAATATCAAACCTGACAAGGTTGTTGTCACTGCTGGTAGCTCAATCCCTTCCTCTCATGCCCTGATCCTCACATTGACTTTCCTTCCTCTGCTGTCTGTTACACTCTGCATTTCCAGCCCCACAACATTGTCAATGTTTTGACTCACACCCAGACTGTCATGTTGACTTTACTTCCTCTGCTGTTTGCCACACTCTGCATTTCTGCCACACTATAATCCTCCATTACATGCTTTGCTTTACTGCAATGACCATCTTGCTCACTGTCACATGGCCATCCCTCCCCATTGACAGGTTAGTATTGATCACTCTTCCTTCTTCTCTACTAACTGTTTTATCAGAATGGGGATGTTAATATGCTTCCCCTGCCCATTATGACATCAACAACCATGCATTCCTCATCATCCCTTCAAATCCACCTGCTTATTCTTGTGAGATCCATCTTCTTTTCTGCTCTCTGATTTTCTAATATGTCATGCCCTAGGAATGACTTGATGAAATCCTTGCTCATCTTGATCAGCTTGAAACACAGATGATGGCCTCTGAGACTCAGCTCATTACTCATTTCAACAATGCTCTGCACAATTCCACCAGTACCCTGGATAATCACATAAACAACATAATGCAACAAATGATTGCCCTAAACACTTGGATCAGTACCCAGTGGCCTCAGCCAGGCCCCATAGCCTTTGGCAGCACTTTTGTTAAGGGGTCTCCACTGTAGTCACTCTTATCAGAGTTGTGAGGAACACCCTTGCAATGTATTACATGATATACTTTGGTAACACAGACATCAGAAACGGCACTGCTCCTGCCAGTGGCATCAGCTTCCAGTGGTAGTTAATAGCTTACATCCTACCATACCTGCTCAGTTCCTTGTTTTCTGCAATATATACTGTTGCTACATACCATTGCCCAGGTCTGCACAGAGTGCCTTGCTACATGTACTGGCTATTGGAGAACTCATTACCTAAGGGAAGGCTGAATGACCAATCTGACTCCGCCGGCTGAGCTTGAACTGAGGGGGTGGCAAATGGGAAGCGGGTCTGGGAGGAGACTAAGAGTGCTGTCCTCTCTGCATCACCATAAATTCGCTCCTGGTATCTTTATTATGTTGATCACTAGTGGATTGTTCATCACCGGACGCTGGATCTTCCTAGTTGATTGGAGAACACGGGGATGAAGACGCGCAAAAGGGAAGCAAGGATCTCCGAGATCTGTGCAGGTGCGCATCATCTGCTCCCCCATGGAAGGAGTCCCAACCACCCCCTGCGATTAGATGCTACTACACCACACGAGGCAACCTGTGGTCATGCCTCGTGTGCAATCCATCTGGATCGTACTCTTGGAGGCCGATCACGCGGCTTAAAGGACATCTGGCAACGTTGAAACATCAACATGCAGCCGCAAGACCACGAATCGATAATACGCCCCCCCCCTCGGGGATTCGTAAAGAACCGCGATCATGGACAGTACCTGGGTGTCTTCGAAGAGACGACGGCCGTGGATTATCCTGCATCCAGCCCTGAGCCCTGTCTCGAGTCTCAACTAGACGCCCACTTCCTGTCCACGGTATTCGAGGGGGTAATGGATATACCACCGTCATCTCCAGACTGGGATGGATGTGACGCATACGTGGATACTGGTGGGCACTTCCCTTAGGGGATTTCGTAGGCTCACGAGATTATCTCTCCTCATCCCTTGTTCGACCACCACCATAACCCACTACACGGAATACATCGCTATGTGCAGTGAGCATTTCGATTGACGAGCGCATGGCGGAGTTATCTGGTGTAAGAATCCAGCATGATCTATACCGATACGGTTCGATTGGGGTAAGCTACTTGATTAAGATCGCATGTGCGTTCTCACTCGACATGAACCAGACGCTCATGACGGACTCACTCCTGAACGCACAACACGTACGATTTTCTCGATCGCAACTCTCAGCAATGCTAGCCTGGGCTAGCGCTTTGGGTGGCTCGGCGGTGCCGTCGATGGGCGGCATAAAGGCGTTTGCCAAGGATAGTCTACCCCGTACTGGTTGACACGTTCCACGTTTCGTATCGCTGGCTGGCAACGTACATCATATGCGGCCGTTGGGGCTGGTATTTGGTCAAGTAGTCGATTTGTCAATATCCTAGATTGAGACACTAACGCAATATGTACAGGATTTCGCCAATCCTCACATTCGACCCCACATCCGAACTCTACCAGTCGTCCAATCCGATCGTCTCCAAGAGTTTTGGGAGGGATCTCAATGGGGGGCGCGTGCGCCCTGGCACATACTAACCCCAATGATCGTACATGACCATCGTCATTGGTACACGGATGAGTTGGTTAGACTGGTGGGCGGGGAGATGTTTGTCCCTGAGCGGTGGGTTCGATTTGAACGAGACGACGGTCCGATCGGTGCGCTGGGATGGCCCGTCAGAAACTGTCAAGTGAGTCGCTATACATGTACAGGTGCCTGATCGATCTCATATCTACCAGGATGTGTTACACGTGGACCAACTGAAGATGCGACGTATATCAGCATTACAGCTGGCAAATGCCTACCCTGAGATTGTACTACTCCTCGACAGCGGTCGTTACGATGGGACGACGACTCTTTGGCATTCGCCAGGCGGATGCCAAAACAGATGGCGACAACGAGCCCGCGGACGCCGCGTATATTCGATACCGATCATGGTCTGGGTCGACGATGTATCAGGGAACGTATCCAAGATGTGGAACAAGCACCTTGTACTCTGTGCTTCCACTCTTGGTCTCCCACGGAGGATGCTGGACGAATCGGGCAACATTTATTTCATAGGAACATCCACATTCGCAGGGGCGTTGGAGTTGATGGAGGCCGTCGTACGGATGACAGAGTGCGTCGCTTCGATCAATCGCATGTGGTGGTGGCTAACGGCAAGTCACCACCATAACCCATCCGACATGCCTTATCGCCCGGTCATAAACCAATACTGATCGGTCTGCAGAGAAATTAATACATCGGAATTCGAGTCCTTTGACGCTCTCTATCGCGAGCTCATCCTAATCAACGTATGGCCAGCGATTCTGGCAGGAGACAATCCCATGCAAGCCGAGCTTTGCAGCCACAAGAGTTTCCACTCGAACAAGTTCTGCCGTCGCCGCCACGTGGGAGGCACGAGTACGGAGAGAAGTCCCCAGGGGTACGGCGGTTGTTTGAGGTGAGCAAGCGGCGAAATATGCCGGTAGATGTTCACGACACTGTCAGATCAACGCGGCGCGAACAAGCGGGGAAACGGCGGCCTGTGTCCGATGCATGTTAGATCTAGCAACTCTACCTGGGCATACGACCGCCATCAGCCAATACTCGTCTGAGGTGGTGGTGAAAGATATGTATGCGGAGCATGTCATCAAGAAGATGTCGAACGAGGACCGTTAGTACTTCATGTCAGACGGGGCGCGATAACGATGGAAGAGGGAGGAACGACGTGGGCGCACCGCAGCAGGGAGGAAGAACACCGTCCCATGAAAGATCTCCGTATCCATCTCCCCACTAAACTCCAACACCTGTTCCCCCACCCATCTTTCACCTCCAAATAGAACACCAGTGCCTGGTCGCTGCTCTCCAGCAGCTGCAAGTCGTAAGTCGCTTTGGGCGGTTGGGCGGTGTTTCAGAAGAGGATCGTTGTCTGAGTGATCGACAGTGGGCTATATGCACATACATATCACTAGACGATCAACAAGCCAGTGAGAGATGAGTTGGGACATCACTATGAAATACAACAGCTTACTAGGCATAGTCCGCTTGCCTCCCACAATCTCCCCTACATGCTCGTGCAACACCTCACAACCCCCATCAACAGAAGCTCCTGCAGCGCCCATCACCCCCGCACTATCCTACACCACGTTCCACTCATGACCCAAAGCGCCACCCCACCTCCCACACCGTTCGTCTTCCCAGTTCGGAGTGGACGCACAGAACAGAGTACGTACTGGCGGTGCCCGAGACGACGGGGGCGAAATGAGGTCTCCTAGGCAGAGTGCTGGGACATGGTGGGCGACCATGAGAACGACAGACACCGCAGAGGACAGAAGGACGCACCATACCGCACCATACCGCGGCGACCCCTCCCTCATCCTCCTCCCGGCCCCATTGGCGTCCCAGGCGCCAAATCCGCTCCTACTCCCGGCGGCGACGGCGGGTGGGAGACGGCGCCTTGCCCGCTCACGTTCACCAGGTAGACTTCGAGCATGCATTGCAAGGCTACAGGTGCGGTTAGCATACTCTCCGAGACGGGCGCATGGTGGACAGGCAGAGAGAGAGGTTTGCGAACCTTTCCGCACCCCCTCCCCGCTTACATCCTTCCTCGGCTGACGTCCCAGCTTGCGGCTTGCACCAGTGAGATATGTCAGCTGGTGGTTGGGCGAGGAGAGGGGCGGGCGTACGAGACGCTGGAAGCAAGACCCGACGTCTTCGCCGACATCTACCACGCATCATCAACATCTTTCACACCGCACTCCTGAGCCGTACGTACAACCAGCCTGTCAGGCACATCAGCGCCTGCAGGTCGCAATGTTGGGGGTATGTGTACCTGAGGAAACGTCGGCGCGTCGCTCATAGCGAATGTGACATGCAGGTATCCTCGCCAGTGTGCTCACCAGCAGCGTCTGCCCATCCCGGTCGGCGCGCTACCCCAAAACATCTCGTCAGCACCCCACTCATCACACGAAGACCAGCAGAGTAGTAAGCACGCACATCATCAGAACGTTAGTCGTCTCAAACGTCGTAGGCGGCACCCTCTGCGGCGCATACATCCTCTCCCTCTGCGCCTGCTGTAAATGCGGTAGAGCAAAAGACTCGCGAACGGGCTTTTGGCGGAGGGCCGACGGGGGGAGAGGGAGCCGTCGGAGGAAGGGTATGGGGAGGGGCAGTATGGAGGGCGCGGACGGTGCTAAGGCAGGCGGAGTGGGATCCTTTTTTTGTCGTTCTGATCGTCCTTGTCGAGAGGAAGAAGAGACGTCAGCAAGCCGCGCGCAAACGTTGCAGTTATCGACTCGACCGTGGGTGTCGATGTCCTTGAGGTCGTCGAGGGCAGATGACGGGCTCGAAGCGTACCTCCGACGCGACTCCGACGTATGTGACATATTCCGGAGCCTTTTCGGCTTTTGCCAAGCGCGTGCGCAGGTGGAACTCTCTGCTTTAGCGTGCTCGGTCGTCCTCGCCTGATTCTGATGTCCCTAAGGCACCGTTCGACGCCGACTCTTTCAGGCTTCTCAAGGCTGCCAATTTCTGTCACATTCACAACAAGCCGGATGTCATGACCAGAGCCGGAATACACCGTGACCCCTCGGATGAGGATTGGTCTTTGTGGAATATGCTGCTGGTTCGCCCGCGCTTTCTGCCTCTGATATCTTCTCACCCAGCTGTAGATCAAACAACGACGTGAGGGTAAGCTCCCCCAGAATGTCACCGAGAAGGCTGCACCCAAGGTCTTGCTGGACAAGTGGGAAAGCATGTTCATCGGCAAGGCCCCGAACTTGCAGGGCAAGGTCCCCCTGAGAACAATGCGCATGGCGACTCGTCCAACGCAGCCGCAGGTCTACAAGCTTTCATGGAGCGCTTTGGCTATCAACCGTTTCCCTGGATGATGGTCCTACCGACAGGGCTACCCCAGTCCGTTCCAGATGCGATGCCGATCAAGGTTGAAGAGTTCAACGATGATTCGCGCTGCTAGCCCACCATTGACGACTGGCTCTCCCTCAAGGTGGATGGCAACGTGACTCGCAGCAGCGGAGGGACTCGAACCTTCGTGGCATGGAGTGCCGGCCTGAAGCAGAGCGGCATCTACACCCTCAACGAGTTGCGCATCCTGTCGGAGGGAGAGGTTGGTAGATAGACGGACACAGGGTGTATACCAGCTCGCTGGTGGTATTGTGAGAGCAATTCAACTTGGTGTCTCCCTATCTGCAGGCTCCTTCACATTTGTAGAACAATGTTCTACAATACAACCTTGATCTGCGGCGCAGAGGCTTTGCTCACGAGCACGTTCAGCTAGAGAAGGGGCAAGAAGCATCGTATCACAGTCCAAAATACACCACTCTGGGAAGAGCTAACGCGGATGGAGGTGGTGGAGAGCCAACATTGCTCATACACAAGCAGGCGTGCCATACAGATCGATGTCGGTCAGGTATGGGACGCTGCTCAATGCCGTCTCTGCTCCTAGCGGCAGGGTTAGCCTCGAGCTCCGCTCACCTTGAGGGTGGTCCCATTCTCCGCCGTCAGAGTCGTCCAAGCTATTGTCCAGCATGTTGCTCCCCGCGCCGGAGCTCTGCATGCTTGGCTCATCGTAGCCGTTCTGGAGAGCAGCACGGGCGCTGGACATCTGTTCGTGGCGACAATAGTTCGCGTCGCGGTTTCTGCAGTGGTGCCAGAGAGAATGGAGCCTCGGACCAGTTGTGCTTGCTTTGCCGAGCCTGAGGCGTTCGCGTTCGAGTTCAGCACGGATCTTCGAAAGATCAAGCTTCTGGCTTGCCACCATACTCCGAGAATGATCGAGCATAGTGCCAAAAACAGCAGGGTGGCCCTGAGCGAGGCGGCTGCCGGTCCATTGAGCCTTTTCCCTGGCTACTGCCAGGTTGGTGAGATGCGGTGTCTTGCATCTGATCTCTGACCACGGCAGCGAGCCATGAAGCAGGAATAGCAGCGTATATGCTAGACCTTCGAGGTCATGACCAGCTGTCAAAGCTGAGCGTGGATCAGAATGGACAATCAAGCGGATGGTTCAGGGAGACGGACGCATATGGCAATGAGAGGCCAGGCTGGCCCAATGCGTGGTACCGACTATATGAGAGGACGCTTGCTTCTCAGCCGTCTGAAGGCTGCGTGCGAGGCCGAAATCCAGATATACTGGTCGGTTTTCTTGATGGTCGAGCGGTGTGCTGGACAACGCGATGTTTCCTGGCTTGATGTCGCCATGGAGGATATCCTTGCTGTGCATCGCGGCCAACCCGTCAATCTGTGGGACTGTTAGCCATGCCATCTAAGAAGTTGAGACCAAACAGGGGACGTACCAGTTGAATAGCCAAGTCCAGCACCCTATAGGCTGGCAAGGGCTGCTTTCCCTTCACCAGCTGATCCAGCGTGGGACCAAGCTTCTCTAACGCCAGGTACTCGAAATGGGGGAACCGTCCGTACCCATGAAGCTGAACGAAGTGAGGCGAAGGTCCCAAGTGTTGCAGGACCAGCGCCTCATGCTTTAAAGCCGTCTCCTGGATGGTAAGGGAGACTCGAGATGCTTTAAGGGCGATTTCGAAGACACTGCCGTCGGACCGGTCCATGATAGCCGGATAGACGATACTCTACTCAGCTGTCGGATATATGCGCCTTGTTCTCTCGCTGACATACTCACGTTAACCCCAACGCCCAATATCTTCCATCCTGCCCGAAAGTCACGCTTGCAGTTTGCCGTCTGCACCAGGCGTGACATGGTTGAGACAGGGGTGGTCGCGGGAGAAGGAGAGCAACATTGGGACGTTCGACTCTGGCCGACGTGTTTTTTGCGGTGTCGAGTGTGTGCCAAGAGTGGCAGTGCAGGACCCTTTGCTCAGCCTTAGGGTGAATTTGACTATCCATGTAGCCTATATGTGGATTGTCCTCTGCAGCAGGCCAATCCCGACTCGACAGCGCGGACATGCACCTTCCAGGAGGCCAGGCCGCGATGAGCTGATGACCTCGCTCCTCCACTCATTGTCCGCTTGACAATGGCCATATATCCAGCAGATCAACTCGTTGCCTGTCTGCCCAACGACCCACCTACAAGCCCCATCTGCCTCTGCAATGGCTGCCAACCAGGCTGCCCCGACTACCATGGTCACCCAGATCCATCTACTCCAAGTCGGACACATCATCAAGTCCAACATCGTCATCGACGCCCAGGACAATGCCACGCAGAACCAGTTCTCGTATGTGTCCCAAGCGTGCGTCTGATGTCAGAGCTGTTGCCAGCACGCAGGCTGACGAGTCCCAGCATTGATGCAGGGAACCCTCTCTTCCGTCGCTGCATCGTTGTCGATATCGATGCCACTGGCCCCATATTGTTCTATTGCACCACCTTCCAGCAGGTGGAACAGCTGCCGAACGTGATCGACCCGCGCTACTTCTACCCCGTTGCTCCGGCGCCGCACCCGTTCTACAACCCAGCCCTCCAGCCCATCAACACTCGCCGACAGTGGGTTTCCATTCGTGCGAGGCACCGCGTGTCCTCCACAATCACGACGCCAAATGCGGTGCGCCTGCTTGTACTCTATGCTGTGCTGCATTGTTCTCACCCATCTGAGAGCAGGTGCGTCTCTATACCAATGCGTTCGTGCCCCAAGCCGACATCGACAGGCTCAGAGCCGCATACAACGCGACGCATCCCTGAGCAATGTCCTGTAACAGCAGCTGTAGTAAAGAATCGATCAACGTTGTCCAATCCGGCCTTGATCTGCCCTTGGCTAGAGCATTCCTGAGCCTACGCATGGTCATGTCCCTTGCGTGACGCTGCAGATCAACATTGGTCTGTAGGGCCTTGATCTCTACTGAGTGTATCCGTTGCTGAAATCTGAGCGGTTTGGGATACCAGTGCTTCAGGGGAAGAAGATCAAGGTTGCACCGTCGAACGTTGTTCGGGCGGAGGGTGCGGAAGACAACATATTGAAATTGCATTGTGCGGGCCCTATTCGAAACAGGCTACGGGTACTAGGTGCAGGGATATCTACGACAGCATGCAGCAATACAGCGAGATGGTGGATCAGAGCTGTGCAATGGAATTGCAAGCGGTTCATACAGCAGTGGAAGGGAGCAGGCAGGCAAAGCTGCGAGGTAACACATGAGAGCTCAGCTGCGCACACTTAAACAATGGTAATAGTCACAGTGCGGCTGGGGGGCTTGCGGCCACCACGCTTCGCTTTGGGCTGGCCAGTAGTGCTTGAACTCCTCGAAGATCGGCTGGCGGAGCGTGTGTAACCTCGCTTCATGCTCTGCTCAGCAGGGCGACTCTCAACCGCGGGACTTCTAGTCGGGCGAGACGGACCCGCGACGGCTGGGGGAGGATTCTCGCCTTCTGCCCCGGCTGCAACGAGATCTTCTTGCTGCCTGGCCCAGACGGCGCGCATGGAGATGCTCGTGTTCTTCTTGGCAGCCTTAGAGGAATGGTTAGGCAGAGAATGAACAGGCTAGACTCCGGGCTTACCGGCGTGAAGACGTCCCAGCCATCCTGCTGCTCCCGTTCATCTAGGTAGGGGATGATGTGCTCTTTGAGACGGGCCATGAGCCCGTCTAGGAACTCCTGTCCGTGTTCTTCGAGCTCCTGGGGCAGTCGAAGTCCTCTTCCTGGACAACGCCCTTGCCCTCATCCTCGCTCCCAAGATCTGCAGAAACCGTTTAGCTTGCATCCAAAAGACAGGAAGTATGCATATTGCTTACCAATACGAGCATCGTCCTCCTCCTCTATCCAGTCCGCCGACACGACCAGCTCATCCTCTTCAGTCAAGTCGCCCAGCTGCCACCCAACCTCGAAAGATGCGCCAACGGTGCCTTCCTCGAGGATGCCATCTCTGATGTCGGATGACAAGATGTACGCCTGGAAGTGAAGGCGGGCTTGTACCAAGTCCGGTCGCGCATCAGCTCGGAGAAGTACGACTTTGCGATGCCAGCCTCGTTGAAGCACTGGAAGACCAGGCGCTGGATCTTGATGGCCTGGCCCTCGACATCGTCAGTGAGCCAGTCCTTGCCGTGGTAATAGCGAGCCATCCCGAGCATTGGGTATAGCTCGTCCCAGCGAGCTGGCTTGACAGGTGCCGCCTTCGCCTTCTTCTTCCTCCTCGACTTCCTGCGGCTCGTCTCGTTGTCCGAGTCGTCCGAGATCACTTCTCCTTGGCGCCAAAGCCGTCGAACATAGGGGAGGCACTCGTCTTGAATTTGCTGCTGGGTCAGCAAGGTGAAGCCCTTCGTGGACAATGGGACGGAGTGGACGTGGAAGAGATAATAGAGGATGCGGCGCATGTGGAGGAGGTCCTTGTAGGCGACAACCATCGAGAAAACTTGCACAAACTGGGGCCAGGTTAGCAGGTGTAAGGCGGGATGTGGGACATGCGCACACGGTCCTTGTACGCATCATGCCTCACAACTGTATCCCCAACCCGCAGGGCTCTCAAATTCGCCCACAGCTCGAAGCAGGACGGCGCACGAGACACCTCCTGCGTACCACTGCCGACGGAGACCTTGCGATAGTTGACGAGAGCCCATCGCCCAAGCTGTATGTGCGTTAGATCAACGTTGCACAATTCAACCTTGATCTGTGCGTACCTCTTTCGCTGCATCTTAGGTGGAGTTGAAGAACTTGAGAAGTTTTGGGACCATCTTCGGAGTGATGATGATGAGCGCTGAGAACGTATCGAAGAAGTTGCAGATCTTGGCCATGAACGGCGTAGCAAAGCGCAGATGCTCAGTCGGGAGCTTTGACCGTCCCAATTGGTCGTCAGGAGGGTTGTAGAAGTCGTCGAGGCGATCCAAGAGTATGGTCTTGTACACAGGTTCCTCGCCACGACGCTTGTTGTCGTTCCACTCCACGACGCGCTCGAGGAAATTATTCCAGGCCTCAGTGCACGTCTTCGTGAATCGGTTGTCGAGGATCTCGGGGTATCGCATGATGGCACCGGTGGACTGATCAGTGACGAACTCGGTGAGCTTCCTGTCGGACAGCAATCTGTGCTGGTAGACGATGGAGCGATTGAGGACCTGCAAGTATTGTCAACTCAGATCAAGAATGTAAAATACAACCGTGATCTCTTACGTCTTTCCATTCCGTATTCCAAAGCTGTTGGATGATGTTAAGGTGCGTCAATTGGCACCAGATCGGCTGCTCGAGGAGATCGCCAATCACCTCGCAGAAGGCGAAGTCCTTGAATGGGCGGACGGCATTTGGATGATTGCTGAGCGTTGCCTTGACAAGAACGTCGCGTTGTTCCTCGGAGTACTGCTGATCGTCGGGATATGTGCGGGCAATGCGTCAAATGTCGGACGCAGTGAGATTCTTCTGATAGGCGGAAGTGTTGCTAGCGAGCGATTCGTATAGGGTGACATTTTCGGGCGAGAACAGTTCTTCTATACAGGCAGCGAGTAAGATGTATGCATGTGAGAAGTGAGAAACTTACCCCGGATAAAGATCAAGGCATACCACCATGGCGCTTCCCCAGTAAACTGGTCATCCCAACTCGCTTCGCTCATTGTTGTACATGTAACAGAATTTGATCCCACACTTATTCCACTTAATAAGGAAGTTTACTGCAATTACTTGTGTATCATATTGACTCTGTAACTCTGTGCCTATTTCCTTCCCCCCTCCCCCACCCTTCTAACCTGTCCCTCTTTCCTATCTTCTCCCTTGTCATTCTTCCTCCCCTGCCCTTCCCCTTTTACCTGTCCACTCTCCCTGCACTCTCCCCCACCCCTGTCCCTGTCCCACCCCTGTCCCTAGCCACTAAACTTGGTTCGCCACCAACCAGCACACTGAACAACATGGCCGCTCCTCGAATACTTGGTGTTCAATTGGATGGCGATGAAATCAATATCGATCTTGATGATCTTGATGATCTTGATGACGATCCTGAGGAAGTCTATGTCGTTCTCACGGACTCCAAATCCGCCGCCTGGATGTGGAGAACGGTCGCGATCGAGTACTGGGAGAAGGGGAACATGGCGCGTGTAGAGGACACTATTCGAAGAGCCATTTCTGGTGTGTAATTTTTACCTTCCATTGATTTGAGAAAGCTGACCTTGCAACAGTGTACGAAAGACAAGGCAGGGATGGTCATGAAAACTGGCAGGCAATGCAGCCGCTACTTGCCAACTTTCTCCTCGCAAAAGCAAGAGACGCTCCTAAGCTTATATTGCGCACCGCGCAGGAAGATAAACTCGATTCAAAGGTTCAGGAGAAATCCGTCTATATCAATGAAGCTGCGACAAGCATGGTACGAATGGACAGTGCTGTTCCCAAGCTGTCAGTTGTTCAGCTGCTGTCAAAAGGTCGGTTAGAGATCTATGATTTACTCGAGCATCAGCTGACTGTCCCCTCAAGCTGTTTCCCCGCTCGCTGAAAACGCGATTGACGCGGCTGGGCGTACCTTCGATGAGATCCTCCAACAGCAACAAAACAACCCTGTCGCTCTCATGGGGAAGGGCCGCATATAGTACGCTCGACGGAACTACCGCGACGCTCTTAAAAGCTTCCAAGAAGCGCTCAAATACGCACCGGATTTGCTCCCCGACCCGCGCGTTGGCATCGGTCTGTGTGCCTGGTCGCTGGGCGATCAGGATCGTGCAAGACGCGCGTGGCAGCGATCGTTGGAAGTTCACCCCGACCTCCCTGCGCCACAGATTCTCATTTGCCTCAGTCTACTCAACGATGCGAAAGACAAGCGTCGAGATCAGAGAGAGCGCTCACGAGCGTATAGTCAAGGTATCAAGGGCTTGGCTGCTCTCTTTAGAGACAAGGGGAAGCATTGCGCTATCGTAGCGGACGCGCTTAGTGCGTACTTCATGGAGAGGAAGGAGTGGGACAAAGTGCGTGGTTAATATGGCCTGATACATCTTCTGACAAGCGTTTTTCAGGCCGTCAAAGCTGCCGAACGAACGATTCAGTTCGCTGATCTGCGATCCGTAGTGTCAGACGGCTACATGCGTCTCGGCCGTATCGCACATCTCCGAGGCGACTTGCCGCAGGCGGTTGAGCAGTATGGGATATCAGTTGATCGGAACGAAAAAAACCAGCTGGCCAGGACTGGACTGGGCCAGGTTCACATACTCACCAGTAAGTCCTTTTCCGATCTTCCAGGCTCACATATTGACTGTGATTTCAGACGAGATACCCGCCGCAATCCACGATTATGAACTCTTGCTATCCGATAATCAAAATCTCATCGAAGCTCTTCTTCCTCTTACATCCCTGCAAGCGTCAGCCTGGCCAGGTGCAAGCCCGGTAGAGCAGGACGCGGGCAAGGTCCGCGCTCGCCAGCTGTACGATCGCGCTGCACGGATCATCAAGGGCAAGGAGGTCGAGACCGAAGGTATGGAGGATCCGGAGCTGTGGGTCGAGGTAGCCAAGCTATGGCAAGCGGAGGACTCGAACAAAGCGCGCGACGCATATGCTCGTGCTGTCGAACTCGCGCGCGAGACTGCAGATCCGGAAAAGGGCGTCGACCCGAAGCTGCTTAATGCACTTGCGGTCATCAGACATATCCACGGTGGCGAGACTGGTCGTACAGAGGCCAGAGACCTGTACCAGGAAGCGTTGGTAGGCGCGACAAAGGCGGAAGAAGGTCCGGAAAACGAGATGGTGCAGACCGCTACACTGTATAACCTCGTTCGTTGTTGGGAGGCGTTGGGCGAGCAGACCCAGGCACAGGAGGCATACCAGAAGTTGTTGAGCAGACATCCAGAATATGTCGATGGTAAGCTGTTCTCTTGCCCTTTTAGGTTTGGCATGCTAAATCAACTTTCATAGCAAAAGCGCGCCTTGCGCACGTTTACCAACAGCGAGGTCGTATCGATGAGGCACATGGGCTGCTCAAGGATGCCCTAGAATCTCAGACAGACAACCTCGACCTGCGAGCGTATTACACCTACTTCCTCCCCTCACACAAGCAGTCACGTCAATCCTCTAAATTTGCCGAACTTACTCTGTCAAATTACGACAAGCACGATGTTTACGCACTCTCTGCTGTCGCGGCCGATTTGTGTTCTGCTGCGCGAGAGAACAGGGACACTGGAAGCGAGGCGATCAAAGTCCGGCGGAAACATTTCCAGAATTGCGCGCAAGCGTACGACAAAGTGCTCAGCCTCGACCCCAATTGCGCTTACGCCGCCATGGGGTTGGCAATTATGATCGCAGAGGATGCCCTAGGCGGCCTGGCAGGTGCACCCGTACCTGGCGTGGACGAGGCACGCGAGAGGGAACGGAATGCTGCTGAGGCGCTGGGCGTGTTTGGTCGGGTGAGGGAGAGCATCAATAACGGCAGCGTGCTTGTGAACATGGGGCATTGTTATTACACACTGGAACAGTTCCAAAAGGCGATTGAGAGCGTGAGTGGTTTTCTTCCTGAGTGGGAATACCATCTCACGCGTTGGCTCAGTACGAGCTTGCTTCACGTTACTATAACGGGAAGGACTTTGCGGTTCTGCTGCACTTGTGCTGTGCCTGGTACGCAAAAGCAAACTTGGAGCAGAACCGTGAGGGAATGGAGACCGCGCTAGATTACGCGAAGAAGGCTCTCGCCCTCGCACCCGAAGATAAAGCGACGGTATATGACATTGCTGTTATCCAGCAGAAGTTTGCCGAGCTCTTGTTCTCCCTACCTCCGGACAGGCAAACGCTGGAAAATCTGCAGGAGGCGATTGACCAGGCTCAGGAGGCACAGGGGATGTTTGCCGCCCTGGTGGAGGACAAATCCCCTGTCATGCCTTTTGCGAGGGATTTGCCAGATCAGAGGAGACGGTATGGGGAGACGGTGCTGAGGAAGAGTGGGGAGCATGTAGAGGCGCAGAAAGCGTATGAGCAAGAGGTGGTGGCGAAGACCGAGGCTGCGCGGGCTATGCAGGAGGAGGAGAGGAAGCGCAAGCGACCATCTCCGATTCTGACGAGAGATGAGCGATTAGAAGATGAAATGGTTGCTGTTGTTGGTATTGTTGTTGATGTTATCCGTGTGTTTATGGCGGGGTTTTTTGTATCTCTTACATCTTCTCGAAATAATTCGGATAACAATGCATTTCCAATTCCCATTTCCACTTTTATCAACAAATAAAAGTAGAAATGAAAGAATACGAACGTGGGTTACATTGCAATGTATGTCACCGTCGCGTCAAAGTCGCGTCCCTCACCGTTGGACAACCTATACCATACGCTGCACATCCATCATCCATCGACGCATACACCTTCCACGTCGACCAACGACCAGCGCATATATATCTTCTACCCAGTCTATCTCCCCATCACCTCACCTCCTGACCACCACCACCAACCATGTCCTCCGTCTTCCAGCTTCGTGCCGTTCTTGTTCAAGGTGCTTGCTATTAGGAAGGCGCTGAGTATCCAAGCGCACCCGGATAAAGCGCTCGCACAGAGGTTGCATAGGGACAAGCCCGAATGGTACAAGGACAGGAACCACAAGGTCGGCTGACCATTCGTGCTGGTTGGAACGCAAACTGATGGAATGTTGGACAGCCGGAGATGGCCATCGCGCTCACCCCCTTTTCAGGGTTCTGCGGCTTTCTCCCTCGCCAGGATATCCAACGTAACCTCACCCTCGTCCCCGAGTTCAGCGCACTCATCACTGCCCCTGCGAGGGAGGCGTTCCTCTCCGTCCCTGCACCTGGCCAGGAGGATCCTTGTACTATTCCAGACATAGAAGCAATCATCCATGCATTTGCCATGGGCTTCTCTTTTCCAGAAATGTAATTCATAATATGTAATGTAATGGACAGTATTAACTCAGGATATTATGTTCAAAGCAGAACTCCAGAGTGCATATCATGAAGATACATGCATATGCACACAGAACAGCTCTGGAGGTGGAATGATATTCTACCCTGTATAAACAAGAGTATGTGCTCAGGAAGTGCATACACAACCTGAATGAAATTATGAATATTGTCAACTCCTAACCAGCTCCAGATGCACGAGACATTTACATGTCAGTGGGGTTTACATGTCTTGAAAGGAAAGGCAATGAGTCAATCTGGAAATGAATGAGCTCATTCATTCCATTGTATCCAATCATTGCCATCATCTCCTGATGGATGACAATAACACTATCAAGAAATGACATACTGTGATCTTAATGGTCAAGATTGAAATTCCCTGATTTGGATTGTGAACATGGTCATCAGCAGTGATCATCTGGAATGGTCCAGATCAAAAGTGATTCCCCAGTGATTATACCCCAATTTGGATTGTGGGGATATCAGGAGACCATCATTGGTGGTCTTCATGCAGAGACATTGAGGGGCTAGGGATGTGAGGTAACACATCTAGTGTGACATGAAGATAAATGATTATCTTCCTGACACTTTTGAGACCAAAAAAGGGGAATTACCCTTCCCATAACAATGAACAAACCAAGTCATTATTGTTGTCACCCCTAACTCCCTTCTCCTGACATTATGTTCTGCTCCTTTGTTTGAGAAAAGAACTCCAACTTGTTTGAGTTCACATGACAAGGAAAGACTCCTGTCTGCCTCTGGATGCATGTATATGTCCTGGCCTTTTGTGTACTTAAGGTACACAAATTTCTGTCTTTTGTGCACCATTCCTATCCCAACCAATCTGTCCCTTCCTCTGTCTTGACTACCCTTCTCCTCTTGCCATATCTCAAAGTCAACATGTCTCATAATCCTTCTGGAGGTCTGCCCAAAACTCCTTGACACTCTGGAGCATACTTTGCCAGCAGACATCTGGTTACCCCTGGCTTGCCAATGCATCTCTTGACACCTGTCCCTCACATGCTGAGTGCACATCCTATCAAGAGTCTCCATGCCATGCCTATCATTGGGCACGAGCTGATCCCAAATACCCTCCCAAATTTCTCCCCCCACACTATCCTTCTGGACCCATGGCAAGCCAGACTTCACATGGGCTTACCAACACTATACTGGAGAGAACTGCCTCCAGCCTTGCTAAAGCTCAAGCTCCCCATCCAGAATCAATTTCAAGAGCCCCTGAAGGGCAAATCCTTCCTCAAGATGCACAATTGCATTTGCAACACTCTCCTGATCATGCAGGGAGCTCAAAATGATGGTTGGGACACACCTGGCCTCCATGTGCATCCTGATGTCTGTTCCTGCAGCTCACATTGGTGCAAGGTATTGTACAACAATGACTATATGAGAAGCATTCTGGATTTTGTAAGCCATTCCTCTCTGGACAGGATAATGAGCTGATTCACTCCATGTCAGGGTATGACCTCTGTGAACTCCTATGCAAACTCCAATTTGGCCTGAATGCCACTGTTTCAACACATTTGACCCCTCATTTGAGCCTATCAGATATGAGAAGCCCCCTCTGACAGGCCTCTTTCTCCATCTGGGATAGATGGCAAGGCTATCAGTGATTGTTCACCTTTTGCAAGGACTGAACACTCATGTTGCACATTCACTCAAGACTGTCAGTCATGTTGACTAGAGTTTTGACCCCTTTGTCAAGTTGCTGGGACACCCAAAGGACTTTGGGGCCTAAGGCATAGGGGGTCAGGGTTCAGATGCCCTTCAGGCCAGCCTATCAATTATGTTCAACTATTTGTAGGCCTTGGTCATGGACCCCAGCAAGGCCTTTGACAGATCAAAGATGAGTAGCCACCCTTCAGCAATTTCAGCTACCTCCTCAAGGTGTCTACAACTCAAGTATAGGTGATCAGGATCTGATCTGATCTTGAAGCCTGTTTTGGCCAGGCTTTGGCTGACAATTGAGAAGTAGGGGTGAACCCTAGTGTGGAGATCAGGAGACTTTGCCCATGATCAGGAGACCTTCAGTCACAATGTTTGCCCTGAGGTAAGATGGACAAGTACAGTTTCTCACCCACAGTCTATTGCTTCCTTTTGTTTTCTCTGGCATATATATGTAGCCACTAGTCTGAGGGCACAGAAGCCTCAGATTGGTCTCTCAAAAATCCCACTGTCTAGTATGACCTGAAACACTGATCCCCCTCAAAGGACATGAACTGTCCATGATCATGTAAATTTACCTCATGTAGTAAGACCAAGGTACTCAATAACCTGGCAACACACCCTGACTCTTTATTGTACCCTCCTAAGGCTGGTGCTGCAGCTGAGACTGTCAACTTCCAGACAACTGGTGCTGATGTATCTGAAGTCTCTGCTGATAGGCCACTCTCCTAGAGCTGAGAGGTCCAACCTGTGCTCAATCTCTACAAAAGCTCATGAGGCAAGCCTGACACCCCTTCTTTCAGCAAGGTTCTCATCTATGAGTAACTGAACCCCTGACTACACCCCTGATGGCCCACCCCAATTGCCTGATGTCCATACTGATTCTGCTGGCATTGCACTATGCTGCCCAAGTCTAGGTGACAGGCAACTCTGGACTCCTCCCCATCCAACATCCCCTTGATTCTGCCTGATCAACAAAGGGTTACCACTGAGCTTCCATCCCCTCCCACTGATACACATGCAATACCTCCACCAACTTCTGAAGGCATGGCTTCATCCTGCCTGAGTCTGATGTTGACATGATTGGTCATCTATGACTTCTGATACCTCGTGGTTCAACCTTGATACTGGTTGACTACAGCACCTCCCCTACTACCACCTCCAATTCTCCCATACTGACTTGTGAGACATGCTGAGCATGGTCAATTGTCAATGTATTGGGATTATCGACCCTCTTCCCATACCACCCTCACTACTCCATGTGGCTGACATGGCTGATACCACAAGAGATCCTGAAGCAGGCATGCAAGGACCACCAAGAGGTCTGATGTCAGGCTTTCAGATGATAGTGGTTGTTCAGCAGTCAGGTCACCCTGATAGGTTGTAGCTTCACCTGAAACCTTTGTGTTTGGCCTCTGCTTGATGGTGTGCCCTGACACTCCAGATCACTGCTACCAATTATGTCCTGAATGAAGGATTTCATTTTCACTTCATGGCCACTATGATGACTGGTCCAGACTCTACACCCAAATGTTGCACTGTCATCTCAAGAAACATGTGGGACTGTGTGCCAGTCATTGAGGCTCTAGAGGAGATTAATCAGCTCTTCTGGAGGAAACTGATGTATGCTGCTTGAGACCACCAGACAAAGCAGATCAGTCATTTCAACAACCTTGGGAATCAGGTGGAAGTCAACACAGTCATGACACAGAGTGAAATTGACAGCATCGGTCCAGACTTGCCTTGTTATGATCCACCTCACTCCTGACATGGCCTGTTGAGTCAGGAAAGGAGCCTGCCTTGCTTTGCCCCCAATGTTTCACTTCCTGATGATCCTCATTGCTGGCTCATTCTTTCTGAGATTGTCTGTGGTGCTATCCGGACTTTCCAGCTGGAGAATAGTCTTCCTGGAAACAATGTGAATGATTATTGCCTCCAGAAGGCAGTGGTCACTGCATATTTCTTTCAGCACCCTTGCAGCTGGCTGAACAGTCTTTCTCCCATCCTGAAGATTGAGACCTGTCACAGGGGGGTATTCCAGACTTTCAACTATAACACTATCCTGAAACCAATGTTTCAGGTGAAGGTCTTCCACTGGGCTGATCACAGGATTGTTGGGAGAGGAGATAGTCTATTTTTCAAGAGAGATGATGATGACAGTAATCCTCTGGAAGAAGAGGAAGACTTGTATTCTTAAACAAGATGTAAGCAAAGTACTATGTCTAGTTTTCTTCCCTCTCACCTCCTCCTGAAACCCTTGTACCTCTTGTTCACTCATGACATATGAGAATAGCAATGCATCTGTATGAATTAGTATTCCCAGAATGAAACACATGGCCTCCACATGATAGAGAGAAAGGTTGTTTTGTGTAGGGTCTTGATGGTGCTTCTGTTTTGACTAGTCTCACTCCATTGTACATTGTTTTCCTTCCTGACTGTGACTTCCACTGCTCCACTTTTGTGCTGCACATTTGAGTTTTGAGCTCAAATCTGACCTTTGCCTCTTCCAATGACATCTAGAACTCAGCTGGACCAGACTATTGGAAACAAGAAGTGGACCCTTAGACATAGCATTAGGTAATGTTGATTAGATGAGTAGTAGTCTGAATGTCCAAACTGCTCCGAACATATATAGATGGATTCAGATACTTTGGATAGGGACTCTTGCACTCCTCTGTCACTTACTCTTGACTGCACTTATTCAATATGAGTGATTTTATCTTACACCTAATACTACTGCTATACTCTACAGTCACTCCTTAGTCTTGCTCTCTCTCTAAGACAGATCTGAGCCTTGATTTGACCCCTTCAACTTTTGAATACCTCTTCTTCTCCTCATTCAGCCATTCCTTACTCTCTCTCTCATTTGGATGCCCTTCAGATTGCTGTAACCAGCCTGGAGCCTACACAGGACCTTCGGATTGCATTTGAGTGGCTCTACCTTAGGAGGCCATGATTTGATTAGGTCAGATTCTGTCTATTACTACCTACTATGGCATACAGGCCACCACTGTTGACTCCCCCTCCAGTGGACCTTCTCCTGATGCCTCATTGGGAGGTGTAGAGTACATTTGGTGACCAACATAGGACTTTTCAAAAACATTCTGGTTGGGGAGAAGACTTGGGGCATTCAGTTGCAGATTGAGCAGTCTGCCTAAGCAACCATCAAACTGACCACCTGAAGCAGGGTGCAGTTCTGAAACCAGAAACTGCAACCTAAGCCCTCAGGATGTCAGGGCACCAGCTCATTGCTTGGTCAAGAGACATGACTAAGCCTTTATGACATGGAAGTAGCTG